AGACAAATCCGGATGGCGGGTAGCTAGACAAAGGCGGATGTGCCAAGTAACGATGATGAGGATATAATGATGAAAGATTACGTCGCTCATAGCAGGCTTGGTGCGGTCAGTGCATGCGTGCGTGATGTGGTGGTTGACTCCACCTATGCGCAGAACTCCGGATGCCAGTGCGAAAAATCGGAGAAGAAAAGTTGGAACCAGGCGCGGGCCGCCGTTGACGTTGCGCGAGCATGCGACGGCGTCACCAGCCACACCACACCACACCACAGCAGGATCCATAGATGGCGGACAGCATCACCAGCGCTAGACGGCTCACGGCATTGCAAACAATAGATCCTGAAACGCTCATGGGGAATCATGATAATGTCGCGTCAAGCCGCTGGCAATCTCTCCCGCTCTTCGCATCCCAGCCTAGCAAATCTTGTCGCAAAAGCTCTGGTTGGGGGGACTGGATACCCGCCTGCCGCTGTTTAATCTCCACGACAGGGACGAACAGCCAGTACACAGATTGAACGCAAGATTACGCGCCTGGGCATCGGACTTGAGAAGGCAAGATGGCATTCTGTGTTGTTCCCGATGCCAGGTTAGCCGTGCTATTTCCAACATGCCGTGCAAGATGTTGTGCGGGAGCCAAGAATCATGATCGAGAATCATGGTCCAGACTGCCAGTGCCAGGTCATTTGGGAGGGGGCTATGACAAGGTTGCGCTCCGTGGCCCACCCTTGTCAAGAGTTGCAGGTGGTGAGACATTGCGTTGAGAAAAAAAATCATCGTGTGCCGTTGCCCTGTTTACAGAGATTGCTTCATGTCACGACCCATGTTGGCGAAATCTGGAGCTGTGGCGTCACCTCTTCAGCGGGTGGAGGTGGAGACTGGAGTAAAATCGGACACAGGGCGCCACAGAGCTACGTCACGGTTGCTGCTGACCACGGGTTCGTGCAACTCGCAACGGCTCCGTAGGCCGGATAAGAGCATGTAGGGGATTTTGGACGATCAAATATGGGTGCGGATGCGTACATGATGGTTACAGGTGAGGGGAAGGGGGGGCGCAGTAACGCGTGGTTGGCACGATAACATTGTTACGACGCACAACGTTGAGTTGGCCCTGCCGCATCAATCTGAATCATTCATCTAGGCGGCTTATCGAGGTCGGTCTACCTTCTTTGAGCGCGGCGGCATCGCGATGGTAGGAGGCGGCTGCGTGTTTTGCATGGCCCAGCCACGGCATTCTTCGATCGCTACCGCATCAGGGACCAACGGTGACGTCGCTGCTTCCTTAAGGTTGTGGCGCCCGCCCCACACGAGACCGTACCGACCAGGGATAACCCTGTTTTGCGCGACTGCTTTGAGCGCGCCGAATGTACATCTTTGCCGTTTTGGGTGCACTTTGTGAGCAAACCTGACTTTTTGCACACTGACGTTGTCGACGCTTGGCTGTTTGCGGATCCCATACCAGAGTCACCTGCAGGATGAGTTTGAACGGAAATTTCGTCTGCACAGGGCGCCTGTGTTCGAAGATGAGGTGAGGGAAGGCACGGACACACGGTGTGACGTAGCTTTTGTGCAAGGGCAGTCGCTGTTTGCCCACAGTTAGTAGCCGCGACTGCTTATAAGTGAGAGGGTCTTTGTTGTTTGTCGACTTTCTCTACTCACATACACACCCACCATCTAACAACGAACCTACAAACAATCAACTCTATCTTCGACCTCGAAGGACCCTCTTCCACCCACCCGTACCAATAACATCACCAAAACACACACAAGAACAACACCGCAACAATGGGTGCCGTAGTATCTTGCATCAAGTCGGTTGTACGTATATGCCTTTCGCCTTTGCCTGCTTGCCATATGAACGAGTTGCTAACACGATCCTAACAGTTCCGCACCATCGGAAACTGCATCATGGCCATTGTCAACGCCATCGCTGCTGGTCTTAAGGCGATCATCAACGCCATCGTCTCCCTCTTCGGCATCATCATCAGCTGTCTGACCTGCGGTCGTGGTGGCGGCGGCAGGAGAAGGACCACACACACTAGTAGAGTCTAGTGTGGACCCGTTTCTCACCTGTCGTTGTACTGATGAACACGCGTGTTTGTCAGGATGGCGCATGAGGAGATTCGGGTACTACTGAATGGAACACGGACTGCTGTTACAACGGACAATCGGACGAGGACGTCACTGCCGAGGTCGTAACGACGATATCGCGATTGCATTATCGACACCGGGCGGCTTCTCAGCGAGAGTGACGGACCGAGCGAAGATTGTTTATTGAAAGAGCTGTGTGGATGTTTTATACCCTATACCCCCGAGTACGAGAAGGATGTGGATGTGGTAATGACGGGACTGCATGGAGTTTGAGCGACTATCCAACCCAGCGAAACTTTTTTTTCCTTTTGTCTTTTGACGCGACGTCTGCGAGAGATGGATGTGCTAGGGACGTGGAGGAAATCATTTTTGATCGATCACGACCTGTCGCATAGATACCCCCAGCTTTCAATGGATGCATTATATACCCGACTTGTTTACCTTTGCCTTTATGAAAACTGTTGTTGATATCGGCCGTAGGACTTTGTATCCTTCACGATTTCACGACAATCACGCGCAGATCTTTGTTCGCGCACTAACCGATGTTGCCTGACTACGGTACTACTCTTCAACGCGGAAGCCCCCATTTCCTCTCCGCGGATGCTTTTAGAGTTGCATTGCAGGACTTGACGATGCACATGATGGAAACGATAGCGTCTGCGCCATGGGATGGTAGCGCATGCGCTTGTATCACGCCGTCCACGGGAGCTTGGTCCACTACAGAAACTCTATACGTCTGCGCCACATTCCCTAACATTCTACAATGATTTCTGTGCGACGATACCTCCTGTTGTCGCGTTTCGCAGAATAGATGGATATCATCTCTATGACGTTGGTTGCTATCTTGATAGTAGGTATTGAGAGGTGTGGCGATGAAGCATGTTATGCTGTCCCTCACGTAAACTCATGCGAGTAGGAGTTGCATAAACTAGTGAGTGGACGATCGCGAGGTAGTATGAAGAGGGTAAACAAACAAACAGGCGGAGATGTAGTCACCATTCTGAGCACTGGGTCCAAGTAGCGAAGATGATCTTGTATCTTATATATTACAATGCCAGCGACTGACAGAACAAAGATGAAGAGAAATGGCCTCGGAAAATTGACACGCGTAGACAAATCAAGGTTCACAGCAATCTCAATAACCTAGTAACACGTCTATCTACGCCTCCACGGCCGGTAAAATCTTCGCCTTCCGCATCCTCTCCCAGGAAATGAAATACCCCTCCGCCGTATCATTCTCCTCCACGAATCCCACCTCGCGACTCCTACTCAAATCATACTGCCTATCAAAATCAAACTGCACAAGCATAAAATGCACAAACGCCCAATTCTGCTCATCAATAACAACTTCCTTGAGTCCATGCTTCTTCGCAAGCAGCTTCCACGCCTCGATGTGATCCCTGACAAACTTCTCCATTGGAATAGTAGTCGCAGCAGTGGTATCGTCAGGCGCAGCAGGAGGACCTTGGCCCTTGAGACCAAAATGCTCAGCTAGCTTTGGCCATATCTGCGCCCAGGTAACAGGTGCTGCGCCATTAGCAACGTTGAATACCTGGCCGTTGCCGCATTCTTTGGCGTGTGTCGCAGCGTAGATTTCCATCTTGGCAAGCACGTCTTGGAACGTATCAGAGTGCGTAGAGTGGTATCCGCGCGCGTTGCCTGGGAACGTTACGACGGCGTGTTTGCCGTGTACGGCTCTGTAGATGGAGAGGTACAGACCGATGCCTTGGGATAGGTTCATTGCGTTGGACGTAGGCGTAAAGCCTATGATGCCATCGGGTCGGATTTCGGTAAACGTCCAGGGTTTTCCGCGCGACTTTTCCTTCAAAAGGTCGTATTGGGTGTAGTAGAAGATTTTGCTGGCGTAGGGTTCGGGGATGCGAGGTGTGGATTCGTGGAGGGGGACTTGAATGTTGACTTTGTCGGGAAATTCCAGGCCGTAGCTTTGTGGAAGATTGCGTTAGTGTGATGCTGGGGAAGATGGGCGAGGAGTATGAAGCTCGGGTTCTCTTACCCTTTTCCTCCGGTCTGTAAAACGAATGATTCGAGGTTGGTTGAAACTTGTTCTACTGCTTCAATGGCAACTCTCAGGAGGTCTGTGTTGACTTTCTTCAGGCTTTCAAAGTCCCCAGTCTGGATATATGCTACCGAGTGGAATTAGCTTGTGACGTTGTCTGCCTCCATGGCAAGATTATACCGGTGAAGAAAACATGCGAGATGCTTTCTACATCTTCGACCCTTTCCCTTAACAACCTCACAACCTCAGGGACCGATTTAGTCAGATCGATCCCGCTCATAAGATTCAGTCGCGAGTCGGCTGGAAGCTGTGCTTGGTCTAGAGTGAGGGGTCTGTTTGAAAGACCAGTGATTCGAGAAAAGGTAGTCGGGGTAGGATACGCTGTGATTTGGTTGAGCAGCGCCCAGCCAGATATCCCAGACGCTCCAAAGATCAGGGCGTGAGACATGGTTTCGTTGGAAAAGTAGACAAGATGTCGATGATGTGTAAACTTGCTGCAACTATTAGCCGTATATGTATGTTACTTGTTCTGCGTGCAGCGATGGCTAGGTGATATGGAATCGACTTCTGATAGCATCTCGGTAAACCATGACGTTTGCCGATTAGGCGGATTTGTCAGTTGCTAGCTTCTCGGGATTGATTTGTAACATGGACATGCACATCGTACATCAGAGCATCTTCAACTCGAGGCCTTTTTGCTGCCACAACCGGAATTTGCTCATGCTGAGGATAGCCGGAAGTCGACAACAGTGTCGGAGGTCAGGACCGGTTAGTGATTAGGCCGGTATGAAGAACCCGAAGTAACCGGCGCTAAGCAAACCTCTACCACGACCATCATGTATCCAGCGAAAGGAATCTCTGAATCCCGGACTGGAAAAGAGTGTCTAGTCTCCGTCGGATGATGAGCATGCAGCCGGAATTGCAACCGCAACCGCATGAGCTCTTCCATGGTCTCTTCGTCGTTTCCGTCGTGTTTTACATGATGCAGACGAATGGTACTACTGGCCAGAATGCGCTTGTGGCGCGGGCGGGCGTGTCTGGACTGATGAATTGCAAAATGGCGCTGCATGCTGCGAGGGATACTTGGGATGCGAGTCCGTGGATCACGCAGTTGTTTGACAAGGTGCTTTGCTTGGGGTTGCCTGCTGCTGCTTCGGCGGCGGGTGGTGGTAGTGAGGAACGAGGTGATGGTGACGGTGTGAATGCTATGGAAGGTGGTGGTGGTGATGGTATTATGGGCTTCAATGACCTGAGTGCTTCTTTTGATCTGGATGGTTTGGGTATGATGGCTGGGTATTATGGGGTGACTTGGCCTAATCATCCTTTTCTTGGGCAGTTTGTTTGACCAATATCATCTGTCAATGTGTAATGGGTATCTCAATTCATCAAATATACCAAGTCCTTGATGAAAGAAAAAAATATCAAATTCTATATCTCCCTAAAACTCCCTTGGACAGGTTTCCTCTGCACTTGATCCCCCTGCGCCGCCAACGGCGAAAACGCACGATACGGTTGCTGTTGCTGTTGCTGTCCTCCAGCGCCAGCGACACTTCCGCCCACGGGCGTATAACTCCTCTGCCCAGGGTACGCGGGCGCCGCGTTCGTGAAACTAGCGTGATCTGTCGATTGGCTTGCTGGGTAGCCTGGCTGAAGGGCTGCTGGTGCTTGGGGAGGGGTATAGGTATCGTTTTCGTGTGAGTGGTACGAGGGGGATGGGTTGGAAGTGTAAGGGTCGGAGTTGTAATTGTTGTTGTTGTTGTTGTTGTTGTAAGGGTTTGCAGGGCCGGGTGGTGAGGGGGATTGGTAGCGTTGGTCGACATGTTCGTCGTAGTAGTCTCTCTGGTCGTAGGTTTGCGGGACCTGTTGGCCGTATGCGCCTGGGCCTTGCTGGTTGTATTGACTTAATTGTTCTCGCGAGTCATAGGCTTGTGCTGCGCCTGGCGAGCGACGGCCGTATGGTTGCTGCTGTGGTTGGCCGTAACCATCACCAGCAGCGTATGCTGGCGACGCTCTTCTGTATTCGTCCTGTTGTGCATACGGTCGACCATATCCTCCCTGGCTGTTCAACGGCGCTCCTTCGCTGACGAAGGACTCGTTCTGGTAGCCACCTTGAGGGTAACCGTAGTTGTCCATTGGCGATACTGGGGACCTGCCCGGGCCGGGAGATGGTCGTTTCGCTGGTACTGCTGCTGCTGCCACCATTCCCCCTCCCATGGATCCGCTCGTCACGCTGCCGTTACGGTCCAGCCTATCCAGCTCCATATCGCCTTGTTTCTGCGGCACAGGCTGTTCCTCTACTTGGACGTGCACGTCGCGCCCGTCCTTCCACGTCGGCATAGCAGGTAGGGCGTCTTCATTGACAACAGCGCGCGTGGAATCAAACGTGGCAAATTGGGGTCTTTCGGGCTGGGCCGCGGCGTGCGGAGTGAATGTCGGCATGGCATTGGAGCGGTATTGCTGGTTGATTGGGCGGGTGTCGATGGGCGGAGCGGGCGGCGCAGCGGCATGTGCTTGGGCATACGGATTTTGGGCATAGGGATTCGGCTGAGGAGGCGCTCCATACGGCGTGGGGTACTGGGCTGCTGGGTCGCTCTTGACGCGTTTGTGTCCTCTTCCGCCACTGCCACTGCAGCAGCAGGTGCAACATCGAAAGCAGCAGCACGCCAATTCGGCGCCGCAGCATATGCATCGCGCTATGCAGGTAATTACGGATATGAGGATGAGGCTTCCGACGATGATTGCGACAATGACAGGCCATCTGTTTGAATGTGAGCATGGGATTAGTCCGCGTGTCGGAATCCACAGGATCGATGCAACGCACTTGCAGTAGGCCTTGGCCATACAATTGTCCCATGAGCTGAGCGTGATCCTCGCCTCGTCCAGGGGATTCTGGCGCGCAAACAGCGAATGCGCGAGTAGCGACGGCATCGCGTGGTAATGTCTTTGATTCGATTCCTTCCGGCCAGCGGGTTCAAGGGGAGTCGCGAGTGCAAAGGCCGGATATGGGGTAGAGCGGCTATAGATGGGGATATAACGATCGTCGGTTCACAGCGTGCTTCATGTCGTTGTGAAATCCCACTGCATCAGGAAGGGGACGAGGTGAACAGCAGGTGGCCTGTACATGTGTTTGTGCATTGGTCGACTTGGCTCCTTGAATGACGACGGGTAACCAAGGCGAAACGTCCGTGAAGCTTGGAAGGGGCGGGAGAAGGCCAAGCACCCTTGTCTACGCGGTTGGGTGGCTGAGTTAGCCGCTAATCCTCGTTTCGCATCGTTTTCGCTCTTATTCCCCGCAATAAAGCGTAACCGTTACGACGTATCTGTAGCGTATCGAGCATCCGAGTGAAAACGTTGACGGAGCGTGGTGATGGCGTGCAGTAGTACTCCTATTGTTGGTGATTTGGCGAGGGGTCAAGTTGACAGCGGGAAAAAAGTACGCGTGGCACGCCGTTGGCAGAAGACCGCTGACCATCGATGGACTCGACAATATTCTGTACGTGGTGTGGGAAATGCGATCCTATCTTCCTCTGGATCACTCACAGTACACCATGTATTAGGTGTGCAATGATTTTAGTCGGGAAGAACGGCAGAGATGGCGACCTTCCATCCGATATCCGACATGAACATATGTAGAACAATGCCGTCGACGGGAAGCAGAGGTTCTACAATATGGTTCTCATCCTTGACCATAGTACTCACTCAAGACCTCCCACTTGAGATAATCATGTGGCTTATCCGGAACTTTATCTCAGTGGATTACGACATGTATTACACCAACCTTCGTTCCCACAGCCTGCCCAGCCACAGATGGCATGCTCCTTTCAAGCCCTTGATGGACTGCTGTCGACAATCTGTACGGATAGACAACGATACATCCTAGCTGGTGCTACTTCCATCAGTGGCTTTGAGGCGATGCTTTGCTTGCTTTACCTTTGGCATCTAGTTCGGAGTCGCGGGTCGAGTAAAGCGATGAAGACAGATATTGTCCGTCCAGTAACTACGCACACCGCCGTTATTGGTTTGATGGTTGCTGTGGCCCATTACACCAATATGTGGATGTATAGTAAGTTTGTGCCTTGGAGTTGGGTGGCCTTCCTGCTGAGCATGAGAACGGTTACCGCGCAGCTAGCTCCCCAACGCTTCCGCGAGCACAGCTCCATCTCTTCTCGTCTGATTTGGATGTTGGTCAAGTAAGCAGTTCAACGTATATGCTCGTCCAAGATTGGCTCGGAACGGTAGCTATTCATCTGTTCTCTTTTCTGCGTATGCAACAGGAGTATTGGTGGAAGTGACAACATCGGGCTCCAAGGATAACGAGAGACACATCCAATGCCTCGCGCGGAAAAGTCACTAACCGATCAACCCAGTAGCCGCCTACAGTAAGTCAGTGGAAATACAAAGGCATCTTGTTTATCCATCAATACAATGGTACAGGTCTCCACAAGGCGCCTTGGGTGTGGTTCCGCCTGCGCTGCTACATCCAACAGAACCGGGGTTCCAAGACCCCGCCCCTCCCCCGCACTAACCGCATCAATACCTCTCCCACGCCAGCTACCCCTTCCAGCCAGCTCCAGCCCACCCGTCTCGCCCCGCCCCTCCCAACCAGATTCACCTACGTCACCGATCACACACCTCTCTAGCCGGCCTACATAACCCCCACCATGTCGTCTCCAGCCCAACCTTCTCCTGAAGTCCTACAAGCCTACTACCAAAGACTAGAAACCCTTTACTCAAGTCTACCGGACCTTCTCACCACCGAGCAGGAAGACAAGACCGGAACCGAAGCACTCGAACAAGACGTTGGTAAGCTTGACGTCAAGGAACCGAACCTACAAGACAGGGTCAACAAGTACTGTCAAGAGTTTCTTTACATCGGCGGCCCTACACCCCATAAATAAGACCTCACGTCAACCTAAACACCATGCCTGACCACCCCGTTGAGCAAGGCGCCGCTGGCAGTACGTTGACTGACCCCTCCTCTTCCTTTCCCCCCTCTCTCCTAGAAACAACGCTGACCAAGTCATCGTCCCACACAGGCCTCACCGACAAGATCGCAAAAGAGTCGTCCGACTCGACCGCCTCTTCGCACGCGAACCACGCCGATATCCAGGCTCACAACTCAAAGGGCCCTGCTATTCCTGATAGCATGCCCAAGGCTGAGAGCAAGGAGGACCTTAAGAAGAGGGCTGAGGAGTTGAACAAATAGATGTGTCGTTGGAATACAGTGGCAGGGAAGGTGAATGAGGAAACATGCTAGATGTCAGCGAAAGTAGAAGGAGAGATAATGGATAAATCATGAAATGCTTTATACATGTGATTGTTGTGGTGCCGATAGTGTTCTTGTCTGAGCTTTCGGGTTGAGACGTGTATCATGCGCATTTGCACTGGTGTGGTTGTTTGATCTAGCCTTCCCTTACTCATCACCCTCCATTCTCGGCGGTATAATTAGCTATCCTCTGCAATCCCATTCCTCCTTCTGAAAAGCTGTGTGGTTGGCATCCGAGGTACAGTACCGAGAGCAATGGGAAAAGGCAAGGCGTTGTTGCTTGGAGGAAACGGGGCGGACTGTAAGGTTGAGCGGTGAATACTGGACTGATCGAATTCTAGCTACCAGAGCACCTTGGGAGTACTGCCTAGTCAAGCCACAACCTCACCGGTACTGCTAGCTCACTGAGAGCTGCCCCACCATAGACCCGTGGGCAACGCTTCGCCGACAACTGTTCTTTCATCCACTCCACGTCCGATTCGTCTGGCGAAATCTTTTCAAGTAAGAGTGTATTGTACCTGCTCATCTTCTACTCTACTTCTTTTCGGTTGTTTGTCGCCTGTCCCGAGTCCTGGACTGTCGGGCCCATGAGCGGGTCGACGGAAAATGACACCCTTTGCGAGCGCTGCAGCCTTCTCAGCTTCGATGATTTTGCACTCGGGGGTCAGGAGGTAGTAGGCTTTTCACGACTCTATTTTCCAGAAGCCCGGATTGAAACACGTCCTGATAATTGGCCGAAACTCGCGGGAACGCCTCCTATCCAGCTGGTCCGCCTTGATTGGAAGGTCGAGGACTCCCTGCCTGATATGCCGCAATTGTCTCGTTCTTGCCAGCTTGGTTGTTTATTCTGTCAAGCTTTACTCGGTTCATTAGAGGAGGCACTTGCGGAAGGAGCAAAAGACGATATCATATACGAAGGAGCGCTGGTTTCGGTTGCGTATCTTTCGCTGGTCGGCGAAGGTATCGAAGGGCTGCTAGTGGAGACGACTTCGACAACTTTCTTTCAAAACCCGCTTGATCCAAGGCGGATATTATCCCGTTCTCTTTTTCCTATTGAGGCAGACAGTAGTAAGTCACGTTACCCAGCTGAGGTTTAGATTGTACAAACTAACTGTTTGATCTAAAGATTGTGAGCAGTGGCTGGGAGCTCAACCCGCGCGTAAAACTTCGTACTTGGACCCTGCGAACATTGCCACAATTCGCCGATTTCTCGATCAATGCACGGCAATATGCCACCCTGAAATATCATCTCCTTTCATGCCTACAAGGCTCATAGATGTTGGCCATGACGCATCCGTTCTCCCTCGTCTGGTGTTTTCCTCCGAAGTTTGCCAATCTGAACAGACAAAGTATGCTGCCTTAAGCTACTGCTGGGGTAACGAGAAAGATGCCGAATCACAATTTAAGACAGAGAAAGCATCTCTTGAATACAGGTGCGCAAATCTGCCGAGCGAACTTTTGACGCCGACTACCAAGGATGCCATCGCGATTACAAGGGCGATTGGCCTTCGATACATCTGGATAGATGCCCTTTGCATCGTACAAGACGACGAGGATGACTGGTCGCATGAATCCTCACAAATGAATCTAGTTTATCGCCACGCATTTGTCACTTTCTGCAGCCTCAACTCAAACTCATGTCATGAAAGCTTTCTCAACAGAGCGCCTGCAGTAAAGATTCCCTTCCAGTCAACCATGCATAGTGCTATCAAGGGTTCCTACTTGATTCGACTACATCCAAGAGCGGTCCACGGTCTACGGCCCACAAAGTACGAGTGGGACTATTCGTTATCCAATCGGAGTAAGCGATGCTGGACATATCAGGAAAAAGAGATGTCGACTCGACTCTTGCTTTTCGGAAGCCTGAAGATGCATTTTGCTTGTGGCAGATACCAATGGACTGAAGGAGATGAAGCCCCCATGGATAAAACCTCATCGAGAATCCTGAGCCAGGTGACCAGGTTCAAGGCATCTCAAATCTCTTCCAGAGAACTATACCAGTGTTGGGACTCGTTGATGAACGAATATGGAAAACGCTCAGTGACATTCGACAAGGATCGCCTTCCCGCAATTGCCGGACTTGCTCGCATAGTAGGTGAGGCATTACAGGATCAATATCTTGCCGGCCTCTGGAAAGGAGATTTGCTCGAATCCCTGCTGTGGGACAGCACTGGTCCTATGTTGTCACGTGGACTTGAAGTTCATCTTCAGAATATTCGACAACGTAATTATGTTGCCCCATCCTGGTCTTGGGCAGCATGCCCAGTTGTAACAAGTCAGAGGACTACCGGGAAATATCTCCAACGTATAATCAAAGAGGCGACTATAGTGGATGCTGGCGTTGATACTGATTCTGAGGATCCATATGGACGAATTTCTGGGGGCTTTCTTCGTATTCGCGGGAAACTGGTTGCAATGCCGACATGGTTACCAAACAATCAAGGTGACAAGTGGTCAAACTCCTGGTTACACAAGGTGCCTGGGGGGCGCCTTATCAGCGATTATCTCGGCATTTCCACAGACTGGCTCCACAAAGATACAGAACAAGGACTAGATCTTCTCGTTGTGATGCTTATCCTCCAGAATGAGCCCGATGGTGAAACAGAAATACCGTGTTCACGAGCTCTGTTGCTACATCCTGCAGACGCGCCGAAGCAGTATTATCGAGTGGGAACGCTAGGAACTTTTGGGCGAAATGCGTACGAACTGATGGTAGATTGGTTCAAGGACAGCCAAGAAGATACAATCTGCATCATTTGATATGAAATCACCCTAGGGAAAGGGTAGATACACTGTAGTAGCGGAGAGGAAAGTACGCATTCATAATTGAGGGCGTGTTTCATCCATACGTGGGGATTTCTGAGACTACTTCAGCAGCCACCGAGTACATTGAGGGCGGTGTTAATCAGCTTGTCAAGAAGTTCGGGAGAGCGAGCGAACTAAGCTGAGCATTGGACGATTCATAGCTATGAGTGCGTTAGTAGTCAACTAAGGACGAGGTGATCTGACACGAGACAGGGATAGCTTATAAAGGTTTCCTTACAATCAGGGGTGAGTTCGGGTAAGGTGGGACTGACTCTGGTGTTGTCGAAATGGCTACTGTATACGAGTAAGATGAGGGTTTCGTAGGATCAGAAGAAAAACGAAGAACAAGACTGAAAGGGGACGAGGTTTCTGAAGCTTTTGTGGTCATCTGCTTATCTGTAAGCCACCGCAGTACCAATGAATACATTGAACGGAGGAGTTATCTCGGATGACCATTATTATGAATAGCGCTACTTTATGCCAACATTTCTACCACTCCACACCTAGCTTCATCATTCTTATAAATCTTTAAGCAGAAACCCCCCGCTCTGCTGGTTCTGGAAAACCCTTTCAGGATCGTACCTTTCCGCGATCTCCTTGAGCTTCTGAACATTGGCAGCACCATATGATGCAATCGGGTTCTGGTCGCGCGATGCGTCATTGGTGAAGATGAAAGGTATGTTAAGACCACGCTCTTCACTGAGCTGCTTCATGGTATTAGTGACTGCAATGGGCACGGCGCGCACTGCCGCATCGTCGGCGGCAGCAGTCCAGTCAACTAGCGTGGTCCACCCTGATATCTTGTTAGATCACCAAAGAGAGGCTATGTTGATATAGCTTACATTGGTGCGTCTTCTCAGGAATACCCATGGGATTTCCGCCGGCGGCATTGCTAGCTGCAGTCAAGCCTGCGGTGATAGGTTGCAGCACAAATGTCATGTTTGCGCCTGTCTCGGCATGCACGGCAGTTGCCTTTTCTTTCCAGACGGCGTAGACGTCTTTGTACAGTTGAGCATCCACGTCGGAGCTAATACCCCGATAATCGTGACTGAGGATCGGTTAGTAGGACGGACGCACGTCTTAGTGTCCAAGAAGCTCACCGCATAGGTTCAGAGGAAGAGGTAGATGCTAATATCTGGGAAAGAATGTTTACAGTGCCAGTCGTAGGCGGAACCGCAACGGCGAGCGGGGAGGGCAGGTTGTCAAAGGCAGCAAAGATGTTGGGAGGCGCTTCAGGCTCAGCGTAGAGGAACCCTAATGTGATGGAATCGAGACCTATGATCATTGCTACGGTGGCTTTGGAGTCGGATGATGCAATTTGCTGCCACTCGGCAAAGGCTTCAATGCAGGCCACAGCATTATCGGAGCTGTAGACAGACACGGTATACCATATCTTATGTACAGGAACGGTGTACATGTCGAATTTTGTAACAATGCCTGAGTCTCAGTGAGCAAAGCAATCCTACACGAACAGCCAGGGGCTTACCAAAGTTGGGACCTCCACCTTTGAGAGCCCAGAACAGGTCGCTGTTGGATTCGGCATTGGCATTCACAAGAGATCCATCAGCCAGGACGACCTCAAAGTCCTTTACGTTGTCTGCTGCAAGGCCATATTTTCCAGAAAAATGGAAGAAGCCACCTCCGAGTATCAGTCCGCCTACGCCGACTTGAGGAATGCGTCCTCCGATCACACTTAGCTCGTGTGGGTCCAAGGCCTCATAAACCTTTCCCCACTTTTGGCCAGGTCCTATGCTAGCGACTGTCTTATCGTCACTGACACTGATCGCGTTCAACTTCTGGAGATCGATTAGAATACCGTCTTCACCAATCGACGACCATCCGGGATTTGGTGAATGTCCTCCGCTGCGTGTAGCGAACTTGAGCTTGAGGAATTTGATAATCTTCATAGTCACAGAAACATCTTTCTTGCTCTCGGCCAAAACAACGCAGCTGGGCGACTTCCAGCATGTTTGTGACCTGTAACCTAGAGTAAGTACCCAGAAATTCCAGAGGCAAAAGTCCAAGCATGATAGAGACTAACCAATTATCGTCCGTCAAAGTGGCGTTGACAGGCTTTGAGTTCACTTTGGTCTCTCCTAGGATCAGCTTCAGTACTGCGCAAGCTGCACTGGTCAGCATCGAGCCATCCTCGGATTTTCCAGTCAGGAATTCATCGACGGTAGGGTAGTCACTGAAGACATTTAGAACGGCGTTAGCCTGCCCATCAGGAAGGTTGAGAGAGCGAACCAAGCTAGGAATTGGGCTGGGCATGGGTTGATTCATAGCGACTAATGCGTCGGTTGTCAAGTGGGAACGAGGTGAGTCGACACGAGGCAGAAATGATGCGGAAGTAGTTGCTATCACGCTGGCGCCAATGAAGTATCTAATGCAGTGAAGTGTAACCATGATATTGACTGCGCCGTAATCGTAGTGAACACGCCGTACTAGAAGCCTTGGGCCTGTTCCGGGAGTCTGGTTTGTAATATATGCGGCACCATCTGCCGTAAGCACAGCTATCGCATTTGTGGCTTATGCGGCAATCCCGTCTGATATCTGAAGTGTGGAACAAGGTCATAGTGAAGGGTGACCCTGCGTTTTCCAGGCCATTATAGCGCCACTATTGCGGCATCCTTGTATCTAATGCTAGACTAAACGTGGATAGATAATTTGGTTTCCGTGATTGTGCCGGAGCAGGCTACGAATGCGGTAGCTTAAGGCCCACCGCCAAGCACGGCGAAGCCAGTCGCGGCGATGCATGCTGCAACCCCATGATGTCCGAGGCTACGTATCCTTCCATCCTTCCATATCTGTTGCATCGTGCACCTCAGCACTATAGGTACGGGCATGTACTCAAAAGGTGATGCAGCAAGCAAGCAGTCGACTTCGGCCCACAGTATAAACATGACACCCTCTGCAGTATGTTCACTCTGTCCACACTACCTCACGTCATTCTCTTGTCAGCATGTCTTCTGAAAAAGCCAAAGTGGTCCCCAATGAATCCCTGGCCTATCAATACGGCGGTAATCACAGCACGGGATGGTTGGGTTATGTCCCTGCGCGGTGGCTTCCGTACATTCAGCTCGCCCGCCTGAGCCCACCAGTTGGACTCTTTCTCATCTACATCCCCCACTCGTTCGGCCTGCTATATGCGGCGATTCGACAGCGGGCCGAGCCCTTTGAAGTGGCTTACGCCTCCCTTCTACTCTTTGGTGCAAGCTTCTTCGTATCCAACGCTATCCACATTTGGAATGATTTGATCGACGCGCCTCTGGATGCAAAGGTTGAGCGCACGCGCAATCGACCCATTCCCCGTGGTGCCGTCTCGCCGAGTGCAGCGCTCATATTCAGTGCGTCCCAGGCTGTGTGCGCCGCCCTGTTCTTACCCCTGCTAAAAGGAGACGTGGCCAAGAACACCGTTCTCAGTGCTCCTGGTTTCCTCGCCTGGCTTTACTACCCGTATGCAAAGCGACACACGTACTGGACTCAGACCGTCCTTGGAATTTGTCTTTCGTGGGGTATCGTGGTCGGCGCAGTTGCACTTGACGTCGAACCGTACTCTTTCCAGACCGGCCAAGTCGACATACCACTACTTTTGCTTTTTGTAGCGAGTACACTGTGGACGATGCTTTACGACAGCGTGTATGGTTTCCAAGATTTGAAAGACGACGTTGATGCTGGTATCTACAGCATGGCAGTGTTGTTTCGGTACAATATCAAGCTCGTGTTCTGGCTCATCGTCGTCATGATTGCAGCAGCCTTAGGGAACATGGGGCATTATGCTGGGATGGGCATCCTCTACTACACAATTAGTGCGGGAGGAACGACAGCTTTTCTCAGTCTCATGGTCGCTTGTGTTGATCTTCGTAGTTCTCAAAGCTGTTGGTGGTGGTTCTCCACAGGCTTTTGGTATGCTGGTGGCTCTATTGCGGGTGGCTTACTCTCCGAGTACGTGACCATGATCGCTCGTGCTCCTGGCTTCGAGTGACTTTCAGCCTTTTCTAGCTTACCGACAACATGGCGAATGAAACACATCACCCAAGGTCTGGAAGATGCTACTTTTGAGAGCCATGTAAGCGGAGACTGATACGAAAGACGATGGCATATAGTGTCAATTCGACAATTCTGCTCGATCACGTGTAGAGTGTGCTGACGAAAATAACATTGTTGCAAGATATTGTGCCCTCCAATTTATCGAAGGCCTGCATGTGCGCTGCAGATGGGCTGATTCTTCAGTCTGGCCAATCACTTTCGTTGGCGCGTTCTGCGGGTAGTCCCATCCGTTTATGCCAGCCTGCCCGTGCTGACCGCATGCGCTTACTGGGTAATCTAGACTGACAAGGGCGGTCACTGTGCTCCTTCCGAACAAAGAAAACTTGGTGCAACATTGATATAATCTCGGAACGTTCTGTTGGTAAATCTAGTCCCCGTTCGTGCTAATGACCGAAGCGTCGGTGACCGCGCCTTGCACGGGGGTGTACGCCCGAGGCCATGCGCGCTCTGAGATCTGGAGATTATCGGGAACCCCGTCCTGTCAGTTATGGACGTATAGTCTCACTCTTTCGACAGACTATCAACTCAATTGCACCTGTAGTGAGTTATCGGCATGATACCGCCACCCACCGTTGTCAACAACCAAAACCGGCATTATGGAGTTGTGGCTGGAATCGCAGCGCTTGGTTTTGTATCCATCGCTTTGACTCTGTTAAGACTGCGGTGCCGGTATGTTTCGCGTACGATCGGATACGACGACTATGCGATCATTCCAGCTTTGGTGAGTTGCACACGCCCAAGTCCCATGATTTATGCTCACAACACCAGCTGCTGTACTCAGGATGGACAGCCATGGCTCTTTATGTAAACATCAACGCCGGCGTTGGCAAGCCTTTATGGGAGATAACACTGGGAGAGTTTGTGGTATGGTTCAAGGTGCGTGTGGCTTCTTCACTTCCTATGGCCCCGCGCAGCTGATTCATACTAGGGAATTGTCGGCTCCACTTTGCTCTATCCGGTCATGTCAGCCAGTATTCGTACATCAATCCTCATGTTTTATCTCCGGATATTTGGCCAAGCGGTGACATCAGTCCGTTACACAGTGTGGGCTTTGCTAGTCTTACAGGGAGTCTATGTCATCGTGTACATGATCCTTCCGGCTTTCATCGCGAAGCCGTTCAACAAAATCTGGCAGCCGCTAGAGCGAGGCAAATACATGAACGACTGGTATTACTATTACACGCAAGTGGCACTGTTCAGCACAAGCATGGCTTTCGATATAATTCTACTCGTTCTCCCGATACATCCAGTCATCCAACTCCAAATGACTGTGAAAAAACGCATCGGAGTAATTGCAATCTTCATATGCGGTGCAGCGTACGCCCCCTTCCTGATATTCGGTTTTCAAGCTAAAATTTCACTAGCGCGAGTGTCACAGCAGCATATAAGCTCGCCATATTTGTCACTCAAATGGAGAGATACACGAAGATCGATCCTAAATGTGAGCTCTTATCAGCTAGCACTCATGAAACCCAAAGTAACAAAATGCCAGGGCTACAATACGAAATGAGCACTCTTGTTCCTCCACAATTCGACGAGTACGGCAAAACGTTTTGGATACCATCACAGATTGAGCCCAGTGTGGCTCTTATTGGAGCAGCGCTTCCTGCACTATACCCTATGGTACAGGGTGCCATGCATAGAGTCATGGCGACTATTTCGTCCATTTCATCTACGGCCAGCTCGGGTTCCAGAACACGAAGTCATCCGGAGAGCCAGGTCTGTCAGCCGAGAAGGCAGACGCCTGAGAAATCATTGCTTCAATCGAATGACGGGTCGTACATTGAGCTGGATGATATAGCACCTTCTCGACCGGGAAGACTGTAGAGCTCTGAATGGGAATTGGATCTATATCAATAGGCATCTTACTTCAAAGCTATGATAGAGAAAGCTTGAAGCCTCCACTAACTAGGTCGTGAAAGGTATATAAAGGATCATACTTTTCCCGCACTTGACGCATGTGTTCGACGTTATTAGACCCATATTGGTCAAGGACTGCCTGATCCCAGCTCGCGTCGTTCATGAAGATGTAACGAATGTACGAATTACTCGCCCTTGTCACTTTCTCGATCCTCTGCAGCAGAGCGCGTGTTGCATTGTGAGCAGTGGCATCGTCTTCTTCTCTCCACCAACCTATGTCAAGCACCAACCAGGTTTGATTCACTTTGTCATGGCCCAAAACATTACCGCCTCGGTCGCGGCCTGCTTGCACGAGGCTTGATGAGATTGGTTGAAATCCAAGGACGAGTGTTCCACCGGTCAACGCTTTCAGTTGGGCGACTTCAGGTGCGGTCCATATGATTGAGTTGATCTTCTCGTAGATTTCAGCGGATGGAGTGAAGCTCGTAGAGTGCCAGTCCCATCTGATATGCGTTAGTCGAGGAAATGAGTGATTGGAGCGGCGGAAACCTACCGTGGAAGGTTAGGCACAACTTGGCCGCTGATCATGTCGTTGAGGGTCTGCAGTTTTGTTGCATCTGATACTGTGGGAATATCATAGAAGGAGTCAAAAGCGGCCGGTGACTCCTCAGGTTTGAGGTAAACCATATTCAGCATCGCACCTAGGCTTTCATTGGTACCGAAAGGTTGAAGCATTAGGTTCGCATATGGATCTTTCTTCGGCTGGGCCTGATACATAGCTAATGCCTTGTATAGTGCTGGAATCTGCTCGCGGCCATACATCTTCACTCCTCCCCAGACTTTGTAGATGGGGTAAGTGCGCATAGTGAAGCTCGTGACGAGACCTGTATGGCTATCAGACTATGGTGACTTGATGTGATGCGGTTTCTAGTTACCAAAATTGTTACCCCCACCTTTCAAAGCCTTGTAAAGATCTTCGTGGTGTGTGGCGTTTGCGTCTACTGCAGAGCCATCTGCGAGGACCACCTATAAAAGTGAGATATTGTTCCGTAAAGAGAGACGCGTCAACTCACCTCAAAGTTGACCACATTGTCACAAGCCATGCCATAGAGATCCGACAAATATGAAAGTCCGCTTCCAAGTATCAAGCCGCCAACGCCAACGTCTAAGACCCGGCCGCCAACGACTGTCAATTGGTACTGGTCCAAGTAACTGTACACGTCTCCCCATTTCAAACCGGTCCCAATTTTTACTGTCTGATCTTTTGCATTATACTCTTTGGTGCTTAGTAACGAGGTGTCGATCAGAACGCCGTCATCTGTGTTTGCGGCAAATGGCGATGGTGAGTGGCCACCCGATCGTATGGCAAACTTCACGCGCCACGAACTCAGATACAAGATGGCTTTCTGTACGTCAGCCGTTGAAGGCGGCTGCACAATGCACAACGGAGTTCCCCATGCAGTAGCTGACCTAAATTAGGCAATCATCAGCATGTTTCTACGTTTGTCTTTTGAATATCTGTTCATACCAGTTCTCAGTACTTAAATTGTGGAATGTCGAATCTGAAGTTAATACTGTCGACCTAGGCAACAAGGATTTGAGGTCTCCACAAGCATTCTGCCTGGTGCGTAAAGATGCGGTAAACACAAGCGGAGGCCATGCAAGAAAAAGGACGAGGATATTGCACAACATCATCTAATTTGGTCGGTATTTCCTATCGAGAGAAGAGACACGAGTCCCACACCTACTATCATATATGGTCTGTCTCTACATGGTTTAACATGCAAATTTTAAATAGCAATTCTGGATAGCAGCTAGGGCTTACCGAAAAAGACTGTTTATATTCGGTGAGTGGAGCACAAGTAGGGATTTTCCATCGTGAACAGGTTCACATGAAGCCATCGCAAGACCGAAAAGATCTCACAATAGCGATTGCGGCAGGAGTCCAACGCGTTTAGCCGTCTACCCACTGCTGCGCTGCAAACTCTATAGTTGTTGATGGTCATTCATCGTGATAGTGGCTTAGTGTTGGCTCACATGCATCGCAACTGCACTTCGCCACGAACGGTTGCATCAATGGTGGTCGACCGAGAGGGACAGTGTGGGCCAGTCAATGGGCTGGACTGGATAGATTAAGAGCTGTCGGAGCTTATCGATTTCTGTTCGGACCCCAGGAGTCGCATAAATCCCGCCACCTTGCCTAAACTTGGAGGTACCCCGACATGTCAGCCTGACGCCCCACTAGACTAGTGTGCTCCACTCCTAAGTTCTATTCATGTGTGAACGCGGCGCAGCCACATCCTCTTAATCTGTTCCACCGTCGCTACCGCCGCTACCGACTCGCTAACATACGGGACTTTTTCGAGTTTGCGCTCACCATGTCTGGTACTATTGTTCTCACCGGCGCTAATGGCTCCGCAGCTCTCTGGACAGTTCGCTACTTGTTGCAGCATCATCCAGACAAACACCTTATACTCACTGTTCGAGACACTTCCGATTCAGATGCGAATACCAATTTACTCCGCGAGGCACTCGCAGAATATCCAGATGCAAGTTTCTCCGTCCGCCCGCTCGATCTCTCAAACCTTCCTGCCGTCCACGAGTTCGCGGAGAGGCTTGTCGATGAGATCTCTGGAGGAAAAGTACCGAAGCTAGAGAGCATCATTCCCAACGCCTTTTATTGGAATCTGGTATCGGCTATGCAGATAACAGGCGATGGCTACGAGAAGACATTTCAGGTCAACCACATCGCCCACTCCGTTCTCATTCTCCGCTTGCTCGGTAGCTTTGCTGAAGACGGTGGTCGTATCGTTCTTTTTACTAGTGACACTCATTGGCCTGGGAAAAGCGCTCTTGAAAAGATAAAGCCAAGGATACCTGCCAACTTGGACGAATTAGCCAAGCCTCCTGCAGACGAGCCAGAAGATCACATGGCCCACGGACAGAATCGCTACGCTCTCTCGAAACTGGCTATTCTGATGTGGATGTACGCGCTGAATAGACACCTTCAAAAGGTTTGCGATGATTCCATCCTATCTGAAATCCCTCTGACCATTTCCAAGAACCCTCGTTTCTCGAACATTACTGCTGTGGCTATCAACCCTGGCAACTTGAGTGACTCTCGAGCACTGCGCGTGAATACCCCTGCAATGATTCAAATGATGTCAAAGTACATTATCCGGCCGCTGCGTCCATTGCTTCGTTTTATGGACCCAACCATGCGCACCTCGAGCGAGGCCGGCACTGATGTCGCCAAACTAGCAGTCAACGAGGCATCTCCGGGCTATCGCGGATTTCTTACTCTGCTGAAGGAAGACACTAGTTCTCCTGACAGCTTGAGCGAGACGGTGCAGGAAGAAATTTGGGCAAAGACATTGGAGTGGACAGGCATTTCAGCAGCAAATGCTGGTATCTCCACCTGAAACGGAAGATTGTGTGAAGGGCAATTAGCCTCCCCCCTCTGATATCGGTTGGGGGAAAACAAGTTCAGCTGCAAATGATGTGTATAGAAGATTCACAGGATTGATGTCTAGGTAGTGAGCGAAATTGACGTACTTGACCTTTGCATAAGCTCCGAAACCGGATCAGATAATGCAGATGCATTGAGCTCGTCTCACGTATTAAAAACAGGGGTCATTATGCATCTAGAATGTGGAGTCATCACAAGTGAGCTAAATCAGGGTTGGAGGCAAAACCCCTCATGCCCAGATTTTGAGCGTATGACGAGTACGTCCTGATAGCAGCCCTCACCCCATCTGGAAATCTCGAGCGATTGTAAGAACGAGAATGGCTCAAGAAGACACAGTCATACCAGAACACCAGCTGTCCGAGCGCACGCCAGTCATTGCGTAAGTTGGCCTCGTTGCTCTGGCCGATTGATAACTCTACTGACAGTAAGTGCACCCCTACCAAAGTTTCGACGGTGCTATTTCCACGGTAACCATCGCCCTGCCGAATCGGTGTTTCGCCTTCTCCGTCACGTTCCTGCTCGACCATCCAAAGCTCGTTTCGCTCGGGAAAGAGAAGCCCCCGCTTCACTTCCACCCCTACCAGGAGGAGTACATTACCGTCACTGAAGGCTGTCTGGCAGTTGAGTGTAACGGCGTAGAACACACACTCACTCCAGCTGATGGCGAGTTTGTGATCCAGCCGTGGACCAATCACAGGCTATACCCGACGGCGCAGAGAGATGGGCAAACGGTCACGCGCTTCTTGCTGAGCGGTAAGGATACGGCGGAGACGTACAAGCTCGACGAACTGTTTTTCGAGAACTGGTACGGCTATCAAGATGCGGTATTCGTGCATGGAGAGCCGCTGAGCGTGGTGCAGGTCATGTCAGTAAGTCGGGTGTTGCTGCTCGGGTCGGATGGAACGAAGCGCTAAATTAGAGGCTAGATGTTTGATGCGGGCGGCTCATACATATCGCTACCTACTTGGATTCCGTTCTCGAGGAAGTTGGCTCGAATGTTAGGGATCGTCGTGGGTAGGTGGGTTGGGAGTCTCTTGGGTTACCAGCCGTATTATAAACAATGGAGTACGGATTGGGGATTAGCATGTCAGCGCATGAGGTCTTCGACCTTTCAGCAAAGGTTCGCAGTTGAAGAAAAGGCATTGTGAAGTTTTCTGGGAGAGTGTGAAGCTTCAAGGCAAACGATGGGTATTATTACTCTAATCAACATAATTCAACACTTACTACGGTGCCGCTAACGTTGTATGACCATCAACTGTAATCTCATTCGACAGCTTTAACCCAAAAGGCAGACCTCTAACGTACTTGTCAGTGTATGTTCTTCCTTTCCTCTCAGCGAAAGCTTGGTCAATATCTCTGTACATATCGTAACCATTCATTTCCTCGATAGTCAGCTTCTTCGCCTCGTCCTCGACCTTGTAGTTGGACATTGACGTGTTGCTAGAAAAGCCAATCCGTTCGTTGATATTATACGCTGCTTTGGCAGCCGAAGCCTGAACTTTGGTCGCGCGAGGCAGTCGAATCTGCTGATAGACGGCAAGTGACTCTCTCACATCTCCATTGAAGTAGTCTTTGTTGAAGAGGATACCCAAGGCCGCTGCGTCTTCGATTGCCATGCAGGCTCCCTGGCTCTGGTGAGGCATCATTGGATGCGCAGCATCCCCGATAAGCGCGATATCGTTCTTGACAACGTAGGGATAGGGCTGATGCACCCAGAGTCGCCAAGGTCGTACCTCAATACCGATGGCGAGGTGGGCCTTGACCTGCGCGTCGAGCTCAGGGTACGGCGCGAGGAGCTCCTCGACGGGAAGATCGGCACCGCCCCAGGTGTGATTTGTATAGTCTCCGGCGGCGCGGGGGAAGAAGCAGTAGTAGGAGAGGAGCTCGCCGCCGTTGCAAGGGGATAAGACGATCTTGTCCCACTTGCCTTCTTGGCCGCCCCAGTACTCTAGTGCGCTGTTGAGGGAGTAGTCTGTGAGACCGAGCTTACGGACGTCTTTTGTCATGACGTTTGCATGCAGACAGCTTTGTTCTGCTGGTCGCTTTTCTGTGACGACGCCGATGAGCTTTCGTGTGACAGATCCGATACCGTCTGCTCCGATGATAAGGTCGTGTTGTGTTTTGACGCCGTTGGAGAATGTGATTTCGCTGGACTCGACGTCTATACTCTCGCACTGCAGAATATTGTTAGAAGGGTAATGTAGCACGGGGAAATGCCGTGATTGCATGGGACAAAAGCTTACCGGATGGTTCACCAATAATTGCACTGGGGTACCATCCCCCTCTTCTTGCAATGCAGTGTCCATGAGCATCTTGTGCATGTACTGGCGATGAAACATGTTGTAGACATATCCCCACCTCTGCTCATAATCATCTAGATCGTAGACGCTGACCGGCTCGCCAGTCTTCCAGTCCCGATTGATGAGTTTCTTCAAAACAACAGGGTCGCCTTTCTGGACATCGACTCCCCACTCGTGTAGCCACCGGGTACCATTTGCTGCGCATGAGACTGATGCTCCTGCTTCTCCGGCGAAGTCATTCCGCTCGTAGATGGTAACTTGGTGGCCCGCTCGGCGCAGTGCGATGGCGGTTGATAATCCACCAATGCCACCTCCGATGACGCCCACGCTAAGTCGTCTCCAGCCCATCTCTATCGAGCCCATATTGCAAAGGCTGGCGTTGGTCAGATGAGGCGGTATGTTGCTGAAATGCTTGGGTTGCAAGAAGTGAAAGAGACTGCAAGAGAATCTGGATAAACCGTATAATGACCATGGGTCTCAAACACCTTCTAATAAATATCTACGACTTTGTTCAGCCCGCGTATGTAGCATCCTAAATCCCGATGCGGATGGAGCCACCCGGCTGCCTCTCGCTTGCGCGGATCAAAACGGTCGGGAAGAATGTTATCTGCGGAACAGATTCTCGCCATGTTTGCAATGTTTTTTCATTCGAGGATACCTGCTCGTACGGCGATGGTATGGGTCGTGGGAGTTGTGAGTGGCGCGTCGTGGGTCCTTATCTGCGGAACGAGTCTTATCGACGGATCGGATGTTATCATCGGAACGGATGCAGGACCAGACACCAAGTTGCAGCACAATGAACAGATGGCACGAAGTATAGCAGTGGCTTTGATTGACGGAAGGAAATGATTAAGCAGATGACTTAAAGAAATAGAGTCTCACACTGTTCGTCAGCGTTGTCAGGGTTGCGGCTCAAATTGTGGTTGGCCGGTAGTTCGTTCCCCTATGACCACTTCCGACAGATGGCTCGCGATTCTTTCTCCGTATCATAGCTGCATCACCCATGGTTTTTGCGCCTCTAGCTACAGTTATGAGGGGATGTGGTATCAGATACGATAGCCTGTCTCTACCAAAAGTCTTGCCATACATCAAGAGCTACGTCTATAACCTGTTCAGAGGCCCAGCGAGCGTTTCGAGTTAGTATATACTCCTTCTTCAAAAGTCCCTTGGAGGCATGAGATGACTTCCTCCATAGTTCTGGTTAGCGACTTCTTGACTTCGTAAGGCAAAACATCAACGGCTGTCCTATTCGGTCTGAATAGCAACATTCGTGTAAATGTTCTTTGGGGGTAAACCAAATCGATGCGAATGCAATGTCATGGCTTTCCAGCCGTGGAGTCTTTTTGCCACACACTCAGAACTACTGCCACCTTTGCCAGTCTCGAGATGAGAGTTGAAAAGAGAGGCCGTAGTCCTGACTACTACCGAAGATACCCGCCTCACTGGCGCTCGAACAACGCATAAGACTTACTGATCTCTTTGACTTTCTCAGTGGTGGATATTGTTCCGTTTATGCACATCGCACGGGCCAGAGCGGTCGCGTTTGTTAATCTTCCGCGTTCTGTTTTTACCCCTTATCCTCCAGGATCTCTGTGTTCCATGTTCCATGTATAAAGGTAGAGAACAAGTCGAGAAAGCGGCACGTCCTTAGCCTAATCTTGGCGTTGGGGTAAGAAGAAATTGGAGTCAAGATATCCGATTTATACCTCACCCTAGCCACGCTACTCACTGGCTCGCTTGCAAACATGCTGCGATGTATTGGTGCGCGACGCTCAGACTACAGCCTGTAACCCCCAACCCCCACGCTCGTCATGTTCAGCAACTTTTCCGTGTATCAATACGAGGCTGTCGGCACAGTCCACGGAATTAATATTGCCACGTGGTCTGGCGTAAGCGTCACTATTGAGACATGTCGTGGAAATAGGAAGGCTGAGTATGTGCACACTATGCGACACGTCGTTGTTCCTCAGGCTTCTCCTGGATTCCCTTAGCATTCTCTTTGCCGATGACCCTGCCTGTTGCGCTATCGATGGTCGAGATAACCGCCCGCGAGTACCTCATGCTGATATACTCGGCGCCGATGACGTCTGCACATCTGCATGCAAGATAGCATACAAGCGCCATGTCAAGCTTCATTGGGACGCAGATTTGAATGAATGCAAACTCATGTAGGAGTATAAAAGACACAAGAGCATATAGGCACTCACACATACACACCACGGAGTTTTACTTGCTGCTTCATGATTCGCTTTGCTCTAGAGCTGACCTATTCACTCATCATCATCCTTCCTTGGCCTCGGCGGCTTCTGTCCGTAGACCAGCGATCTGTACATGAGTTAGCAAAAGACGTCATCTCTCACCTGAACCCGCACCTCCTCTTATTCCACGCTCCTCCACTCATCATCATCGTCTTTGAAAAAAAAAACATGGCAAACTTACACCTCTTGATAAGCATGGATACTCCGATCCCTCAGCGCCGTCCTCATATGCGCAAGATAAACCTCAACCTCCTCCTTACTCCACTTCATCACCGTCGTCAACAGGTACAAGCTCCACCCTTCGATGCCCTGCTCCCAGTTGATCCGATTGTACTGGCCCAACTCCTTGAACCTCTTCTCCGCCGGCCATCCTCCTACCGGCAGCTTCCAGCGCCGTTCTACCACGTTGACAAAGCCTGCTGCTTCGAGCCCCGCACGCGATTCGTCGACTGTGCGGAGGGATTTGCCGAATTTGTCGCCGAGCTCGAGCGAGATCTTGCCCCAGCGGTCGAAGATGGAGCCGGGGGTGACGGTGCCGTCGTCGGATTTTAGGACGACGCTGATTTCGAGCTGTTCGATGTAGCCGCCGGGTTCGAGGGCACTATTTGCCAAAGAAAGAGTGTGAGTTAGCCTTGTAACGTGGAGCACGCGAGTGGAAGGGCCGGGGTTGGTGTCATGGTGCGAGGGGGCTGTTCATACTCGAGTGCTTCTTTGTAAAAAGTCGACCAGTCAGCTACACAGCCGTACAAGGATCTGACGTGGATAAAGTCGAAATGATCCTTCTTAAATAGCCAGGGTTCGGTAAAGTCGTCGATCTCGAAGCGTACGTTGGGCGGGACCATGGAGGGTTGGGTAGGGGAAAGGTCAGTTCCTATGACCTATTTACACATGTCTTAGAGCAATGTCGCTGGGTGGCTGCGTTGTGCATGCTGCTGTAAACGTACCTCGGCTGATGGATATCTGTCGGCAAAGTCGCTGTTCGCCGTATGTTAGTCAATCTGGATGGCGTGGGTGGGTGTGCGCGAGAGACGGGAGACTAACATGGCCCATATACCGGTGCCAGTTCCGAGATCCAAAACATGCTATTCAGCACACCATTCGTCAGCACTTGCCCACATGTAGCGATGCCCGTGCCCATGTTTACGTACCATTGGCTGTTTCTTGATCGGAGCCAGACACAGCTCACCGTCGAGCAAGAGGAGGCAGATGTGGTGGCTTGCGTCTTGGTCAACACACGACCTCGAACCAAACGGAGCGCAGAACGTACGTTATATCCAGCTGATCCGATTGCGTCTCGTCGTTGGGACCCCCTGCACTCACTTAGGAACTGCATTGCATGTATAGCGAGCGGCCATGCTAACAATATGTTCCTTCCTTGTACGCATGGTATCGCCGACCATTGCGGTATTTGTAGTTGTATACGGCGGATTTGAGGGACGTGGTTTCGCTTTGATGACGTGTCAGAAGGCGGCTCCGCGTCTCACGGGAGAGACTTACGATGCCGAATCGTCGCCAAATGCCGAGTCGGTTTCATCCGAGTCCTGGAGTTGTCGGATTAGTTGGTGAATGCGCCCGTGAAGAAATCGAGAGTGGGGGAGAAAGAAAGACGCACAACAGCAACCTGTGCTTCAATATCAGCCATGGCTTAGTCTGCGCAAAAGCAATGTCGTTGTCGCTGTCGCTGTGGGGAGGTACGCGAGTATGGCAAAGGCAGTATATCCAATATCGGGGTCCGGCGGGCGTCATAAGTTAGCGTGACCTTATGTACTGATCTCAACCGTGCAGGCCAGCAGCGCTCTCTGTCCCCTCCACCAAGCGCACCCGCTTCCGTGTGGCCTCCGGCTGTGCGCCGGCGGAATGCACGCATGCAGGCCGTCGACCGACCCGCACCAGCGCGCTACCTGCCAAGTGCTCCGGTTGGCTACAGGTGGTCAAGGCAATCAGGAGAGTTGTCCTTGGGTGAAGTTGAAGGTGGGGGGAGAGGGCCAGAGGGCCATGGCAGATGCCGTAGTCGAGTGCTTGGGTCAGCGACAAATGCGCGACTACTGAGAGGTCGACCTTCATCTTCTTCCCACTAACTACGACCCCATCCTCCCAGACAAGCCCAGTCTGGCGAAGCTGTTCCGCCAATCAATGCTGGCTGACGACCATTCCCTACCCGCCACGGCGGTACTGCTGTCGGCGGGTGCAACTGCCCTGTTTGCCTACGTGCTCTACGCAGTGACCTACAACGTCTACTTCCATCCGCTGGCCAAGTTTCCGGGACCGCCCCTCGCCGGCGCTACGACGTACTGGAAAGCCTACATTGAGTGCATTGCAAACCGGTCCTTTTGCCACTTCCTTGTTGAGCTGCATGCGCAGTACGGTACGTGAAATCGGTACCGGGCACATGGAAGAATGTTTAGACGCTGATGTTGTGTCGTGATAGGCGATGTTGTTCGTATTGGCCCCAACGAGGTACGTTGTGTTGTGTGTGGTGTAAAAGGACTTGCGAGCGATATGCAGCCACCCCACTACGCCAAACTGTGCCGCCACGTGTTTACTGACGAGACGGTTGTAGCTCCACTTTGCCAACCCAAAAGCCTACCACGACATATACAACACCAAGAATCGCTGGGACAAGGAAGCGACACTTTATCAAAGTTTCAACGAGGACAGATCCAGTTTCGGTTTTCTCACGTATGCAGAGGCTAAGAATCGGAAAGATGTGCTTAACAAATCCTTTTCGCTGGCCGCTATCGAGAGCTCAGAGGGGCTGTTGGTGAACAAGGTCAAAGAGCTCTGTGCAGCCATTGAGAAGAGGAGCAGAGATGCCAAAAGTGTTGATTTGTTCTACGCGTTCCGCTGCATGAGCGTCGACGTTATAACGACATTCTGCTTCGGCAAGTCCATCCATGCAGTCGACGAGCCAGACTTCAAGGCACCTATTGTCGTGGCCCTCGAGGCGGCCACGCCCGTGGGTATGTACTTCAAGTACTCGGATCTGTTCAAAAACTTCATCTTGAAATGCCCGCCCAACCTCTCCAAGAAGCTTAGCCCTTTGACAGCGGGCATGATCGATCTAAACCAGGTAATTTCTCCGACTCGTTTTGCAGCCAGCGGTCTACTCATATACTGTAGTTACTCTCCGCGCAGATTAATGAACTCACCGACGATCCGGAAAAGCTTAAGCTCCTTCCTCACAACATGACCATCTACCACCGGTTGATGGATCCCGAGGCTCATCGTGACAAGCAAATCCCTTCTGCTGGTAGCCTGTATGAAGAAGCCCAGGCGCTCATGTTCGGTGGCACAGATACTGTCGGCAATACCCTCATGGTAGGAGCCTTCCATCTGCTCAAGCATCCTGAGAAGATGCAGAAGCTCAAGGCCGAACTATCAGGCGCATGGCCATTGCTCAACGAGAACGAGCCCAAGGTACGCGATTTGGAAAAGTTGCCGTATTTGAGTGCTGTCATCAAGGAGGCGCTTAGGATGAGTTCGGGCGTCACGTCTGGGCTTTTGAGAATCGTGCCGAAAACTGGCGCAACCATTGCGGGACATGAGGTGCCGCCGCAGGTACGCACACGTTATTCTATGCAGAGAGGGGGAAGGATGCGCGGGCTGATTGCATTCTAGACCATTGTATCGTGCGGTAGCACTTTCGTCCACTTCAACGCCGACATCTTCCCCAAGCCCGACGAATTCATGCCAGAGCGCTGGCTCGACGAGTCGGCAGAGTTGGACAAGTGGCTTGTCGCTTTCTCGCGTGGCCCACGCATGTGCTTGGGAATCAAGTGAGTCGGGCCATAGTCAGCGTTGTATAGATTTGGAAACTAACATGGGTTGTTTGTAGCCTCGCTTGGGCGGAGCTGCGTCTCGGCTTTGGTCATGTCTTCCGCAAATTCGACCTGGAGCCAAAGGGCCAACTGTAAGTTCAAGTCTCCTTTCTCTCTCTCTGAAGAACGATTTCATGTACTGTACTGACGGCGGACAGGCCTGAGAAGCTGGTCTGGCGGGATGTGTTCTTGCCACACTACCACGAGGACCATTTACAGGCGAATATGCGACCTGTAAGCGCGTAGTGGGTGGATCTTAACGGTGGTTGTTTTGCTTAGGGTATGCGAGGTAGCGTCGTCGTCAAAGCACATAATATGGTGGGTTTTCTCTGCAGGGCGATAAGGCGTCAGTCGTCGTCGAAATACATAATACGACAGATAATCAGCCGACGGTTGACGGTGCTGCTAGCCGTCCGCTATCCGTTGTCCAGAACCTTCACACGTGTAATTGAGCGCCGATCAGTCGGAGATATCGCACCTGGGTGCAGATCCATATAGTACGAGCTAGTCGCATGCCGAGGTGCAAAGGGAAGGTGCTAGAGCGTGCGCGTTCCTCCTTGGGACAGGACTTTCTGAAAAGAGTTTGCCAGGTCAGGTTTAGGAAGTTGAAAGGGTTGTTGTGATGTGCCGCCCCTTATTTATCACGAAGTGGCAGAACGCAGGTCTGTGCGTAGGATTGCATGTGAAGACTGTGCTGAAACGGGGGTGTTGGAGGTGTTGGAGAGAAGCGACAACGAAAGTGACGACAGCGGTGCACGACATTGGATTGCATTAGTTGTGGCATAGCGCGTCACAATCAGAGTTGGGTGCGTCGTCCAACCACAACGCTGAGATGCATAAGTCTGTGGCTACCCCCCGCTTGTGGGGAAGCGGACAGTCAGAGATGCTGTATGTAGCTGGCGATCATGTCGATCAAGGACGGCGGAAGTTTTGGAGCCGATGACGGTGTTGGACATGTTCAGTTGATGAAGGTTGCATATGTCAAACCACTATCGGAGCGCCAATCGGAACAGTCGACGAGGCAGCAGACTGGCCAATGATTGGCGAGAAGTCGAGATGAAGATGATTGGCGCGACAGTCGAGATGAAGGGTGACAGGCGGGCCGCGCTGGCCGAACAGGTGCGCAGTCTTAGTGAGGATTGTGATTGTGCATTTCTCAAAAGGCATGGAGATCAGCCAAGAGGCAGCCGATTCGGGAGGGCGTGTCGTGTTGTGGAGAGTCGTGGGATGATGCACTGGGCGGGGGCTAAGCTGGTTTGACCAAGGCGCGCATCTCGCCTCTGGTGCATGTGAGCTAGACCCTGTTGGAGTTGATGGACTTGGACTTCTCCCCGCTGAAATACACACGACCTCAACGACGTGCATAACCCCATCTTGGACAGCTGCCAGGTGCCCCTTTGCTTGCCCACACCCACCAACGCGTCGCGCATTCCACCCCCCTAAGGCTCGCATCCTCCAATGTCCGTATCGCGCCCGGGGCTTGTCGTGACGCCGGGTAGTCGTACAGCCCGTACATAGTTTCCCACGTACAGCACAGCATGCCCGCCACCGGAGGCAGCAGGGCAGTCCACGCACCGGCCTCGAAGCCCACACCAAAGACGACTGACAAGGGCAGCATGCGTAGAGAGAGCAGTGCGAGCGCCACGACGCAGCGGCCCGGCATCAAGACGCGCGCATACTCGGCTCCCAACGTCCCCAAGAGCGATGGCCAGCAAGCCAGCGAGCTCGACCGCACAGACGAGGACAACGACGGCGAGGAGATAGCCGACGACGCCTTCTTCCAGCGATACCACTTCCCCCAGCCCATCCTCTCCACCCAGGAAGAGGAGGGCAGCAGTGCCGAGTCGTCGTCAGACACCGAGGGGCCTCTGTCGCCTACTCACCACAAGGACCGCCAGCCATCGCAAGACGCGGCGTCGGAGCCCTCCAACAGCGACTCGGCAGCTGCCATCGTGCAGGACCTCAACATCGCCGTCATTGGCGCGCGGGGCTCAGGCAAGTCGACCTTCATCCGCCGCGCTCTCGGCCTGCCAGAAGCCTCGACGACGGCCAATTGCTCGCGGCGCATGACAATCGACGGCACCCCCTACATGGTGCGCTTCCTCGAAATGGCCTTTAGCGACGTGCACGTGGGCGACCGCAGCATCATCAAATGGCCCGAGACGGTGCACGACTTTGCGACACCACGCATGCATGCCGCCGTCACCCTCTACGACGTCACAAACCACGAGAGCCTGGGCAAGGTTCCCGAAATGCTAAGTCGGTACCCCGCCATCGCGTACCACGCGCGTCTGCTGACGCGACATGCTGACCGAATCCAGGCACACTGTCCAAGGCACAATTACCCTTCATCCTCGTAGCCTGCAAGTGCGATCAACACCCCGCCCACCGCGAGGTCGATCCGGCCGTTGTGGAGCAGAAAGCAAAGTCCTTCATTGGAGACGTGAGCGTGTTTCAGACATCCGAGTCGTCACCGGAGACGCACCGAGGATGCCTGTCCGTCATCACTCGTGCAGCGATAGCGGCCAAGCGACGTAAGTTCATTTCCTTTTGTAACACATGCAGACGTACATTGAATACCAGGGTGCAAGTCATTGACCCCATGCAGCCAGGTCCCAAGCGTCAATGGCGCGGCGGCGGGCCAACTCTTCCGCGGTAAAATCAATCACCCAAAAGGACCTTTGGAGCCGCAAGCACGAGCGTGCTAGCTCGGAGATCTCCATGAGGTTTCAACGGGGTTCAAGCGAGGTCAAGGGCCACCGTTATAAGCCCAGCGATGCCAACAAAACTTTTTTCAACGCCGAAGAGTCGCCCGGCTATGATTCCCAGGAATCCGATGACCAGGACTCGGACGCCGGCCAAAGCATCATGTCGGTGAAGCCGTCGGATGAAAATGGCTACACTTTTGAACAGCTCGTCGACCGACTTCTCGCCCAACCCATGTCCAAGAATGACTCCAAATTCGTCTCGGTGTTTCTGGCCCTGTATCGGAGGTTCGCCACGCCGGGGCAGCTGTTGGAGGCCATCATCAAACGCTTCGAAATACAGAACAAGGAGAAAGAACTGCCCATGATCCGCATCATTGCACAGCTCCGCTACCTGTCAATCTTGCAACAATGGGTCGCCTACTACCCCGGTGACTTTGCCTACCCAACGACGCGTCGACTAATCCGGAGGTTCGCATCCTCGCTAGCGTTGAACCGCGAGTTCTCCGTCGCTGCAACTGAAATTCTGCGCGATCTCGAAATGGTCACTGAAGACGACGACACCGATTGGGCATGCAGCGACCGCCAACGCCACCAGAACGAAAACATCCCGACATTCCACAACAATGTCCTCGACGAGGACTCTGATGAGGACGAGTTTTCAAAAGCGCTAGGACACATGTCAATGAGCAGTTCCACGCGAAACTCGGTGGCTCGGAGCAGCGTGACAGGCGGCGCATCGTCCATGAACGGCTCCATGGGCTCATCGCAAATCCTCCTCACCCAGGTCGAAAAGAACGAACGACTGGCCCGACAACTAGAGCCCAACCCCATTAAACCTCTCTCCAAGATCCAGTGGCATCAGCTCATGGGCGAATCGGACGAAGCCATCGCAAAGGAACTCACCCGGATAGACTGGATCATGTTCTCCTCGGTACGGCCACGAGACCTTGTACGCCACGTCAGTCTAAACGCCGAAGAGAAACAGCGATGCAAGAACCTCGAAAATGTCACACGCATGACCGAGCACTTCAACCACGTTGCCTACCTCGTCACCAATTACATACTGCTGCGCGACAAGCCAAAGCACAGAGCTCTCATGATGGAGAAGTGGATGAAGATTGCGCGACAGCTTCGAAAGCTGAACAACTACAACATGCTGGGTGCCGTCATGGCTGGCATCAACGGCACAGCAATTGGGAGATTAGTCGCAACCCGCGAACTAGTGCCCCAGGCTACCAATCAAGATTTCTGGAAACTCGACATCCTTATGGGCCAAACAAAATCGCATTCCGCGTACCGCCTCGCCTGGGAGAATAGTTCTGGCGAGCGTATACCATATATACCTCTCCACCGCCGCGATCTCGTCTCTGCATCTGAAGGCAATTCCACCTTTGTCGGCGACAAGAAGAAGACGGATTCGGCGTTGGCCCCGCACCCTGGCGTCAGCGTCTTTGAAGGTGTTGTGGGGAAACGCGATAGTAGAGAGCCGCCTCCAAGTGGTGTTGTGGGTAAAGAGCGGATCAACTGGCGCAAGTTTGAGATTATGGGTGAAGTTATTGTTGGAGTACAGAGGGCGCAAGGGACGCCGTATCCCAACTGGCAAAGATGCGAAGAGGTGAGGAATCTGATATTGGATATCAAAATTAACAAGGATGATGAGGTGAGTTTCATCTGTTGGTGGTATTGTGGTTCGGAGCAGTATATTAACGAGAAGCAGGAACTCTACGAGCGCAGTACTCATCTTGAAGCCGGCCGGGCTGATGAGAAGAGTAGGATTGCAAGATGGTTCCGAGAGCGTTAGTGCGCCGCTTTCCCTTGTCACACTCACCCACCCATTCGAGCTTTCCTTGGCCCTGCTAGCTTTTTCTTGTTCTTCATCTTTCATGTTGAGATCAGATAAGCTAAGTGTAGGGTCCTCACACAGCCGGGCGCTTGTCGCTGCCCTCATTGCCGTCTTTGCCGAGCCTGCCCCCGGCGCAGAATTATCAAGCGGCTGCGAGCACGACCAACTATGTGCGCATCTGAGAGAGGCGCCAACAACACGGAGCACCTCGTATGCCATCTCAAATCTTTCACACCACATCGCATCTACGCATCGCATCTACTCCACCATTCTACACCACACTGGACCATCTCTCATTGCGTCTTAAACACCATCTACACTACATATACCCATTTGTCCCGGAACGGGACTGGATTTCGTTACTGGCATTTCTCATAACGACGGCCCCTGTTTGCTTGTTTCGTTGCGCTGCTGCGCATCACGACTGTCATCATCATCATCGTCATTGATACCATCCACATCCACTTTGTCTGTTCCGGCTTTTCGTCCTCCCATTTGGCCTTTCTGTTATATACGCACGATACCTCTTTATCCGAACTGGCGTTTGATATATCGGGGATCGGAGGGAAGGACGGGGAACTATCACACGGTTCATGTTGGGGGTTTTCTTTCCTTTTGTTTACGTGCGTGTCGATGGAGGCTTTTCCACACATATCATATAGCGCATCTTCGGAATTCAAAGCATTTTTTACTTTCTTCTCTATACATTGGTCTTGTTATATTGTCAGTAGTCTTAGCTTACTCGTCGCATCTTCCCACCCGAAAGACACTAGCTTCTTTTATGTTCCTTGATGTCTTGTATCTGAGAGTTTCGCTTTCTAGATCATCTATTAGTTGTACTGTACCTGCGCTGCTGACTGAGGCCGGATACACGACCTAACAGCGTTGATGCGTCTAACCTCGTCTGGCTACTACTAGCTTGATATAGGTCCGGCTTGACTTTAAATCAGCCTCGTGCTTGACCTCGCACGCCCATTGACAACGGCACTATCAGCTCCTTCATCACAGACGGCACGTCCAACCTTGGTCTTCTCGTCGCCTACATCTACCGAGTCCAAAACCGCGACTCTGTCCCCTCTCCCTCGCAGGCAGCCCCAGTCTACACCAAACAGTTACATTCACCAAGGCAACTCCCCACCATCAGGACCAAGGAACTTCCCATTTGTACTCTCCAAACTGGCATTCTCAATCACGTTCTTGATTCCATTCGTGCTCTGCTCCACGGAGATGGTGTGCGCGGACAGATCGGTTCCTTGTTTGGCGAGGAGGAGCTCGAAGCCGGCTTTTCCCATGTCTGTCGCGACCATACTAGGGTGGTGGAGGAGGAGGAGGAGGAGGTTAACATGTTAGCAAACTTTTGGGAAAAAAGAAATAAAGATTGATGGAGGAGAGACAGGAGCAGACACTTACCCAGGATGTTGAACACCAAACCACCACCTTGGCATCACTCAGGTCCTGTTCGAGCGCAAGCCACTTGAAAAGAGAAAGTTGCCCAACGCCTTAACTCGCTCCGTATGCCGCTAATGGCTCATGCTGGTCAGGCTGCGGCCCGCGCTGGACATGTCAGATGAATTTGGGCTGGGCTTTGCCTTTTCAGCAAGAGAGGAAGCACCCCTTTGTATAGCTTCAACGAGCCAAATGCATTGACGTCGATGTACGTTTGCAGGAGGTCGGCTGTGGTACAAGAGAGTAACGGGGGCGTTGTTGTCTGCGATACCAGCGTTTGCGATTAACAACATCAAGGGCGTGGATGTTGAGTTTGACCGTTAGGGACTGGATGCCGGCGTTGATGGATCCGGTGGATGCGAGATCGAGGGTGATGACGATGAGGTGGGAGGCTGGTGCGCGGGGAAGAGACTGGAGGGCTTTGGAGGAAGGGGAGGTGGGGTGGCGGACTGTGGCTAGCACGGTTGTAGAAGGGCGAGAAAGGTAGAGAGTTGCTAGGCTGAAGCCAATGCCGCGATTAGCGCCTGTGATGAGGATTGTGAGGGGGAAGACATTGCTGAAAGAGAGGAAGATGGCGGAGATTGAACAGAAAAGGTATCAAGATTGGCTGATGTGGTACCTGTGTCGAGCGTTTTGAGAACACTAGTGGGGAAAGATGCGATGAAAGAAGATGTCTATCATTTTATATGCGTGGGATTTGAGGGTAGGTAATGGTCCCATAGGTACATGCGAACTCTGTCATTCCTCAACCACCATGATACCGGATACAGATGTTCGGGAGCCCAGCACACGAGGATTGATCATGGGGAAATCCATGTCAAGCCTCGGAAAAGTCCGCTAAGCTTTGTACTCCACGCGGGGTTTGAGGTTAGTCTCCGCGTGCTAGCGCAGACTGTATAAGCTAGCGGACTTGAATCTACTCCACCGCTCTTCCACCAACCTCACTCATGTCGCAAACCGTCAGATCTGTCCGCGCAAGACCGTGTACGAAGTTCGATCTAGTCAACTGTCTATCAAGCGAAGAAATTCAATATCAAAAACGAAACGTCGTGCGGAAAGGATGTCGACCAGAGCTTCACGTCACAAGTCCTGCCTAAAATGCATCCAAACGAAACGAAAGTGTGATCGAATGCAGCCTAGATGTCGACGCTGCATTGCAAGCAATACAAAATGCCAATACATTGGGCGAATCCGCTTTCCGCAACAGCCGAGTATACAACCTGGCGAAGCAGATCACTCCTTTCCCCTCCCGACAGAGCCGGTAGACGGAGCTCAAACACTAGCCAACTGGCAGCTGCAGCCATACCGCGAATCTTCCATGGCATCTTTACCAACTTCATATCTAGATGATACTGTTTTCGAATTTCCTAATCATCCTTTCAACCTGGGAGATATGCCGTACGATGACACCTTCCAATTTGGCTACAGCAGTAGTAGCAACGATAGCAGCGTCGCTGTACAGATCCCCAGTACGAAAATCTGTATGGAACCCCCCGTCACACCGCTCAACACAGCGGAAGCGATAATCCGGCCTCGAGTAGAGTTTGTAGCGAAACACCTGGCAGCCATCCCACGTCACTTTGCCTCGCAAGCTCAAACCATGTTTATACATCGAATGCATTTCCAGTATACATGTCCGACTGCTCTGCAAGACGCGATGAGTGCTTGTGCGTTGTATAGCATCAAGAATGAAGCGAATCAGGCTTTGGTCTTTGGTCACGTGCAGCAGAAATGCCAGCAGCTTGTCACGAGCACGGATGCGCAATCTGCATCGAAAACGGAGCTTCTTGCGGCTCTGCAGGCTTTGGTGTTGTATCAGATGATTCGCCTTTTTGATGGAGATGTTCGTCTCAGAGCTCTTGCTGAAGCTGATGAATCGGTTACTTTGCATTGGGCAAATCGACTCAAGACTCTGCTACGTGATGGCGGTGCGGTAATGCGGCACGGCGCGGCTTCTTCCCCCATTACACGAGTAGGTTTACATCATTCTTCTTCTCCTTCTTTCCCAAGGGACACACCGGTCGGCTCGTCGGACAATTGGCAATACTGGCTCACTACCGAATCAATACGGCGAACGATTATAACAACCCATGTCCTCAGCGGTATATACAATTTCCTCAAACTTGGATATGATGGTCCGACACCAGATCTTCGTGTGTCTTTTACCGCGCAAACGGCGCTGTGGGGTGCACAGAGTGAGAGCGGGTGGCGCTGGGCCCGCGAGGATGCTAATGTAGAGAATCTGGAGATACGGGTCGAGCGCTGGGACGAGGCGATTATGAAGGCGAGGCCAGAGGATTTGGAGGATATGGGGGTTTATATCATGGTTATGTTGTGGGGGGTTGAGGGGGCGAGGGGGTGGTTGGGTAGGGAATTTGTGACGAGGTTTGGGCTAGATGGGATGTAGAAACTTCATACAACGAAGGGTATACGTGCGATAAGAACGTAGCAGGGCAGATAATTCGTTGCGCAAGTTGTGTCGATTCGACCAAGCTATGCTAGTGTAGCCGCCCACGTAAGATTTGGTTTACTTTCATGCAACTTCGACCTCTGTTTGGCCTGTAAGCTTGCGTTTCCCATCGATCCATTTAACCTCCCAAAGAATCACATTAGACTTTGTAGTTTCCTTGCCCGACGCCTTATCTTTGGTCCTCCACTTGCTCAGAACCGCTACCACACCATCTGGCTTCTCCTTGTTCTCCCACTGCAGTACAATGGAGAACTCGTCTTGGATCGAGGTGCAAGTGCTACGAACGTACTGTAGGCCTTGTTTGAATTGGTCGTAATTGTAAACTTCGTGATTGATTCTAGTAGTAGTGGTGGTGTGTCAGATATGCTTGGCTGGTCTCACAAGCTCAGTGTAACGTACTTGGTCACAAGACTTTGATCGACCTGATCGTCGATTGCCTCGAGAGCAAGTTCATCGTTAGGCTGAATGAATAGAGTATTGTTGAGTTTGGTGACCCAGTGGCTGAGAGACTCTTGTTGTGCCGACATTTTGCGTTGCTTGGTATTGTAAGTATCTTCTCATAGTCGTGGGTTAATAGATGTACGTACGTAGATAGAGCTATCGCGAGCGGAATGTTGATGAGACTTGGATGCTCCAGATGTCAAGCCCAACTTATACCACTTGCTGGCTTGCCCATCCTCATTCTTAGGATTACTCCGACTAGCGACTACACAACTCCGCCTGCGTATCACCAACGGCCGCTGATGGCGGACTTGCTATATCGCAGAGTTCCGGGGATCGCAGTCTGAATGACGGGGGTTGGGGGGTACCCAGCACGCTAGCGGAGTTTCAGAGCGCTAGCGGAGATGGTGGTGACTGGCCATACTGATATCGATGAAGCCGTCTACTCGACTGTGATCATGTTGATGGGCAAATATTGATTGAGAGTGGACCTTGGTATATATCTGAATAGGCAAAAGTAACTGTTACGCTATCTGCTGACTGTGATATTACTGTGAAGTGAAGGGATCTATAAGTCTGTCTCACACGGTGGTTGGTTCGTTACAAAAGCATGTACATCATATCGTTAGTCCTGCCACAGCATCTTCCACGTCTAGTGCCGATGTTCTTAAACCTGATACACTGTCGACTCTCGATATCTTCCTCAACGCAACCTCCATCAACGCATCCTGCATGCCACCAAGTAGGCTAGCCGCCTGATCCCTATCCCAATAGCTTTCGTTAAAGCACACGCTGAGGACGAGTTGGCCCTCCCATATCCATGTGTGCACCATCATGCGCATCGTTAGGGTCTCAGCACCTAGCCAAAAGTCCTTGACTTTGACCAGTCCGTCGCCGATGTTCTTGGAGACCTGCTCATCTACTTCGCCAAGGAAAGCAAAGCGCGGCTGTAATTGTCCGTCTGACTCGCCTTTCTTGCCGTGGTTGGGACCGAACAGCGTCTCTTCGAGGCGCTTGTGGAAGAAGGGTGACGACGGCAAGTACGGTGCATAGCCGGCAGCATAGACGGGTGCGAGTTGAGAGTAGTACGAGTCGAAGTTAGTTTGCGGCGAGACGATGACCTCCGTAGTGATTACGCTGGTATAGCTTGTGGGTGAATTCTCAGGAGCTGCGCCTTCTGGGATCAGGGTGCGGAGGTTGGAGTGGAAAGAGGCCATGAAGCTTCGCGCTTCCTTTGTTTGTGCGAGTTTTGCAACGGAGCTGATGAGGGCGGCATGCAGAGCGATGTCAATAGCGAGAGCTGAAGTCTCGCAGCTATCGAAGACCGTCCTCGTATCCCGCTTGGAAAACTTGATAAAGTGCCGTTGAGTATATCCCGGCCTCTGCGCTTTGATAGTGGGTGTCAGTTCCAGAGCTGGCTTGTGAGGCTCTAGTGCTGCCAGACGGCTTTCGGCTTGCGCTACAAGTTCTGGTGTTTCCTCGTGCCCGATACCAAGAGTCAACTCCATGCTCGGGGTCAAATTCTTGGCACACCCGCCAAAGACTAGGTTGGGGTTCATGTTGGCCAGAGACTCAACGAGGTGGTTGAGGCAGAAGATGGCGCCGCGGGCGTCGACACGGTAGTGGGGGGACCAGATCATGACTTCGGATGTGTCGGGAAGGAAGTAGCACATCATCTGTTCGTTCCTTGGAATCCGGCCCAGCAGTTCGTCAACGGTTTTGCCCTCAGCAACGGAGAATGTTGCCGAAACCCACAAAGCGATTGAAGGTTCGTCTCCGACGCGATAGATGTATCGACCGTTATATGGGAAAGCGGCAATCTCCGGATGGTTGTAGCGAACTTGTTTCCAAGCAGTCCGGAGGTAGCCAGCAGGATCTTTGATGTCAGGATGGAACTCGAGCTTCGCTACTGCGTTCTTGGCCCAGTTGTCGCGGCCAATGGCATTTGGAACATTTCGGGTAAGTATGTTTATCCTCTCGAGGTATGTTTGTGCGCGCTCCCAACGGCCTGGTCGGGTCTCTTTCCAGGTAGCGTCTGCCATGATTGCTGAGTAGAGAAGGAGCAGGAGTCAAGAGAGGGAGAGTTGAGAAAGGTAGAGAAGAAGCAGGACAACTAAACAGTCCAAGGGAGAAGTGGATACCTGCAGTTAAAAGATATCGCCGAAGCCTGGGGTATTGTCTCACATATATAGTTAAGTGGGCCGCTACATGCGTGAAGTTCCAAGCTGGGCATGCCGAAGAAGTCCAGCCTCAGGTTCCTTTTCCGAAGCTGCCTAAGCACAATACCATGCCAAAGCAGCGGCATCATATCGGAACATTGTTCCGGAAGCGCTAGTCATGGCGAAAAGGGTTTCTCACCGTTTATACCAGACTACCGAGTTCAGCTTGGCCTAAGACAACTTGGAAAGAGTCTTTTCCTGCAGCCACCAAATACACTCGCCCCAGGCACGACCTTTCAGTGGAAGCATCGCTCAGCGCTTGTGTGCGCGGGCGTACTTCGGGCTGTGAGCCTCGAGTATTGCGTGTTCTGGACGGGTCTGGGTCGTGGTGTTTCGATGTATAGCCAAGGATGCGGATCGAGGCGAACGGCCCGCTGCACGCTACATCCGTAAAGCTCATCGCGTATCGCCGACGTCATAGTTGCTTTTTGTACACCTCCAAGGCTCTAAATCCATTCTTATAAGACCAAGATACTTAGCAATAATATCTAAGCATGCACCATGTTTACGTTGAAGGTCGACTAGAATCCGGTCATACTTTCATAAGTAGATCAACCTAGACGTTGTTAGCGTATCTGCTTTAAACTCTAAGCCGCTGTTAGCACTAATAAACTGGTCTTTCCGTGCGATCTGTGGAAACCAAACTTGCGCGGCAGATCGTAGGTATAAGGGGGTTTGTACGCAAGGATTGTGACGATGAAGGTATTAGTAGTGCGCCATCGAAGTATTACGTTTGTACATCAAGTCGGATGAGGCGTAACGCGCCATGCGCCGCCTGCCAACATTGTCCTACCCCTTGTCCAAGTACCTAGTATATGCAATCGGGAGTGACACACAAGTGAAAGATGGTGTAAAATCGAGGGTTCGCGACAGGGTCGAATCGGGACGATAAAAAACAGGAGTATGAGCAGGAATAGCCGTTGGGTCGGCTTGGGAGTTAGGGTACCAATTGAGTTCAACAGGCAATCTAGCGCGGGTCGATGCGGATGGTGAGGCGTAAGATTTGACGTCATAGCGTTGAGACACAGCCTTGTCGATATCGGTGGAGGTTGTGTTTCAGGGGAGCAACTAGGCGGTCAAATCAAGTATGCGAGTAACACTAACATAGTAAGCTGAAGGACATTCACAAATACAAGCGGTTTTCGACCATGGACCGAGTGCACTGTTATGCTCACATGAGCGATTGCGATCGTGGGACGAATTCCCTCGAACTGAATCACTCAGAACGCGTCCATATGTTTCTAGCAATGGCGAGTGACTCGAAGAGAAGTGAGGAGCTATTTTGCGAGACAAAAGCAAAATAGGATTGGTGTCGATGCTCGTTGCGTCGCGCTTGTGGAGATGATCGGTGTTCTCGCTAGCTGGAGCTAAGCTCCCCGCATACGGTGCCAAGACTACCGGACGTGGGGACGAGTTCCGCGTGCCTCATTCGGCCTCAGCCGCATCGCCTCTGACTCTCTACTTCACATAAGCATCCTTCGTGACATTGCTACCTCCTCACCTACTCGTAATAACAATAACGCGCCGCTGTTGAAATGTCACATTCGATCTTAGATACAAGCTACGACAAGCAAAGTGGTAGCATTGCCGAATTCATGATGCATTACGACAATCGTGGAGAGCGACTATACTTGAAGGTAAATGCAACTACCCGCACCATCAGACTGTATACTGCTCTTCTATGCAATCATAAATCGGACGATTGGCGCATACCAGATCAGGTTCCTTTTCAATTCTAGTACCTACTCCGCAGATTTACTGTACAGCAGCGTGAATTTACGAAGCTCAGCTTCATGTGGCGCAAAGGACGTTGAACACGAATGCGAACATCCGCGCTATGTCAACGTACTAAGCAATATGCTCATCAAACGGGGAGGCCGCACGCGAACCCGATCAACGCTCAAAAGTCATTGCTTTTTTACGGGATCCCTTCCAGACGCCTTACAATGCCTACACCAGACTATACAATGCGCCCCTCGTTGCACCATTGAGAGTGGCGTCAATACTACAAGTGGGGCGAAAAACAATCACAGAACGCCAAACGACATGTAACAGCGTTCTCATCGTCTACTTTCGTTCATTCCCGTCGCGCTTCGACCTAACCCACATTTATCTCGAACAGACTGCGACTAATAGCAGTATAGATGCGCATGCTCGCGCTTTGAGTGCTCAAATCAGGCAGCTGAGCGACGTTGCAAGTGAACACTCAGCTCCTTCACCAACAGCCTGCCACCGTCTAGTGCAAGAGACACACACCCCTTTCCTACGATTTCCGAGCTTGTTGGCGGCCCAAAACATGATATTGATGTCGTTTTCACGTCTGCACCATCTAGCCTGCCACTGCATCCCACATGTTGTATCATATTTTGTTCACGTCTGCTATACCTAGCAAGTGCAACGCAAATAGATTGTAGTTGGGTTCTGGCAGACGTGACTTGTAAGACCCAAATTCAACTAAGACTCTCGACTTCCCCGTAAACCTCGTCTCTCTAAGCATATTAGTTGCAGGCGCTGCGAACTACAATTCTAGTGGTATCACAAACTCCAAGCGCAAGATGATGCACATCTCTCGCTCCGTGCTATTGACAGCCCGAGATATGATTTGTCGGATCTCCTTAGATTTACTACCTGGATTTCTGCATGCGGAATCTGTCTTGCTCCCCAATGATGACAAAGTTCGTTGCATTAACGACCAATCTGAAAATCTTGGCCATAGTAGAATTTTGACCCCCTCTTTGGATTTCTAAGCGCGCTGGAGTGTGCTGAAGTCACTGAACAGTGAGCTAAGACCTTGGCACATCAAAGATACATGTAGGCGGCACGTGCACGAATACGGTAGCGTGTGAAACAGCTTACGTTTGCCGTATTTACAATCAGTGGTTGATCATCTTATGTCAAACAGTGTGACTTCTATACAGGTCCTAAGATTTTCGTCCGCGATGTACGCTGTCAAATTGCTACTTAGTGGAGTAGAAGCGGCCGGTGGCTACCGAATCCCTGCCAGCCTCGCTAACAAGCCCCTACTAGCGGCGTGTTAGTCTCTCCTGTCCCTTGCTAGACTTCGCGAGAGTTTGTAGAGGGTCATTACCACCGGGTGTCATCCAGTGTCCCCGAGACCGAACTTAGAAAGCTCCGTCGTTGGTCCCTAGACTCCGTGTTATGGCATGATTCAGACTATTCTTCCATCTCAACCTCAGGCAGCGGAATGTATCCGGACGAATTACCACCAGGCGAGGGTCAAAGATTGGCGTATATAATAAAGATGTTCTATACATGTTTCTATGTCTATATTGCTGTGACACCTTCACCCTTCCCTCAGCACATCGTTCCCAGAAAGATCTAAAGATGTCGTCCACCACCACTGTCCTCATTACAGGCGCAAACCGCGGTTCGTCCGAATTTTCCTTCATTGAGAACTGCTTCCGGATACTAACGTTACATTTCTAGGCATTGGCCACGGTCTTGTAAGCGCATATCTTGGTCGCTCGAACACTACTGTTATAGCCGCAGTTCGCAATGTCGCAACTGCTGAGTCTCTGAGGTTTTTGCCAAAGTCTTCTGGTTCCCGACTTATTGTTATCGAGATTGATGTCGCATCTTCTGATTCCATCAGACGCGGCATCGAAGCTCTGACAGCGGAATACGAATTGGATAGCCTCGACATAGTCATCGCCAATGCGGGCATGGCGGTTGAGAGCGCCAAACTCATCGACATGGCAACTCACGATATCCAACGCTTCGTCGATGTCAATGCGTATGGTCAGCTGGAATTGTTCAGGGCCGTGCTTCCGTTGTTGCGAAGATCGAATAAGGCGGCCAAGGGTAAGTTTATGTACATGTCCAGTGTCGGTGGGAGCTTGACGACTATGGACAATATGCTTCCTGCAGCGGCATATGGCGCAAGCAAAGCGCTCGGCAATTTCTTTGTCAAATGGCTGTCCCTTGAGCAAAAGGATGTTGTGATATGGGCCCAGCATCCTGGGTAAATACATGTGCACATGAATCTTGTTCTTGTGCTGATCGAACTATAGTCTGGTAGCGACAGAGACGGCCAAAGCCGCACTCGAAGACATGAAGTCTCACGGTCCAGACTTGACAGCACTAGCCCTTCCAGTGGAACAGGTTTGCCAGGATTTGTTGCATTTGGTATGTAAAGCTTTGCACCTACTTTGCAGCTACTAAGAAAGCTATGATAGACTGAAAATGCCACCTTGGAGACTACGCATGGAAAGTTTCTGGGACCTGATGGTGAGGAGCTACCATGGTAGAGTTCTGCTAGAGAAAGCCACAGTTTAGACCATCACTCAAAGTCAACCATTTCAACATCAATTTGTAAGATAAACATCGGTTTGGATTCATGGGCATCAATAGGCAATTGCCGTACGATCTAAGTTACGACAAGGCCGATCTTATACTGTATCAGGACTTGCTCTCGTAGATATATAGCTATCCGGATGCTAGTGCTGCTACTTAGTTACACTGTGCCAATGCAGCCTCGATTGAGCTTATGATAGCAGAGTTGCGGTGTTGAAGTCGAGGCTTTGCATACACAGATCGGGCCTTTTACGGGGACGGGCGTTTCGCGGTGATTCTCAGTCTTCAAAGCGCGGATTGAGGAGAGTTGTACTCAAATGCATTGACAAGAGATTGACAACTCGCCCGCCAAACTATATCACAAACTCAGGATGTTCCAACCGGATGTCCAGGCATCGTCTCAGACAAGCTGCAATCTGATTGATAATCTACTAGTATATGCTTGTCGCCATCTGCTCCGTCCTTTCTTGTCCGCCGGACAAATACACTGACGCAGTCACTCGGCATGATAGACCCTTGCTAAGCTCATCCAGCCGATGCAAACACCAAAACCTCTCCTGAGAGCCGCATTGCTAAAGCCTCTCATTCGAACAGCTATGAATATCATGTCACTACGATATCCGTTTGACGCGAATGCTTTTCTTGTACGCAGTTGCTGATGCCAACGGTATGTAACGATCAGCTAGAAACCCTAAACGTATTTGGTAAGAGATGCTACAGTACCGTACAATTGCCAAAGCTAACTGCATACCGTTGTACCAGTCGTACGTTATCTTGGCAAAGCAGAGCATTATGATAAAGACGTGTATCCATCGTCTCATCCTCTCCGCGCGGTCACTGGGATCTCGGGTTGCAAATCTGATATACCAGAGCGCTATAATAGTAAGTCGTAGGGACAAGTCGAATTCGGAATTGAAATCTACACTGGATCGTCCAAGGCACAACAGTGTGACCCAGAATAGCCAGTCTAAACCAGGTCCAAAGAGCACAATAGACCAATGAGCGACCAAAGCAGCATCTAAAAGATGTTGAGGATTCTTTGTCAAAAATCCGAATGGACGGCTTGGTTACCTTCTATCACTGAGCGGCTTGGGAAGTAGCCGTTTCGCTGCCTGCCGCAAGATAGTGTTTTGGTAGAGATACACCATCCATGGTATGATGAGCGATGGAGGCACAATTAGATAGAGAGAGATATTTGGGCCGAGATCCGTTACGATATAGGATATTAAGCCTTCAAAGATTGTGAAGTGTACTGCGGAGATGGCTGCAGCTGCCAGTTGGCTAGTGGGAGAGCTCCTTCTATCAGCTCTGTCGAGAGAGGAAAGGAGTGATCTGCTTCATCGCTTTAGGGAAGTCAACACAGCGACGCCCCATCAATAAATAGTGTTGTGTCTCCATTAACTTTGTAATCCATCACTTCAACAACAGCAGCAGCAACAACAGCAGCAGCAGCAGCAACAACAGCAAAATGTCTGCTCCCAACGTCAAGTAAGCACACAATTGTCCTACACGTTGCAAGTTATCAGACGGACCACTTCCTACTCTTCACCCAAGTCCCCTGAGATGGCGTCAATCCTCGCCAGGTGTCACTCTCTCGATGACTTCGTGAGGACTTGCGAAGACAGCTTTCAGCATTCAGTCGTCTCCTCTTCTCAACGACGCATCGCCGTCTCGAGTCAAGATGTCTCAGTTCCACACGTCCTTCTGTCTTCGCCTTCATCGTCATAGGGAGTTCTCGACATTGTTGATACATTCATGCTAACATGTGCTATCTAGCAACAACGGCCTACGAAGATCTGCCCGCAGGGCCATTCAGGTCCTCGGGGCCGACATGCATCGGGCCGCCGTGGCGGAGATGGCGGCGTCCGCCGCCTGGATGGCCGGGATGCACACGCCGCAGGCTGGCCACCTGCTTGTCGTTTGGCAAGCAGCTCGAGCCGCTGTAAGTATAGTCCATCCACGAATATGCATTAAGATGCACATTCGAGCCTATACAATCACATCTCACCTCTAGTCAATGACACTATACCTACGTTCGAAGGTCAACGTCGACCATTACTCGAACGCTCATCGATCCACCCAACCCTATTCATCATCAGCCCATACGAACATAATTGCGAATAAGCTCAAGACAGTGGCAAACCTTCATACAAGTCGCTTCCAGTACAGCCGTTTCTTGTCGATCGACCCTATACATGCGATCCGCGAACACAGACCTACATACCGTAACGAATGAGCAATGCTTAGCGACCGCATATGTCAAGAGAATAACGAAGCCTATCCACCGCCCATACATATTGGACTTGACTATATCATCGAAGCTGAGAAGCACATCTACATCAAACATTGTATGAGTCTGGTATATGCTAATCACGTGATGTCATTTAGGACCAGGCTGCCACTGCGGCATAGCATGCCGCGGTCAGTGCCGCGCAGGCGGAGTACCAGAACGCCCGCAACGTCTTTGGCTGAGGATGAAGAGAAGAAGGCTTCCATGATGGCGGTTTTGGAGTAGGATACCAAGAGCAGGAAATTACGAGAAGATCATAATGGTAATGGTGGGGAAGTTGGAGGAGGAGGTAAGGAATGGGGGTTACATTCTACATGTGCTAGCATAGAAGAAGAGTTTATTGCATTTCCTCGTACTTACCTAGAGATTGATGGGATTATGTACATAGAATCCCTTCGGCAGAATCCTCAGTTCCGCGATATATAATCCTTGAGTTTTTGTATCTTCTCATGTAAAAGAACCCGCTCGTCTGAATTGCATAGGGACAAAGCCATGTCCAACAAGTCCCAATCGCTCGCACCCGGCTTTTCCATCTTGATTCTCCGGCCAGACCTTCGATGATGGTTATTTCTTTCCGCCAGGTTACTTTTGGTGTAACAAACGAAATGCACTATTGTGAGTTCGCGGCTCATCCCTGGGCTCAGCGCTTGTCGGGCAGTGTCCATCGCTGCCAATCTTTCGTACATCATATAATCGACCGTCAAGTCCTCTAACTCCCCTGAGTTCCCTCCTCGCCTAGGAAGTATTCCATAAGGATCTTCCAAAAGCCGAATGCGAATTTCGCATGTCTTCCAAATCGCCATTCTCCTTAGAGTTTGCCCCACAAACCTATGCAGGCTTTCGGGCCTACACTCCGTCGGGGTCTCGAAAGTTTCTTCGTGTCCACCAGAAATATGCTGGGGCAGATACGTCAAAACCTCGGATATGTCCCCCTCCCTGTCCAAGCTGTCCTGTGTCTCCTGCTGACTCCCTTGCTTCCAATAGAAAGAGACATGAGGTAGATACGTATCGTTGTACCAAGATGCGAGTTCGAGGCTCATATTCTCAATTTCGTTACCGAACTCTTGAAACCCACCTAGATTTGTGTGCAATCGTTTGCCGGCTTGATAGAAGGTACGTGAGAGCGCGATGTATACAGGGGCTATCTGTTTGTGCGTCGGCCCGAGAACGATTTTGGGTTGAAACGGGTCATTAACTTTCTGAACCTGTTTCTGTACCGAGGGGTGCTTCGCATCCTCGTATATAGTCTTGTTGACTTGAAGCAGTGAGGTTGGCATTCGATATACCTTCCAGCTGCAGATAAAGGGCTCAGGGAAAACGGGCTCGTAAGCGATTTCCGGCAGATAGCTGTAGATGTCCCAGCGCAATTCGGTCGGCAAGTTCATGAACGGAAAGCCACCTGCTTCTCGCATCGTGACTGTGGAATGGTCGTTCATTTGGTGGGGGCGCACTTCGTAGGGCCTGACTTCCTTCAACGCTTTTTGTATTAGTGTACGATTTCGCTCGGGATGATTTTGGATGAAAGGATTTGTATATTTAGGCGTGCAAAGTCCAGGTAAGATTTTATAGGCTTTGGAGTTTTATTCTGTGGGTGGCTAATTATATGTTCCAAGGTGTTGCTTAAGGGTGCTCTGTGGTTGCTATCCACTGCAACCCGTGGTACCACAATGACTGATGAACAATGAACCAATTGTGTTTCCGAGAACACATATCAAAAACACGCACACAAAAATTCTGAGAACGAAGAGTCTCGAACACAAGGATTGAAATCGATCTGTGGTTGGTCCAAAGCCTTTGTGCGCCAGTCTGTGCGTGAATCACGTCAGGTCCAGATCGAAGAACAGGGAAGGAAGTCTTGAATGCAACGGAGGCAACAAGGACCATATAGCCAGTCTCGCACATAATTTTACGGCCGGGCAGGAGGATACGCTCTCATTATTAGCATCGAGTGGCACCGGCGAATTTCGATTAACATCACATCTGTCAAAGTCATGCATTTCGAAGCGATGAAGGCGAGTACCCTTAGGCTGCCGTTTCTATCAACTCTGTCCGCTCATCCGCTGACAAACCACTTCTCGCTTTAGGTACATCTCCCTAGAGCGATACTAGTGCCACACTCCCGGCTGATGCAGCAACCCCAAACCAGAACGTGTACTTGTAACTGCTCGCGAGTCCACGTCTTTCCATGGTAGTCACCTGTATCAGATCGGTGACCCCAAGTGTCAACGCGACTCCAAGTTGCAACACAGAGTTGAGCAACCCTCCCGCTAAACCTTGTTGCGTCTTTGGGAGTTTCGTTGTGATGAACACTGACATCAGGATTGTCGGAAGGTCGATACTAATCGTGCTGCATATCGTGGCAGGGAATATCCACGCCCAGTAACTCCAGCCCTCGAGCGGAACGTTGGCAAGAAGAAGTTGTGATGCCAAAGCGCCAAGGGTGCCAATTATCATTAAGATCCGTCCCGGAACAAGGTGCAGAATGAAACCCTCTATGACACTAAGAATTATCCCCGCCACACCGAGAGGTAAGTACCAAACGGCTATTTGTAAAGGTGAAATGGACCATATGTTCTGGAAGAACAGTGTCCCATATACGGAGAAAATCCTCCAGCAGCCATAGAGAATGAGTATAGAAAGAAGCAGTGGGGCCATTGAAGGAATCATCAGGATCGAAGCGGGTAGAAGAGGTTGAGATGCTACCCTGACTTCGATGTAAACGGCAAACAGGAGAGACGCAATGCCTAGAACGAAGCAGACGGGAATGTATGGAGTGCGCCACCGCTGCGGAGCATGTGCGGATTGGGTGATAGAGAATACAGTGAGAACAAGTCCAGCTGCGATAGAGGCCGCACCGATATAGTCCATCTCAACCCCAAGTGTGCGACCTTGCCGTATAGGTGCGTGAGGAATGGAGAAAACGGAGGCTATCAGTGCGGTTGTAGTCAAGATTGCACCTATCCAGAAGTAGTGACCCCAATGCAAGAATTCGCCAACGACACCTGCAAGAAGAATACCCCCGAAGAATCCGAGAACGCCTGATGTGCCGTAGATCGCGAAGACAAGATTCTTGCGAGGACCTGGACGATACTGCGACCCCAAGAGCATGATGCCTGTTGGAAGTGCAGCAGCAGAACCAAGGCCCTGGAGGGTCCGACAAATATCGAGCATGATTGGATTGATGCTAAAACCTCCGACTATGCTCCACGCTAGGAGCCAAGTGAGGCCTCCAACATAGACAGGGAATCCAGCCCACATATCGCCCAGACGGCCAAAAATGAGCAGGGTGCTGGCGATCGCTAGGGAGAACGCACTGGCTGGCCACACAGCAACCGCCTGTGGGATATCCAGTTGTCTGATCAAGGTAGGGAGGATGAGCGTGAAGCCCGAAACAAAATATTCGGTCATGAACTGAGACATGATGATACTGTAGACGAAAGCTGCTTCGTGCCAGTTGCTCGAGAATGCCTGTGGTCGCTCATCACCAAGCCTCTTGATTCGTGCTTCAAGGGTTTCTTCCATCTGAAGTTGCATTGTTTCAGACTGGTTGGTGGCGGAGCAAGTAGGCGAAGCATTGTTGGAGTCGTCGCTATTCATAGTTGGAGTGGATGGAGTACCCCGGTCGAACGCCTTATTTGCAGTGTCTTCGCCGTGCTTACTCGATAGATTTGGAGAGGAGAAGATTTGCACTGGATGGCCGTGTTTCGGGGACGGAAGGTAGTTATGCACTTATTCGCGCGTCGAGATTATGGTGTCAAGAATCGATAGTGCCGGCGGCTTTATGGTAGAGGGCGTAGGCGAGATAGCAATCAAGGTGAGGAAATCATACATTCAAGCTTCAGAAACATGATCTATCTTTTATTTGTGTGTTTCTCTAGATCGCGGGTCCAGGTGCTTCGTGGAACATGAACCGAACTCAACATCTTGGCTGCCTTTTTGGGATTGGTATTTTCAATTGCTCTACTGGGGTCGCTATCTATGCTGAATAATAGCAAAGATCACGACTAAGACTTGGTATGATTGACCGCTGTCCAAGAATCATGAGATTTGCCTGCCTTGGTGCTTGTTGCCACAAAAGACTTGAGTTTACATTGAGATAATTTGGATCTCGGGTTCATGGTGTCAGCAAAGTCTATAACATGGTTGGCAAGCGAGTGAGCCACCCCACCAACTTTGCGCACCTCTACACGTGTATATCTCAACTACCTTACAAGATAATATATAGATAATAATAGAGTATACTAAGCAGTATCTAAGGTATCTTTCTTGCACGTACGTAAGTTGTGGCTAGTCTCCCTGCACCTTGTGCAGCGCGCCAGAGCCTGGCGGCTAAGGCCTGATCGCGCTCCTCCTTGACGCTCTTTACGAGAAATCTGCTGCTTAACCTCGCGTTAAGCAAGTATATCCTCTCCCTCTCCCTTTGTTAAGGTCCCCTGCTTCTGTATACGCTTTTTCTTCTGTTGCTTACGTGCTGACGCTGCCTTATTAGCCTTCTTAAGGCTGGCAATCCGATCGCGCATTAGCTCAGCTGAGAGCATTATCACCTTAGCCCTCTTCTTGAGCTGGTTAATCGCCTTAATAATCGAAGCTAGTGATGAGCTCTTGTGCCGTCGCACGCGATCACGTATCAACGTTGATTGAGCCTTAAGCTCACGTACGTTGCTCGGCGTACAAGCCTTTTAGGGAGCCTCTGGTAGAGCAGCTGGAGTAGGCGTACGGAGCTGCACGTCTAGCTTCAAGAGGACAGCGTCTGGCTGGAGAGGAACAAGGCCTGCGCCGCGAAAAGCTGAGCAGATATTGGCTGGCGTGAACGCTCGATCAAACGCTGTCTTGAACGCTGGCAGAAACTCGAGCTTAGTGATGTGGTTGATGTAGTGGCGGATTAGGCTCTCTACCTCACGACTGTACGCGCGCTTTAACAGCGAGAAGCAGCTAACGTTAAGAGGTTGAAGCAGGTGAGATAAGTTAGGTGGCATGCAGAGCGTGTAGATGTTGTTCTCCTTGCAGAGCTCTTAAAACTTAAGGGATTAGTGGCTCTTATAGCCGTTAAGGACGAGCAGGCGACGCACACTAACTATGCGAGTCTTCGTGTGAGCGTTGAAGTGCTTTAGCCACTCTACTCCTAGCTTGTTAGTTGTCTAGCTATTGTCGCTGACTGCGATCGCCTAGTCGCGTGGGATCTCTGCTTCCTCGTACTAAGCAGACAGGTGATACTAGCTAGCAAAGATAAGGAATAGTGGGACTAACTAGCCAGCAGCGTTGATCGCAGCGATTAACATTACCCACTCGCGATTACTAGGCTAGATAGCCTTTAGCCTACTTCTCCTCTCTAACGCTGTTACAATAAGCTAAGTTGTAATCTTTCTTATTATAAAGCTAGCTTTATTAAAGTTGTAGACGTTATTATCGCAGATACTGTACTTAGCCTTTGTCTGCTCTACGAGCTTAAACTAGGCGCTAATTAGGACTAGATCTTCGCACAAAGCTCTCTGCCTATCGTACGCTTAGTTAAAACACGTCGTGAGACTGTCTGTACGCTTGATAAAGTTAGCTAGCTACTTCTGTCTAACCTGGCCTGCGCTGCGCGCAGCGAGCAGCTTATCAGCCATATCACGTACAGCTGTGTACGTAGGTGAAAATCCACGTAGATCTAGATTAAGTATATAGCTAACGATTACCTGCTCCTCTAGCTAGGTGAGCTTCTTTAAGTTAGGCTAGCAATCACGTTAGGCGGGTTTGCCAGCGCGTTGGCGGTGGAGGGTAGCGCGAGAGACTTTAAACGTCGCTGCAGCGCGTCTCTTAGTCTAAATTTAACTTGTACTAAGAGCTAAGATTGCAAGGTTTATATCAGCCTTACGAGAGGCGTTTTAAGTTAGGGTAGGTAGAGCTATAAGTGATTTAAGGTCGTAGGTTGCGCAAAGTTGGTGGGGTAGCTCACTCGCTTGCCTGGCTCACTCGCTTGCCAACCATGTTACCACTTCACATCAAAAGACCTTCAGGAAAATCACTGGCACTTAAGCGATCGTGCTTAGCCGCCTTCCGCTGTCCACTGGACAGCTCTGAACTTACGGCTTGATCGACATTGTACTGACGCCGATATCCCAAAACTACTTACTATGCTAGCTTGGGATAAGTAGGATAGTGTAAGCAATCTGAACAACGGTCTAGTGTCTTGGCTGCGTTATCTGGTTTAGCGCTTTCCGATCTTTGCTTTGCAAATCGCGACTTATTATTGCTGGAACCGACGTCCGTGCTCAGCGCGCACCCCGCTCGCCCTTCTGGGACGACGTTGGTTCCTTGTACGTAAATCATCATTGCTGTCCGCACCGATTTGAATCATGTAGCTTTCACGCACTTCTGTTCCTCGTGATGACTATACCCGCGACCCGGAACAAAGCATGCCACAACTGCAGACGCAAGCGTCTCAAGTGCGATCGGAACGTGCCCAGTTGTCTCAAATGTGCCCAGCGTGGATACGAATGCTTGGGCTATCAAAGCTTATTCCGGTGGGACCAAGGTTTGGCAAGCCGCGGAAACCTGAGAGGTACGACATTCGAAAGCCTGGCAAAAATGAAGGAGCGATCAAATCTGCATGAGTCACGATTGCTACGGTTCGTTCTGTCCAACGCTTTCCCGCTGTTAGATAAGCTGAAGCTCATCTGCGTAGGGTTATCGCTGATCCACTTCTGCAAGATCTGTGCAACACCTCGAGAAGACATTTGTCTTACTGTAAGCCTCTAAATCCTTCGTTACTTTTAGAATGCCACATGTCGGATGCTTATGTTCATACCGCACTAGTCTCCAACAATGTGTGTCCAGACTTTGTTCTATACGATGCACCGTATAGTAACCCGTTTCGAACGCTCATCCCGTTAACCCAAGGCTATCCTTGTCTATTACAAATCATCATTGCTATTTCGGCATTGCACATGTCAAACGCATCTGAAGGTCACTTGTCGACCTCTTCCCTCGATCTCACTTACGTAGTACCCCAATCTTCGGCACTATCAAGCGACCTTGCATTCTCGCAAAAGACTAATAGTGAGGCTGCTCTCACAGCAAAGCAGCGAGCACTCGAATTGCTGAACATTGCTATTGGTCAAATGGAACCGAAGGACTTGGATGGCATCCTGGCAACTGTTCTGCTCTTCGTCCAATTTGAAATCGTGGATTCAGGACGAAACGAATGGAGAAACCACATTCGTGGTGCGAGAGTTCTTATTGACATGGCCCGTAGATCATATACCAACACTCCACAGCCTATCTCTTCATTGAGGCGTTGTTTGATCTCGAATCACTTGGTGTATGTCAAGCTATGAAAGACCCAGCCTGCTATGACGAATTAACGCCAACCTAGATATGACATCATCGGAGCAACGTTTGCCTCCTATAAGCGCACAGTGCCGAACGATACGTTTTCGAATGGTACACTCTCCTTGCTGCAGGACAATGAAGGAAATCATTGCTCGTCATTTCCGATGCCACTGCTGCATCTCATACGGAATGGAGTTCGACTTTCGGAGAGCTCGGAACTTTTCACAGACCCCGGACTTTGCACCGTCAGAGACAAGCAAGCGCATCTGCTACTAGAGTCCGCAAGATCATTCGATCCAGAAGCATGGGCAGCCAATGTCCAGGTACATTCTCCCCACCCTGATCTTGCAGTGCGCACTCACATCGCCTCTGCGCACCAAGCCGCAACTTGTATCTACCTAACTCGTCTCCTGTTGAAAGAGTCACCTACTTCCCAGTCACTCCAAGATTTGGAAAATCTGGTACTCAAGATCCAAATTCATCTCTCCAACATATTACCGCACGATCCGGTCATCGCCGCGACTGCGTGGCCATCCTTCATCGCTGGAGCTGAAGCCCATGAAGATACCACGGAATGCTGGGCACAGAACCAACTCCAGAATATCTGGGCAGTTCAACCGTGGGGGTTGATCAAAGGAGCACTAGCCGTTCTGAGAATGATATGGGCAAGACGAAGGCAGTATAGAGATTTCGAGGATACCTACACATTGGTCGATAAGGAAGAGAACGAAAATTGGGTCGCATATATGAGGAGAATTGGGGCTGACTGGCTCATATTGTAACAAGTGTCGAGCCGTGATCTGTAGATATTACTAGAAACATACGGCTGATTTCATACACCATTTTATTGCCCGGCAGGAGGATATGTTTTCATTGTTAGCATCGAGTGGTATGAGCGAAGTTCCACGACGTTCACTTAGCCAACCGCATGCTCGGCCGAGGTGCCGCTATATCTTAGCGCTTCACGGACATACGGTATCACAGCCAACAATATAAATGCATGCTGCGATGCGCCCGCAATCTGACCGAAAACGCTCCGCCATCGATGTTCTACGGAGATAACAACGGCATTACAACCCGATGTCTCCGCTGACCAGTCGATTCACCCCTGCATTCTAGCTATGAAACAGAAGCATAAGTCGCTATGGGATGGAAGAAGTCTTACCAGGCTTTGTTTGGTAGCTGGGATAGACGTGCTTAGAGATGTGGACAGCAACGTGCTCGTGCGGACATAGGGGGATATCTCCGTTGAAAGCCACCATCATCGAAGAACGCATCAGCAGTGATGATGCTAGCTACAAACATGCGGCAGTACATATAAGTATGTAAGCCCTCGGATGAAAACATAGTTCAGTACGCCATCACAGTATAGCCTCGCCAACAGGTAACGTTATGGCCTCTTCGACCAAAACCATTGTCCTCATAACTGGTGGTATGTTCAACGGGAATAACCCGATTAGGAGAGCAATGCTGACAGAGCTCCGGTACAGCAAATAGTGGCATCGGGTTGGAGCTGGCGACTCAGCTGCTGAGTGATGCGACGAAACACGTTCTTGTTGGTGCTCGCTCCATCGAAAAGGGCACAACCACCGTAAGGGACCTCCAAGCTCGCAATCTCCCAGGCAGCGTGGAGCTACTCCATATCGACGTCTCGAACGAGGATTCGATAACTACGGCAGCTAAGAAAGTGGGGGAAGAATATGGAAGGTGAGAACTGTTCAACTACTTTGCTTGATCAAGAGCTGATCAACTCCCAGGCTTGATGCCTTGGTCAACAACGCTGGTATCGCCGATAGCAATGACGAACGCATGTTCCATAAGCTCATTAACATATTCAGCACAAACGCTGCTGGACCATACGCCACTGTGGAAGCTTTCGCACCACTACTGTCGAAGTCTCTATCGACGCCCCGCATCGTAAACGTCAGTTCGGGAGCCGGCTCGATCACCCTTCGCTTGGATCCAAAAGACGCTTTTTACAAGATGAAGCAGGATCAATATCGAATCAGCAAAGCTGCTCTGAACATGGTAACGGCCTGCCAAATCACCGAGTACCATCCCAAGGGGTGGAAGGTGTTTGCGTATTGCCCGGGGTGGACAGAGAGCAACTTTACTCCTCGCAATAAGATTGCCAACGGAGCAAAACCGACGAACGAAGCTGCACTACCTATAGTGAGAATGCTGAATGGGGAACGAGATGCTGAGGCGGGGAGATTTTTTGCTCATAGTGGTGTGAACCCATGGTAAATTCCGGGACCATGTCAAGATACCATCCATAGGTGTTAACACTAAAACTACATACATTCCCATAACCTAGCTCCCTCAGTGCTTCTTCATATCCTTTCCTCCTCCCCCCCTCTCTCTTTTCTTCTGAATCGCATGCATGAAGATTGGGGCCAGCTGGCTCATATTACAACGAGCGTCGAGTCATGATCCGCAGATATTACTAACCAATAGGATTTGAATACAGGAGTCGAAAATATTACTAATAGAGTAAAGTCGGGCTGACTCTATAACGATTCCTGCGACCTCCGAAACTATCGAGGATAACACACGCTAACCTCATCGAATCAGCACCCCGAAAACCCTCGATGACAGTCCGTGTGAGATGCATATGAGGCGCACGTATCGTGCCGTGAGCATTTTCCACCATTATTCGCCGCTAGCGGCACCTTCCTATGTGCAGCCGTAATGAATGTGACCTGGTAAGAATACCAGTCACTTTTACGTGACTCTTGGGGAAGCTCAACTGAATAACTGCTGCTTTAGCAGCTTACATCCTGATATGTTCTACATTCCCATGGATGCGAAGTTGGCCCAGTAAGTCCTGGAGTACTCAGCTGTAAGTCGAGTGCGCTTCAGCTGCTGTATACCCCGAAGGCGTTGCGTACTCAGGCGGCGGCTGTTCCCACACCTGATCATAACTCGGGGGTATCATCGGCACCGGCTCGTCTTGATCATCTCGGCCATGCTGCTCAGTTATTGTCCGAGACGTGGTTAAAGGACAAACGATGGTGTACGCCATCTCATCCATCTTCCTGTTTACGAGATTGCCCGATGCTTCGTCAAACACGTCTTCTCCGATGCGCAGCCAAATGTGCAGTTCACACTCAAGATAGACTGCGAACCTCCTCTGTAACTCATTCAAGTCGCTATCGGATTCGTCAAGGATGCTATGTAAGATGTGTTCTCCTGCTACTGAAAGTGCAGTGCTGGCGTCAAGGGACAGATCTTTTGGTCCCGAGACGATGAGTGGGACCGAGAATCCGGAGCTATCGAAATGCATGCTAATGGGCGTATTTCCAGGCCGCATAAATGGGTATCTGAGCTTCAATTTCTCTCTCCCGGTTGCGAGTTTGCGCCTCTTCAGGATGCGTTGCGCGCCGGACATGGGCAGGTGACCAGTCGCATCCGGACAGCCGGTAACAATGACTGCGGTCTCCTCCAGTACCCAGCGGATTTCGCGGGGCACGAGCCAGCGCGTTTCAGTGAAGCGCATAGAATTCGTGATAGGCAAATTGAGGCCATTGAGCTGCAATGTCGTTGAGATTGTGGTATTCTTGGAGCTGAAGGTAGGGGGACCGAAGCTGGCGCGCACAGCGAAGGATGTGTCTGGGAAATACACTGTTCGTGATTGTTCCAGCCGTATTGGCTTGAGAGTTTTGCGGACGATGCGCAGATCCTGGCTTGTCTGCAAGACCTTTCTATCCGGCAGAATGCAAGTTGCAAAGATAGCATAGGAGATGTTGACGGATGGAAGCATTGCTGTCGCAGGAAGGTATGACGGGATAGGCAGACTGAACTCGCACTTCGCTGTCTTTGATCCAGAGCTCTCTTGCGGTGGACCAACGGAACAAACGCATAACTTCTCAGCAGTCTCGTAGTCGAATTGCTCCCGTTTTTGCTCTTTCTGCGATCCTATGAGGCCAAGCTCGCCCATCAGCTTCCTCGAGGCACTGTCAGGTATCATCTTTTTGCCCTTCTCTAATCGTCCAACTCTTGCAAGCGCAATTTGAAAATCGCATTGTGTTGGCACATTGCTGAATGACAGCGTTCCGTGGAGGAGGGAATCTGATGCGCCGTCCGCGGAGATGACGATGGTGTAATCGACCGGAACCTGTAGCGCAAGTTTCGGTTTGCCCATAACGTTGATTTGAACCTGGGGTTGGTCTATTGCCCAGGAGTAACATGGACTCGCACACCTGGGGAAAGGGATTGATCTCGCTCGCGAGATTCAGTCTTTCCTCGACTCAACAAGCGAGAACGTGAGTGTTGCATATGCCTCAGGCGCCTTCCGGGCCGCTTCCGCAAGAGGCAGCCAAGACTCACTGACTATGCTCTTTAGGACTAGCGTTAACCATCCCAATCAGATGCGCACCTTTCAGCGGTTGATGAGCCGCGCTATCTATCTTATCTATATAGTAGCTAACTCTCAAGTTGCCGCGAGTAGCTTACTAATGCTTAAGATTGATACTATAAACAACGTCTAGGTATGTTCTCGATTCCAGCCAAGAAGGTTGAAGCCATACATCCAGGTACGGTTCATGTAGTAGATATCTCGAACGCAGAACGAGATACTGAGGTGAGTAAGTCCTGACTTGTGATGGAAAGGATTCACGGTCAAACACTATACGAAGCTAGCACTACTGTACACAATGAGTTGTAAACACTAAGACTACATTCCATGGGTTCGTTCCACTTCCCTAGTGCTTCTTCGCATCCTTTTCCCTCCTCTTCTCTTCAATCAGCGCATTGAGCCTGGAGAACGATGTGAATCCTTCAATGAAACAGGTTCCCACCCATTTCCACCATACAGCGTCCATGAACGTGCATCCGTGTTTAGCCAGTTTCCTTGCCATGATAACTACTTCGACAGCATGGATGGGCAACATACACACGAAGACAATCCAGCCAATTCGAGCAACAAAGCTTGCAAAGCCTGGTACGAGATATAACATATTATCATAGAGGAGAGAGCCAGGCTGCCAGTTCGCCTGTCGTGGTAGCAAAACCATGGCCAACACACACTGCGTGAAGTTCCACAGATGCGCAGGGTGTGTGTATGCTGGAACAAATTTCGTGATAGGTATGTCGCTTCGTCCCAGTGTCTGGAGAGCATCCTTGTCCAGCTGTACAAGTCGCTCGCGGGCCTCGCGCATAGCCTTCATAGGTGGATCGAAGGCTATGACGGCTTGTTGACCGCCACAGCTGAAGACCATTCGATTTAGATCAATATCGACCATCTGCGCCGAGCGGCTGTGGAACATGGATCTGGAAGCGTAGGCCTCGACATATCGGCGAATCTGCGGTCAATATCAGGATCGAAATTCGGGCTTGACATCAGTGTTACCTGGGTGTGAGTGGCGCATACGGAGTCGTGGTGGTCTGCATTCATGTGCTTTATGATTCGCTGCTTGGCGGCCACGTCTGCGGCTGCGGAGTCTGGAGTAGTCATGTTGGCGATTTTGACGGTCTGATCAAGTGCGCTCAAAGTTCAGTCACTTGTTCGCTAACCGAAGTGTTGGAGGTGCTGTAGACGCAAACGCCATACGGTGACTGCGAGAACGGCGTTTGTCGGCCCGGCGGTCATCGGGGAAGAACTGGCGCGCCCCGCGATTGCGTCTTCCCAACGATGGTTAGCACAACGCTCATGATATTGAATCCATCGTGGGGTTCTCTCGAGGTTGCGCTACCTGAGGGCTATTGTGCGCGCTACAAAGGCGCATTGGAAGTCTCACGCCAACACTAAGCAACCATTCCCGCACCCCATGGGTCAACGTTCCGCCTGGCCTACCGTTGGGCCTCGGATCTTGCCAGCTCCATGTTCCGAGCTACGAGAAGTCCCAAAGCGTTGATGTCAAGCGCGTTTGGCTGACGCGTTGCTCAATCCATCGCTTCTATGCCTTGGTGAGAGCGCCAATGATGAGCAAGCGAGGCAGAGGCAAAAGAGCTTGCAACGCATCGGGCTGGACGCAACAGCCAGACCGGCGCAAGCACGAATTCAGGCCTAAAAGAATCCGGTTGGCAGCGCGCAGGGATGGGGTCAAGTTTTGGGACGACTCGTGGTGGGGTGGATGTGGGTGCCACATGGTGCGTCAGACTGCATGACGGGTGGCTCGAGCTGGCAGGGGTAGCAGGTACCTTGAAGCTCCAAACCGGTTCCTGTTCCCAAGCCGCTTTTCTCTTATTAACGAATTGCGCCGTGGCCCTAGGCTTCTAACAATTTCCGAAGCACATTCAATTCGGCACATACACACGCCAGTACTCTAACTTGCACTCCCATTCCTCCACCCCAAGAACCCACACAGCAAGCAACAATGGCGGACACAGTCGAGGAGAGCAAGCAGTCTATCTCGGGAGAGGGAAACGCAGATGCCAACGCCTCGGTAGGCGCAAAGGGCAGCGCGGAATCATCGAGTAAGAAAACCGAAAGGAAGACGCCGAAGAAGCTGGGCGGAAAGAAGCCTCAACAGCAGCCCACTCCTGACGCCACTCCTGCCCCCGAAAGCGATGGCGAAGGGAAAGCTGAGAACGAGGACGCAGAATCCAAGAAGCAAACCAACGGCGGCGACGCCGACAACGAATCCGACACGGAACCCCAACAAGAGAAGAGCAAGTCGCAATCGAGACGCCGCCAGTCGCGTGGCCGTGGCCGACGAGGCGCAGACTCCGGTGCCGAATCTGATACGCGATCCGATGTCTCGCAGTCTGGAGGCCGTCGCAACCGCCAGCGCCAAAAGAAGGGCGGCAAGGGCGGAGGCCCCTTGGACGACATCACCGAGAACGTGCCCGGAGCTGACGCCCTCAGTGGAGCTGGCGACATGGTCCAAAACACTGCTGGTAACGCCGTCAACTCGGTCGGTAACACTGCTGGAAAGGCCCTTGGTGGTCTCACTGGCGGCGGCGGTGGTGAAGAGGAGGGCGGAAAGGACGGAGGTGAACAGCTGAGACTGCGATTGGAGCTCAACCTCGACATTGAGATTCAGTTGAAGGCCAAGATCCACGGTGATCTTACGCTTGGATTGCTGTAAGTTGATTCTTCTTGTTATCCGTACGTTTGGAGCGCAATGCTAACTCTTTGATAGTAACTAGATGTCGCACGAGGACGAATGCACGAAACGCATCGAATGTTATAATGGGATATCACCGTCGGCGTTTGCTTTGGAGTTTTGCATGTAGTGTCATGACATATATTGTAGTGCATAAAACACAACAAATAACTTGCATCAATACAGTCTTTGATCCGTCGTGTTTGTTTCGATTGTGAAAGTCCCACGCGATGCGCGTTGGTGCTCATTGCAGTGTCGCATTCTTGGTATGTCGTCTACCGAGCACTACTCCTGGTTATATCAGGACCAAGTTGTGTAATAATAGCTCTAAAGGGCCGAGAAAGATGTAACGTCAAGTGCTATCGCAAGATGTATGGACTTGGAATCATCAATTGCTGTGCTCTAGAAATCTCGTGAGCCGAGTATTGCACAGCTGCCACGAGCTAGATGGCGTGAGCGGGCGAGAGCAGCCCCGCGATAAGCGACTAACGGTCAGCCTAGCCGATCTTGCAGCCAGGAAACCGGCTACACTTTCGCCATGTTCGCGCGCGTCGTCAGCTTGTCTTGAAATGTCGGTCGACTTGCAGTGCCAGCGCGCTTCACATTTTTCCTATACGTCATACAGCGGCTGTCAACCTGATATGGATGTCCGTCGCTCAATGTGGGTCTGACGTCAGTCACCAGCGATGCTGCGCGATCCGAAACGGTGAGACGGGTGGGCGGAACAGGGGTACGAGCTTGTAATGGCGGCTGCTGGCGTCCTTGCTTTTGGAGCTACAGAAGAACCCAGGCCGTTGCGAGTAATCTTGTTTTCGGAGTGGAGTCTGCAGGTGCTAGGTCGTGGCGTGCGTGGGTGTGTGGTAACCTCCGCCCTCTCTTGCTTGACCTTGGCTTGAATTCACATCTTGCTCGTGGTTGCTTTCGTACACCTCAGCTCAGCGCAATTCCCCTCTCTTCTCCAACAACAACACTCTTGAGCCGGATTTGCCTCCCGCCACAACCCAAAGCCTTGCATGATAGCAAGGATACCTGACGACATGGCAGACAAAGACGGCAACAACGATTCCGACTATGAGAATCAGCCGCACGAGCGGTCGACGATGCAGCAGGAGAAAGCTGTGAACGTGGCGAAGAAGAACAAGCGCGAACAAGGCCTCCAATCCGCACGATCGCGCTCCTCATCGCGCCGCGCCCGCCGCCAACGCATTGAAGAAGACAAGAAGAACGGAAAATACATGCACACAACCTCTCTTGAGGCCCTCGAGGAAGCCGACGCAAACGGCGATCTCCAAAAGATGGGCATGTTCGAGCGTATCGGCCCGGACAGCCCATCCATGGACGGTCCCGTCACATATGCGCGCGCAATGCGAGGCGAGATCCCACTGCGCAGCACCCACCCCGACGAGCCGTATCGAATGGAGCCACAACAAAAGGGCAGCGAGTTGAAAGACCAGGATGGATTGAAGTTGACGCTGGAGGCGAATCTGGAAATTGAGATTGAACTCAAAGCGAGTATTCGTGGTGATTTGACGTTGAGCTTGTAGTAAGTACACACCTGCCCTTCGCCCCTTTCGCTTACATCGAGCCAAAATGACTGTAACGTGCGAGCGAAAGCGACGAAGGTGTCTTGAAGAAAAGAGAATCAGCATGGACGAGTGCTAATTGGCATCACGCAGCCAATAACACAATTATCGTTATCCTGTTCCTTGTTCGAAAGGCATCTTCCATTCGCTCGCTCTCGCTTCTCTCGCGCCGTGCAGTCTAGGCTCCGCATTCCCCCCGTTCCACCTACACACTCTTCTCTTCATTCTCCATGTCTTTCCTTGCGCCAGCGTCCTGGCGGGTACACGTAGTAACTGAACTTAACAGCGAATAGTGCTTGATCCATGTCGCATTCCTCCTTCCACGACGTTACGAACCCACCCCGACCCGGCACCTACCGCGACAACGGGAAGCGTATGTGGAGGATACTATTGGAGCGTTCCGGAGTTCTTTTTTGGCTTGCTTTGCGTGGGATTGGATAGCATATGAGAGATAAAAGAATGGATAATGACCACCGTTTTCCTGGTTCAGTGGGCTTCCGTGACCCTTTGCATATCACGAGTTTCCCTGGTACCGAGATACTGCTCCAAGATGTGTGATGCGGTGCTTGTGGTGGCCTGCAGCAATGCGGGGAAGTCGGACCCATTGCGACAGCATGACATGCGCAGAGTGCAGGGTCTAATGATGATCCCGACGTTGCCGATTGCTAACTGATGGCAGGCCTGATGTCGTGCTCCATGCGATGAAGTCTTCCGCACTCCGCCAGCCTCGCATCCATTCACTCAGTGCCGCAGGGTTGCAAAGGTTGTGGTTCGTAGTTTATGGATTATCACGCAGATATTATCAGCATACGCGATAGTCCTTATTTCAGCGGGCGATGGCATGACTTGTACCCTTTGAGTCGTTGGAGTTGTAAGCACTTTGTTGGAGATGGACCCTCTTTACCAGCCATACACGAAGGTAGCCAGTGAGCAGCTGTGCAAAGTACCTCCACTTCATCGTGTTCCTTCACTCACACTTTGGTAACGAATGACGAGGCCACAACGATAATGTACGCTTGTCTGTGCTGAATCCAGTATGCTCTACTGGCGGCCTGAGCGAATGTTTTCCTTCCTATGTACTGTAAACCAGATTCGCCTTGATTCTATCAGTCTCGTCGCAACTTCAGTACTACCGTCCGAATCACAGCATCACCGCCCCCGACTCCATGCGGAACTCCATAGACACCGCGAGAAGTGGTTTGGGCGCTTTTGTGACACGCAGAAAAGATCCAGATGGCATTGAGATCGCCGGCACACGGAGGTTTCGTGGGCGTCTTAACGCAGTCGCAGCCGGTAAGTCGAATGCTGGCATATCGATGTTACAAACACCTTGGTACTGACTCTGCGGTAGCAAGGGGACTTTGGAGTCGTGTCTTCAAGAGCGAGAAACGAAGGAACGAAGCAGGTCCGTCTGTATCGAGGGTCGTTCCGAGCGTCAACTCTGCTTTGAGTGTGAGAGCGCAGATGATGGATCTTGTAGCAGTACCTACACGTGAGATTAACGGCTTGGCTGAAGATTGGGATGTCGGCTTGTTCCCTGGTTCCTTTCCTTCTGACGAGACTCTTCAAGGTTTATTCGTCAGCTCTTCCGACCAAGCTTCTACCGACGACGCTGCAATGGTACCTCTTCCTCTACAATTTGCTGAAGAGATCTTGCAGCTCGGAAGGAAGTCATCTCCTCTCATCGTTACCGATTCCAGCCCCTACCCAGAGTCCGACCTTTCTTGCGAAATCGCCTCCCCTCTCGGTAACACAGCCGTCAGCACCATCCACCACTCGCTGTCACTCTTTCCTCGCACCTCTTCCACACGCGTACACTCACCCGACTGGATACCCGCTCCTGATCATTCTCGCCAATCGCCAGACACTCTCGCCACCAGATCCCGACCAGATTCCGAGGTGACCTCTAAACCTCACAGCGACATCGACTTACTTGTCAACAGTATCGAGCGATTTAGATTCACTACCCTCGTAAAATCCACTATCATCGACAACGTGCAGGACACACGGGATACCGTCTACATGACTAGTGCAAATCTGCTCAACATCGGATGGGACATGAAAAGGCTACTCGTTATTTGGTCCAGGATCACCTCGAACGCACCGGACGTCGGCGTGCTGCGTGTTCTCCAACCATGGGTGTGTGTGCCTAGCGAAGCTGTCGCAAAAGCCTGTGGGTTGATGCAAAAGGGTCTGCAAACCTATCGAGATTGGAAAGTCATCTCAGACCACGCTTTGATGACTGCGCAACAGCATCATACGATTAGTGACGGTTGGTGGGCGATACATCATAAAAGGTTCCAGGAGCTCGATGGTGTTAACCAACTGGACTTTGACGATGCTTTCGCGCAGGTAGAGCTCGTCATGGAGAAGTATCTGGGATTTGAGAAGGAAGCTGCGGTGATGCGCAAACCCGCTCCTGCCAGACGCGAACGTATGACCAATGCCACGTTTGCGTCTAACGCGGTTTCCATTGTCGACACAGCATCGCCTTCAACAGATGATAGCACATCAGCTTCGTCGAGGGAAAGTCAACGGCCAAGTTCAGGTCCGTCGACAAGGGACTGGGTTACCACTGCAGTCCGAGCAGCCTATACTAGTGATGAATCAAGGTTACCGCTACCGGGATCGCGGTGCCCAAAAACCAGGCAAGCTGCCGCGCCTTCCTCATTGTCATCAGCTCCATCGTCACCCAAGTCTCGAGGGGAAGAGAGAGAGGGACCGCGATACCCAACGCTCCGCCGACTATCGTCACCTGTAACGTCGGCAGCAGGCCCATCTTCACTGAAGTCTTCGATCAAAAATGGTCCGCGGTATCCGAAGATCCAGCAAGTGTCGAAACCTATCGCAGGTTCACCAGGTCCATTCGCACCAAAATTATCGATGAAAGATGGGAAACAAATAAAGAAGGAAGGAGCGATTTTGCCCGACAATGACCGGTCGACCAAGGCCAGTCCAAAAACAAGTCAGCCTACGAAGACTTTGCCAAGCTACATGCGCCCTACGAAAGCGACTCGAGGAGCATACACCCCGCCTGTCAAATTTGTCACCAATGCAACGCCGGCTCCTCGATCAAGCCGTCTAGAGTTTGCCATTCGCGGCGAGCAGGCAAAGCGATCACCGACTAACACGAGTACACGGCTTGTAGAAATTAAAGCTTCTTCAACACTGCCTGAACGCGCACCATCTATACTTTCCCAGTCGACAAAGAGAATGAAGCCAAAAGATCTTCCCAAGCAAGACATGATCGATCACTCAGACTCGGTCCATGAACCATATGTTCTCAGAGGTACTGCCCCGCGTGGCCCCTCTCCGCTGTGGACTAGCAGCCCACTGATTTGCTCCTCGACAGACGCGCCACTGGAGGTCGGCCGTTCGGACCCCTCGAGGTTTCATCCAACTGATGACAAGGGGGACACGCATGGTGTCGGTAAGATGGAGCTTGAGAAAGAAACCTTACCACGCGTCGAGCCGGAAGGCGACGCCAACGTTGAAGTTGCGCTTGTCAGTGGATTGGATCCAAATGAGACGGCGAACAAATTTGACAGCATACGAGCGAGGATGTTCGAGATGGAGGTGAAACTCCAGGCCATGAATGCAGAGACAACGGTTGCTGCTTCGAAAGCAGAAGCAGAAGCAGATTCCGACGCCGCAGAAGAACATCTCGTATTGGCCGTCGACGAGAAAGTGGAAGAAGACTCCTCTGCTGTATGCTCCGCATCTAAGGAGGTGGAGGTAAGACAGGTCCTTGACCAATCTCCTGCAGCAATCGACAAGCAGGCCAAAGCAGGAACGGATGATGCCATGGAGCCTTTGATAAGAATTATTGGGCGGTGGGGATCAGAATACGATGACACCGACAATGACGATAATGAAGACGAAGATGTGTGGTACGACGCTTCGGAAGTCTGCGTCGAAGACGAGTGTTTGTGATGCGAACACCTCTCGCCTTGCCGATATCGCGTCTCGTCCACCGATCACGCCCTGGCGTCCCGGCAGTATCAGCCACCGACGTCCAAATTACACATATCTGCTTTCTAATATCTAATACCTAGACTAAATATTAAATCACAAGAAGCGAAATGGTGTCATGTCTCGGAGGTACTGGTAACGCTAACCGAGCTGTGTTGTTGATGGGCGAGAGCTATACTGATCAACACCAAATTGTCTATGTATCCATCATGCAAATCTAAGGAGTGTTCGTCCCCTCATGAACTGCAAAAGTGTATTCAAGATCTTAACTTATAACGCTATGCATTGCAGCTTACAGAACGCTACTTCCTTAGTCAAATCCTCCATGAGTTTTCAGGACGTCCATAGTATGAGTCAAAATCACCTCAGGCGCTCTTAGCTCTTGCAACTCATCCAGCAGCTTTTCGGGCTGAAGAAACTCCAATCTATCACTGATAGCAAACAGCGAGCCCTTGCTCCCATGTGCTATAGTCTCAACCTTCTGCCTGCCATGCTGCAGGGCAACACCGACACCTCTGTATTCTGCGCTCGTAGCCAGACACAGACAACGCTGGCCAGCCTGCTCCGGAGTACACTGGAAGATATGCCTGGTGTGCATTGGGAAATGAGCAGAGTCAGGATCGTATTTGTTGTCCCAGCTGTTTTGGAATATATTGGTGGAGACCATGCCAGGGTGCGCGTGAATGAAGACAATGTCACTTTTTTCTTCTTCTTCGACGATGTGCTTCAATGCGAGGGTGACTGAAGCTGCAGCGTGCTTAGCGTAGGCGGGCACACTGGAGTGTCCAGGTTTCTTGAGCGTCAATTCGTCGAGGTAGAGATCCGTAGACTCTTCAGCAGCCAAGATGTTCAAAACGCGTGCAGGCCTTGTTGCACTGCCTCTACGCAGCTGTGGGAGAAGACGCAGCACGAAGACTATATAGCTGTAGTAAGAAACCACCTGAGAGGCTTCTAAGCCTTCGAAAGTCTCCGAGATAGAAATTAGCCATGTGAGCTAGCTCCTCTGACATTCTATCCTTACCTTGACGTCCAGTGAACGGCAGGTAGCCAGATGACAAGAAGAGCAACTCCACGCGATCTTCCTGGGCTGCAATCTGACTAGCGATGCGCTGTGCGTCTGCCACCAGCGATATCTGACCTTCGACAAAGATGAGAGTTGCTTGAGGATTGGATCTAGCAAGATCTTCTAACAGAACGCGGTGTGAGGCTTTGTTGCGGCCGACAATGTAGATCTTCGTCGGGAACCCTTTGGAGACAAGAGCTTGCAAGATAGCCTTACCGATGCCGTCGGTAGCTCCTACAAAGACCGCCGTTTTAGGTACGTCCTCTAGCCCGATGAGTGCGTTCGAGGCAAGGATAGGCTCAGGAGATGACATGATGATGATGTACCCGCAGAACGTACAAGAAGTGCAGAAGTGTTTGTCAGGACAGACTGTGGGATCGAAGCGCTCTCTTATATGTCGAGTATGAATCAACTTGCGCCGACGCATCAAACAAAGATTCGAAGCTAGTGGAAGCTAAGAAGTTGCCGCATGATTCCGTGGACGAAAGTGGTGGCCGCTCGAAGCCGTACCGGAACGCTTACCAAGATGAACTTCGAGAATACCAAAACATAGAGTGGCGGATTAGCAAGCAAAATCGAGCCGTACGTGAGTGGTTCTGAGTTCTCAGCTTAAGCTTCAGCTTGACTACTAGGTATTTGAATGGTATATAAAGATCCATCCGCTTAATTATGCTGTCCCAAGCACGATTAACTGCACTCCTCCATCATTCAGAAGCACGATATCTTTCCATACCTTACACACCACGAAGTCCAAATCCGCCAAGCCAGGATGCCATCCAAATCCGGCTTAATGTACTACATCACTGTGACCCGCGAGGTCGACGCTCCCATCGGTGAGCTCTGGGGTCTTGTAGCTGGCTTCGGTGCGGAAAAGGCATGGTATCCGGGAGCAAAATCCGTTTCTCTCGCAGGATTCGGTATCGGAAGCCTCCGTACCTTTTCTTACGTCTACCCCTCCTGGCCAAAAAAGGACGAAGAGTATTCTTTCTCAGAGGAGCTTACCGAATGCAGTGCTCCGAAATACTCCATGACCTTCCGAGTCTGTAGGCCAGACTATCCAGACATGGTCGCCTTTGGTACGACCGCGCTGACCTCGCTTGGACCCAACAAGACCCGCTTCGACTGGAAATGCTGAGGGCACGCCCTTGGCCGAGGATTTGCACGCCGTTCTGAAAGCGGATCTGCAGGAGCGCTTTGATGGTCTTATTGCGGCAATGGCCAACCAGCTCGTCTGAAAACGACGTCCGGCGCTTTTCGAGGCTTTCAATACGTTTGAAGGATCGCTGTCATCGCACGCCTTCTCAAGGACGAAAGAGATGGAAAAGCACGTGGCAAAGGACACCCCTCAGGTAGCAGCAGTAGCGACAGTTGGCCGTCATCAATATGAAGTGCCCATATCATTAGATTTCTGATCTTGCTTGAATCGTCCTGTGTACGCGCGCCTTAAAACCGCCTTTGGAACCGCCATGTTACATGGTGGTCTTCTCATACGATCGCAGACTACTGAGACGCTAACTTTACAAGGTTAGCGTTCCGGAGCCCCACCTTTGACCTCGTCAGCAGTTACCACAAGCGGGCAGCGAAGTGGACGTTTAGAACGCGTTCGGCTACGTTAGACACAAAGATAAGCGATTGGGCGCAGAAATCGGGTTACTCGCAACGAAGAGACTTCAACGTTCGGAGTAGCAGTCACATCCGGTCTGCAGGACACCCGCCCATGTGTTGCTGGCAACGTGTTCAAGCGCGCTGCCGTCCTGCACGTGCGCCTCACGGCTTTCCATGTAGCTTATCAACTTCACATTCTGCACGTTACAAACACTTCTCTCGAGAACTCTCCTCATTCAAGATCGTCTTATAATTGTATTTGGAATGGTTTTCAGACCATCGAGTATCGAAGTTTAAGTCTGCGGATATCCAGCTACACGTCTGGGTTCTGACGAAGGAAGTCCTCCATGGACGTAGTATTGACATTCAACTTGTAGTTCTCAACGTTCTTCAGTGAGTAAGTTCCATCCAGCTGGAAAAGCTGATAAAACAAGCCGATGAAACTGTAGTAGTCGTTGTACGGCTTTTGATCCTTAAGGCAGTGGGCGAATGCCCTTAGATCGTCCAGTGCAACCCGGTAGTTGTACGCAATCTCAATCCCTCTAACATTCTTGTAGATGCTCGCGAGCTCGCGAGGCGAGTATGCGCCGGAGTGTAGCTCCCGGAAGCCGCCATTGGGGGCGTCATCACGCTGGATAACCTCGACCGAGAACTCGGCTGCATCGCGCTCAGTAGTGAGATCCCACTTCTCATCGCCTGTCCCCCATATGTCGATAGTATGCTTCTCTAAGTCCCACGGTCCGTTGTGGGCCGGGGAGAAATTGCCATGGCTAGGGACAGAGAAGTACACCTCAGCGAGGGCGCCTGTCAGCAAATAGATTGGTTTTATCGTTGACGAAGGTTGGCTTGCTGGTGAAAGGCAATGATAGCATCGTAGCTCTGGTGTTGACTGAGCTGCAATTGCCTCCAGTCGCAATTCCAGCTGGCTGCGAGAGATCGGGTGATGTTGGCTCTCTCAGCGGCTCGAAGTAAAAGTAGCTGAGCATCGAGCTGCATTACCGGAGATCCTGTGTAGGCGCAGATGATAGCGTCAACCCCTGCGCAGGCTTCGTCAAGCGCTGAGACGTCCTAGTAGTTCTTCATCTGGATGAAAGCCTCGAGGTTTGATTTCTGCAGGTCGTTGAGTTTGTCTGGAGAGCGACCAAGGCCGCGTGCGTGGGGTCCTCGAGAGGACAGGCTGTCCAGCAGATGCAGCCCAAGGTTGCCAGTGATTCCTGGAACGAGTACAAGCATCCTAGCTATAGATTGGTGTAAGGCAAACCGTAGAGAATTCTATTCGCAAACTTGAACTCAGAGGAAGAGATACAGTAGCAGTTGTCCTCAACTAGAAGACCGAATTCATACTATAACTGACCGCGTGGGTCGACCTCTTCACTCACTGCCACTGGATGCTTACTATACCTAGCTTACCAACCAGCCGTTCTCTTCTAGGTATCACGAACACTGGGTCCCCTGTACATATGGACCAGCCTAGGTGTAAGAAGCTAGCGTTCTGTATAACCTTGAAGTTTAAATCTACAGTGCGTATCTGCCCGGACTAACACTCTGCATCAATACGTGACTACGCGTGTAGACATAGGATTGAGCAATGAAATTATACCATTGGTGTAACAGCGCTGATGTGCAAGTGAGGGGGAGTTGAGCATCTTTGTGCGTAGCACACTATTACAGAGCTATATAGCCTACGTTATGTGGGTGGAACCGCCCCAACAGGATACTGTGGCAACTTAGTTACTGATTATCTGATCACCTGCTCGACCTGCACTGTAGATAGCATGCATATAGAACACTTTCTAGCGCAGGATCTGCACATGCTGAACGTGTAGTGATGTAAGTAGCCTTACCTGTCATTTGGGGTTGTGTGGAGACGAAAGAGACAGGGAAGTGGAATGGTAAATCAAGCTAGCGTTCCGGAGGTCCCGCGCTAAGTTAGTTGCATCAGTCGGCCCTGCAGACACTCTTCGGCGTTGACGCTTTCCAGCTTACCAACAATGTCGCAGTCTGGCGAAAGACGAGCGTTTGCCATCCGTACCAACAAATCCTTATCGGCACCAGAGATTTCTGACATGCTCGATCTCATGCCCTGTTCTGCTTCTTCACAATCCTTGTGTCATATCCACTCTGGACCGACGCATCTTACTGCCTGTCACTCCTCGGTGCTCTCTTAATTTCTTCTGACGAATAGCCTGCTTCTCTACACTCATGGTCAAATATGGGCGCGCATCTAAAGATTGCCTGCCATGGACGAAGAGAAAACTCAGGGTTAGGCAACCCCGTCGTACAGGCATCTCAGGTCTCAAGAACTCTGCTGATATCCTAGGTGCGGGTAGTGCGACCTTGTCGCCTCGGGATGCTCACAGTGTACTAGAGCCAAGCTGACCTGTCATGGCTATCGGAACTCGAATGAGATAGCTTTTCGTGATGAGACGCAGAAGGTTACACGAAAAGCCATGGTCCAGCGAATGACAGCGCAACTCATGCCCGGTCCACAATACCATTTGGATGATCTGGCACGGAACGTCTTCTTGTCGCTCTATGTTGGTCGTTACTCGAGGGCTTTTGATTCGCTGGGATCGCTCCTAGCGTTGACGCTGTCAGTCTAGCGTTCATGGTCCTTCAGTCAAGTCGCCCAGATCTGCACCAACATGCCACCCGCCGGTATCTGAATGCCATTCAAATCCTCAGAGCCGAGCTGAATTCCTCGCAGCTGTTGGCGAAGCACATGGTCAGTAACACCATCCTTCAATCAGTGCTACTTCTTGATCTCTATGAGAAGATAGTCGTGCATCGTAACGTTGAACGGTCTAGTCAACCAGGCTCATGGTTGAGCCATGTGTCAGGTGCATTGCATCTGGTTCAAATCCGGCCGACTGACGGTTTTTCCGACCCTGTTACTGTGCAGCTCGCTATGAGAACTGCCTTCGCGCTAACGATCAGTTGTGGTGCGGCTGGAATTCAGGTCCCAAAAGCGTTGTCAGCACTGCAAAGGGATCTCGACCACTACATTCGGAGCCCAAACTGGACGCTCATCGACGTCTTGTCAGCAATCATCAGTCTCCGTGCTGACATACGTGCTTCACACCTACGTCCAGATGAGCTCTTTCAACGAGCACAGAAGCTGGATATGCGACTAAGGCTCGGGGAAAGTAATATACCTCACTCCTGGAAACCTCGACGGATCTCCGCTGATAACGCCATGATCCTCAATGGCTATTACTACTTGTATCCATGCCATTACGCGAATCAAGTCTTCAACGCTTTCCGAATTATGCGTCTAGACTTAGATCTCGTCATCCGCAAGCCTCTGCTTGATTCACGCTGCTTTGCGATTGAGGCCATGCTGCAGGTAGATGGAATGTGGGGAAATTACGGAAAGCTAGCTTTGAGCACTCTAGCGCCAACATCGTGTCGCCATACCGGTCACTTGCCCTATCGGCTATACACAAAGCGCATCCACTGTGAAATCTTGACACTAACACAATGATGAGCAGCGAAAGGCGAGAATAATGATAAAACTCTGTTTTCAACTTGGTTTATTAGCTAAATGCTAAATCTCGGTAGAAACAATTCTTGACGCCGTGATATTAGATAATTTCGAAGCTGCTAGAGACTAAGTTAGCAATTTTCTGAGTATATGAATTCTATTTGAACGCGGCTTTGGATAACATATTCTATCCAAGCGGCTACAAACACAATCAACGCTTTGTTGAAGTAAGAATAACTACTATCGAACTACATTACTACTATCGCCTCGAGTATCGCTATCCGCACGGCCTACAGCTCTACCACTAGCTCATTAATCACGTTCACGATACCCCTATGCCTGACATCACTACCGACGTTACTCGGATCATCGATGCGCCTATCGGGCAGGTTTGGGGGATTGTCACCTCTTTCGGGGCTGAAATTCTTTGGTTCCCTAAGTGCGTCTCTTCATCTCTTGAAGGTTATGGTCCGAGATCCGTGCGCACCATCCTGTGGGAGTCGAACCAATGGGTGAATGAGGTCCGCGAGGTGATGCCGTTCTGCGACCTCGTCAAACATCACCTTCGCTTCCAGGTTCACAATAAAAACGTCGGTGAAACTGCGGGGAGCATCTTCTAAAACATTGTCCTAGAGGACATCGATGGCAAATCGACTAAGTCTAGATGGTACGGGGAGAGTACTCCACCGGTGGACCCAATTTTGCGAGCCAGCTTGCTCACATATGTGGAAAACATGTACGCTGAATGCGCGGAAGCGATTGGCCAGAAGCTATCACGCAAACAAAGAATTGTAGAGTGTACACCACATGCTAGAATCAATGCATTCCTATCTCGTGGCCTATCACAAGCTTGCATGCGTCCAATGGCTTATTGTGGTGCGAAACAGGTTCTGTAGGCATACAGTCATACTCATATACACCCAAGCATCTTCAAATAGGAATTCTTCGTAGTGCCCGACAAGGTTCGATTGCTGAAATGACCAAGCTCATCACTCCACATGCCTCTCCAAAGCGCCACCCCAGAGGTGAATCCCCTCAACACCAGCTTTCATTCACCCGCCAACAGCTCCCGAGAATACGCCGGACTCCGCACACCATCAGCGAACTCAGTGCCACGCAGGCTCCGACACCTGACTTCGGCTCGTTCATCGAGGGGTTGCAAAGGCAGCCGCTGGACCAGACCTGTCACTCGAAAGTGATGCCAGATGTTGCGAAGGCCAGCAACAGACAGAGCTTACCGCAACATGTTCCGAACCCACAATACCCGCAAGTAAAGGCCAATCGTAAGGCACCTCCAGCCTATGCTCAATGCACGTATCAAACTCCAATCCATCGATCTCTTCACGACGGCGACATCGGGAATAATGAGCTACGTTGGACCGCCAAACGAGAAAAAGCCAGATCTCTGCTCGAAACTGCAGCCACAGTACAAGAGTATCCTTGGCAGCTCTTGCAGAGCGTGGTCCAAGATGGCAGCTATCCAACCATACCGCGAAAGGTGGTGGACCCTACCTCTCGATCATGCCTCCGATCATGCGTCAGTCACCAGCACCTCCTCATCAACAGCCACTCTCTAAGCGGATTGTCCTCTTCAACGTCATATAGAGGTAACCTCGATCGCCGATCCAACCTAGGAGCATTAGGTAGCCATCCTGGAGCTCGTTCGTATGAGCTCCGGTTCGCTGAAAGATCTATCTCAGAGATCAGTCAACACCTGACTCCTCACAATACCACTTTACGGAGTTCACAGTCTGGCCCTTCGTCTAGTTCACCTTCTATGTCAACTGCATTATCGCCAATACCTGTAGCATCACTACATTCGATACAGCGGTACTACCCAATGCCTTCTCAATATTTTGGAAATGGCGCACGATCGATTACGACAAGTCTGATACCGCCGATCACGACTAGAAGCACATCGTCACTGCCTTCGATACGAATCGATCATGTCAAATCGTCACAACAGATCCAGAGAAGGAGTATGTTTCGCGCAGCTCAGCAACGATACGAAAGCGATGTCCAGAGAGCGCGTTCGAAATCGCTAGCTGCACTTACCGCCGTACATCCGGGGTCGTGCCGTCATGAACGCGCCTTACCTCTCAGCCCTAACGAACCGCGCCAAGCGAGCGTATTTGCATTGCAAAATCATCTTGCGTCGCTGCGGCATAGCTTACACTCGAAGGGAGACCACAGACCGCCACCTCAATACCATTTACTGCTATTCCCAACATTCAATGAGATGGCCCCTCAACACCGCGTTCCGCTTTCATCAAAACATCGAACAGTACCCAAACGCGAAAGTCTCGCGCAATGGAAGGCTGAAAGAGGAGAAGCAAGGTCGATCTCCAATAGCATGCGTTGCACTGATACGAACGAGAAAGTGCGGCGTGCGGATGAGGTGAAACTGGAGAGGAGGGAAGAGCTTACGAAGAAGGGCGAGAGGGGTGATGAGGTAGGGTTGTAAGATGAGACAAGTTGCTTTGGTGGGGCAATGCGCTGGTTTGGGGTGAGATTGTAAAAGCTGATGCCTGTGAGGTGCGCGACATGTGGCTAATCTATGATAGATTCCAGAATGATTTCGGGATGTGAACGGATGTGTGTAATGGAAACCAAGATATACGTTGTTGAGATACAGTCGAGTTGTGGACACTCATCGATACCATATACTGTGCCTATATCTTATTGGATGGGTGGTATCTGTGCGAGATAGCGCAAGCCTACTCAATGAGTCCAATCACGCTGCACAGCCACAATTTTGGTTTGGGTTCTGCACAGCCTGATTCTTGCCTGCTGACTTGACCCGCGGCCATAGTAATTGCCGTCCTGGATTTTGCTTCCTTGGTCTACACTAAGCTACACCAAATCATCACGTGACGTGAGTACCATCATACGATGTTTTCCCAATTCGCGAATCTTGCATCATTTGTGTTTTACATTCAGAGCGTTATCTCACATCCTGTCTCTGAAGGTTCGGGCTCGGAGAGATTACAAGACTCGTTTACATCGTTTCAAAACAACAATTCGTGGTCCAAAGAGGCTATCATCACTCTAGTCGGCGTCCTCGCAGCAGTGATCTGCTTCGTCATCGGTCTCGCATGGCCGAGAATAAGCAGCTGGATGCGCAACATCAGCGGAAGTGAGTGGTGTTGTTGAGACTTTGCAAGAATACCGCCACTAATCGTACAGGTATGCGTACTGGTAGTGCGCAACGCAGGATGAGGAATTTGGAAGACGAAGCGAGGAGATACAATGAGTGGTTGGAGTTCAACGAGTGGCGTGACACTAGGCGCACGGGTCCATGATTTACAGGGCGATTCGAATCGCGATGTTGAGATGTTGGAAGTGTTCGTTCTTGAGTTCAGGCTTTTGGTGCTAGCATTGTTCGTAGAAAGTAAGGAGCTGAAATCGATCAAATGTTTCGCTAGCTGGGTGCCCAAGCTGACGAAGCTCTCTTCACCAGTCTTCATGCATGTGCATCACAATCCCTACAGTCAGGGAAAACATGTATGATTGGACGAGGATTTGATGTCAGAGATGTAGCAGCAAGGATTAGACAACTTGTTGCTGCTGCAGCCTCTGAAAAGACACCAGCGTCCGCGAGGGTGCTCGTTTCCAGTGGTTCGCCCAATAACCACCGCGAGGCTGAGGCAACGCGCAAGAAAAAGGAACAGGAAGCAGCTGCGGTGACGGAGAATGAAAAGTGCGGAGTCGATGCTCTTGCACAGATGACCTTCGATCACATGGAAGCATACCACTTTGCCAATTCTTATTGTTGTCTATCATTTTCACTTCGTCGCTACCTCCGTCTACCCTAGTAGCTGCTCTAGAACACTGACCGGAGTACTCTTCGGCGGTGCTAAGTCAAGAATCTCCTGACTAGTTGGCACAGTCGGAAGAGGAGAGTCGAATGTCTCATCTGCTGCTTCCTTCATCGTGGCGAAAAGATGTTTCAACTCTGGAGATGCCGCTGCAGAATTATCCAGTATTGAGTTGTCCCTGAAGACAACATTGTCAACCTTCGCCCCAATGCGTTCCTCCACCATCGCCACAATTTGAGCGCCGGTAATGCTTTCTGGGCCATTCAAAACGTATTTCGCTTTGTTGTGCTTTGCAATGTCGTTCTCAACCAATAGCTTCGCTGCAACCACGCTGACGTCTATGGGTTCTATGGCGCCTACAGGTTTGTCTTTGTTGGCCGTGAGTCGGAGCGTGTTTTGTTTTCCTCCTCCATTTTGCACCTTCTTTATCAGCTCCGCGGCGGACGACAACCACATTCCGAGGAAGACGTTAAGTTGGAGGGAGGTCCAGTACAATTTGTCGTAAGCCGAAGACTCGAGCATCTTCTCGATAGCCCAGTGTTGACGTGGATAGTATGCTGGACAATCCGGACGTACGTTTGGAGCTGTTGTAGAAATTCGCACAATATACTGCACTCCAGCTTCAAGAGCCGCATAGAAGAAACCTGACTCTTCAGCGAAATGGTTGGGTTGATTGTGCGTAGACTGGTAAATGGGTATACTATACCCATTTACCAGTCTAGGTGTGCGAGGCGATGAACACTCTTTCTACTTCATGTTCGCGAAGTCATTGAGATATGATTGTAGGCCAGTTGAGCTCTACAGCCTCGACGTTGGGTAGCTTCGCGAACTCCTTAGCAGTAGAGCTGTTGGCTGAGCGTGTCTGAGCGATGATGCGATGTTCAGAGAAGGTTGAGCTGGCTCGAATGGTGTCTGATAAGAGTTCCACCACTTCACGACCCGTGTTTCCTGTTGCGCCAACAATGAAATCTGACGGAGACGTAGCTGGAACGATTATGTGCAGTGAGAGATAGATGAGACGAGGGAAGATGGCTTGTTAGGCTTTGCATTGTTGCGACTTTCAATGCAACTTCAAGATGGAGAGTTACGGACCCAAAGTTTTGGAGTGCCGCCGTGGTTTGTCTGACTGCTATTTTGCTCTTAGGAGCGGAGGCGGAGTGAGGGTAACGTTTCAAGCGGCAAGATGGCGCTATCCCTCCGCAAATGGACGGACGTGCCCGCAGAGCGGGGCGACCTTCTGATGTCAGGGCCGGACGAACATCTGCCAATCACTAACTACATGATCCCATACGTGCCATACGGCCATCAAATCCTGATTGGAATGACATCCGGAATGACGATCAAGAACTTCGACCTTCTTGTCACCAACACAGATGATGCGATCCAACTAGGTTAGGTTAGCTTAGGTCAGGTAAGGATAATCTTTACACTGAGGAGCCATCGTCCTAACAGTATTAGTAAGCTCACTTGGTATTGTTTAGTAATAGTATGATGCTGTTCTAGGTTTGAATCGGACCGTGGACAACGCAGAGCTTAGATTGTCATCTGGATCAGAAACTAGGAGCTTGGCCCTCACCGGACCAAAACAGGAGATGTTGGTCTCTAGCTGGAACGGAAGTTGACTGCTCCGTTAACACCGTAAGAGCCCAAAACTTGTAGAATCAACAATATTCCTAAGCAACTAGACGGCCTATATTTAACTGAAGCCATTCCGCTGTCAATCGCGAACTCAAGCTTAGTTCCACAGCAGCTTTACAACAATGGCATCAACAAACAAGTATGCGATCGCCCACCATGATCCCAAAGGTCCGAACGACGCTCGTCCAACCGCAATGGATATACTCAAGGACGAAGAAATGGAGGGAAAACTCACGGGGAAGATGATTTTGGTCACAGGTGCCTCAGCAGGCATTGGAGTCGAGACGGTTAGGGTACTGGCATTAACAGGCGCTACCATATTCGCTGCTGCTCGGGACCTACAGAAAGCTAAAAGAGCCCTTAGTGGTATACAGGGCAAGATTGAGCTCCTCAAGCTAGACCTTGCTTCGCTGTCTAGCGTACGGACTGCAGCAGAAGATTACCTGCAGCGAAGCAATGGGAGGCTCAATATCCTAGTCAACAACGCTGGAGTAATGGCGATACCGACCCGTACCTTGACTGAGGATGGCTTTGAGTACCAATTCCAAACGAATCATCTTGGCAAGTGCTCCTTATATCTTCCAGCCCTGCTTTTACTGACTTTGCCTCCAAAAAAGGCCATTTCCTCTTGTTCCAGCTCCTTAAGCCAGCTCTACTCAGTGCCTCTACTCCTTCATTCAACTCACGCGTCATATCCCTTGCTTCGTCAGGACACAAGATGGGCGGCATCCGTCCTGAAGATTACAACTTTGCGGATGGTACCTACAATGACTTTACCGCCTATGGACAGGCGAAAACCGCCAATATCTACATGTCGAATGCTATTGAGCGTTATTATGGTGCTAAGGGCCTGCATGCTTTGGCGGTTCACCCTGGCGTGATCATGACGGAGCTCACACGCCATTTGGATCCGAAAGTGGCGCAGGGGTTTGATGATGATCCAAATATTGCTAAGGTTACGAAATCTGTTGAGCAAGGCGCTGCAACCACGGTATTGGCTGCAATTGGAAAGGAGTATGAAGGAGTGGGTGGAAAATACTTGGAAGATGCGGGAGAGTGGGCATCCACGCCTAACAGTGGGCCATACGAGCATGGGTACGCTTCTTGGGCTTTTGACCAAAAGTTGGAGGACAAGCTGTGGGAAGATTCGAACGAATTCGTTGGATTCAAGGAGAAGTAAGTAGCGAAGTAACAAGTTAGGTGCAGGTATGAACAGGAATATTAGAGAAGTGCTCTTTACTGTTACAGTAACTACTGTGATGGGCTGGAGCCTAGTTAGTAGATCCTTGATGATATCTTAGTTACGTGCGTAAGCGCACGGCGCGCGGCAGTACACGCCCCGCCCTTCTCCACATATCTTCAATCACGACATGAACATCGACATCAACAGCCGCTGTACCGTGACCAAATATTAGGCTTGGGCGCCTTGGCCCTCGTCAGCCCAAGCTCTCATCTCCCCGCTGATACCCAGGCCGAGAGCAGTCGCATAAAGGTCCTAGATATGGTCCAGGCGCGGCGTATACCCAATTACATTCGTCATATACTTAAGAGGCTGCGCGCCGTAGACTCTGCTGAACAAGGCTCATGTAGCATCGAGCCCTAGACGCTACCAGCGAATGCGTTTTCGCCGCCATATGAACTGTTCGATGAAAACGCACCACACGCCGTTGCTGACATAGTCTAGATGTTGCCATCCTCGACCCAGCGTGCCTGCGGCACTTACCTAACGTCTGGACCGCGGCCCGTTACGTCGACCCATACTTATTCGCCGTTATCCGCTCGCTGCACAGCATACCCTCGCAGGTGTCGCGCCGTCAAAGCCCACGCCGACCGCACCTTAGTGACGCAGATCGTGATCCGACGAGATCATCCACCGGGCAATGAACATTCCTCGTTCAGTATTGGTGGGCGTGACAGGTCGCGAAACTGCCAAGGGGCAAAACTGCGGGGAGAGTGTTTCGCATCAGTCTGGGATGAAATTACAACTGTTGAATCGGTATCTGCACTACATACCAGCTGACAATACTGGGAGAGATTCATCGCAAGTAATATGGTAGGCCTGGTGCGTTCGAATGCTCAGAGCAATTATCAGCTGACTTGGTAAAGAACACTCCAGACCTGGTTAGGCACGCCGCAATTTATCAATGATTAACCACGCCGATTGTCGCGACGAATCGCAACCAATCTGGCTTTCTCTAAGCTCTTGATGTATGCAAACTGATTCAACTCGTCGAACCCAGGGCTTTTGTTGGACAGTGGTGAGAGTTTTGAACACTGCGCACTGCCATAATCGATCTCCCTAGAACATGGCCGACTAAGAAGGACCCTATACGTCATCTCTCATCTTAACACTTATGGTCATGTCCTGTAGAACAGATCAGTGTTACCAGCGCATCAAGAGATGAACGCATGCGACCCACTTACTAACGTGTACCGAGGTCGTTGTAGCGTACGTTAAATGAGCTGTGGCTTGTCGGTTGTTTATTCCGGACTGCCAAGTCCTCCAGTGTTTCTTTTGCCTCTCCTCCTTGCGACCCTCCCAAGCACATCCCAGGGAAGTGTCAAAAAGTTCACGTATCGCATCTCTTCGTCGACTTCACGAGCCGAGGCATGCAAGCTGGCGTGGTGCAACGTCGTCGAGATGTGGGGAACGAAGGCCGGCGATGTCATTGATGGGTTTCACGTCAGGCAACGATATGTGGCCGCTACTCGAAGTAAGCAGATATATAACTCGACTTTGTTCTCAAAGATACCAAAGATACCAGCAGAGATTACTTCAAAGCAATCACTCTCCAGCATTCAGACTCTGACATCCTTTCGTTAACATCCATCTTGGAGACCCCTGCTGACCTCATCGGTCTTTTCATCCTCTCGTTCAAAATCATCATGAAGCTATCATCAGTCATCAGTTCCTCTGCCATCTTTGCGTCATCCTTGGCTTTCCCTACCTATGGCAATGTCAACGCGCGCCAGACCTGGCAGCCCAGGAACTGGACGGCTCCGGGTCCAAATGATGGTTAGTCGACTCATCTAATTGTATATCGCTGGTCGTGTTGAGAACAACCCACTAATGGATGATTCAACAGCACGTGGTCCATGTCCTGGTCTCAACACTCTCGCCAATCACGGGTACTTGCCGCATAACGGCCGGGAGATCACACGCGATATCCTTGCTGATGCAATGCTCAATGGCTTGAACATCGCCAAGAGCGACGCCATCATCCTCTTCTCACAGGCGGTACGCACCAATCCGAAGCCGTTCGCACGTACGTTCGACCTCGACACTCTGGGTCGTGAGGGCGTACTAGAGCATGACTTCAGCCTGAGGTAGATATACTATTCACCAATTCCTTAGCATGTCTAACGTGTTAACCACTTGCAGTCGCTCCGATCGCTTCTTTGCCGACCCTCTCCCATTCAATGAAACCGTTTGGGCCGAGACAGCCTCCTTCTTCAAGACACCAGAAATCACGATACAACAGCTAGCCGACGCCCGCATGGCACGACTCGAAACATCGAAGCGCACTAACCCAGAGCACAAGACATCGTTGTTGGCCGATGGTTTCAGTTGGGGTGAATGCGCTTCTTTCTTTGAGATCATGGCTGATGGCACTACGAGCACTGTGCGGAAAGATTTCATTGAGTACTGGTTGCGTAAGTTTTCATCTTCCTTGAGCGGGTATACAGAAATTGGTGACTAACGTGAATATGATGTAGGAAACGAGCGCTTGCCTACTGAGATTGGTTGGACTCGCCGTTCGACTGTCATGGAGACTAGCGAGCGTACCAAGTTCACGCGTCTTTTGATGGAGGCCGCTGGTCAGGGCACTGGCCTTTCCTCGTTGTTGTGAGCAGCTTTTGCAGCTTCTGGCTTAGTTCCACTAGCGAGAAGCCATATCGTGCATTCAGCTCCCGAGATTGATATCAGAGCATGCAGACATGTAGATTAGAACATACGCTGGATCAGACGTTAGTCGACATGTATACTTGGGTGGCGTCGTATTGTGAGCCAATCAAAATTGTATGACAAACATTGCACTTTCCCACTGCCTTGATTCGCTTAGACTGCATACTTGAAGGAGACACGCTGCGACAACGTACTTCAAACCAATCATACTTCTGCTATAAAACATCGAAGACATTTCCATACTTTGTACACTCTGAGCGATGAGCGTCCTCGCCAGCTCTTGGAACATCTGGTCCAGCCGCTACCATTACAAGCTTCTCCAAGCAAGCGCATTGCTCATTACACCGCTCCCCTATACTAATCTGCGGCGAGCGCTCGTCAACTTTGTCTTCGGCACAGTGAGTTTGTGCAAACCAGCTCTATTCCCACGTCACAGGTGCAAACCTCACAAATTTGACCATTAAGCGATCCACATATTTCCCAAACCTCCCCGAAAACCCCAAGAAACAGTCGGTACCCGGCTGCGCCGTCCACGTGGCCCACTGATCCCCTTCGCCAGCATGGGTCTGGTACTTACCCTGATTCGTGACTATCGTAATCTCCTTGCAGATCCAGTCGTTTGTCGAGTAGTGCACGCTCACCTCCTGTATCACCTGCGACATGTTCGAGAAGTCCCACATGCCATTGTCCGTCGCTCCAGGGCCACCGGCGGTAGGCGTCTCTATCGACCCGTCAGTTTCATACTGGATCCGAGTGCGGATCGCGTTGATGCATTTGCCCGACCAGACCTCGATGCCAGTGACACGCATTCGACGCCGGATAGCGTTGCTGGGGACGTAGTCGAAAGGATTGCCACCCCCGTCACCGCCAGCGGCGGGGCCGATCATGATAGCGTAAGAGGCGGCCGGCATTTGGATATCGGTCGCTTCGAGAGGTCGCTGGCTATCTTTGGAGCTCCAAATCATAGGCACCGGTGGGCGGACATGCTCAATGTCGTCCTCAGCATCGGCCTGCCACTTGTCGATGGCGTCGATGTACCCTTTGTACGTGGTCTGACGAGCGTCGAGTGTATTGTCGGCCGCTCCGCAACCATATACGTCATACATAGCGCGGACTACGGCGATGCTGTCCAAGGCATGCTGCGCGGCCACGCGAATGGTTCCAAGGCCCTTGGCCGGAGCCATGCGGTTGGCGAAGATTGTTCGGAGCTTGTCCACATTGGTCATCTTTGGACGACCCTGCACGGTATTGTACGACTGTGTCGTAAACTTGAGGATGACCGGGGCATCAAGTTCAGCTTCGCCAAAGTTCAAGGCGAACTGCCCGATGTTGTTCGTGTCGGGCAGCTCACCGTGACTTTGGCCAAAGATCTTCTGAACAAAGGTGTATTTGCTCCCGGTATATGAGCTAGCGTTCGTGATAGTAGTGTCCAACCTTGCTTGGAGGCTAAGGGCAGCAGTATGAGCACTCAATTTAGCGCTGTTAGCGAGCTGATCGCGCTCCTGAATGTTCTCGGCATCGAACTGGTAGAACGCAATGTATTGGCCTCCGAGCGTGGTCGTTGCAACAAAAGAGTCGCCACCGACAGAGTAGAGGTCGTCGGCAGAGTCCAGGATCCATTTGTAGTCTTCTTTAAATTTGGTGCCGGTGATTTCTTCTGTGCCGAGAGTTCTGTTTGCCACGACCATGATGAGGACGGAGGTCGTCGACTTGGCGAATGAGCGCGTGTATTGCAATCGATCATCGAAAGAGCCAAATGAGCAGTTGGCTTCAATGCTCGCGTCAATGCTGAGAGCAGAGCATACATCTGTCATGGATGTACAGACTTGGATGTTCGCATCTATCCCCCCTCCGCGTTGTTTCGTATCCACTTTGCCAGTGACAACGGTATCACAGCCCTCATTTCTGAATGAGGAGAAGCCTTGACCGACCGCTGTTACGGCTTTGGCCATTTTGTGCAACAAGTAAACGATTTGAATTTGGGAAAGGAAGGAGTTCTGGAGTTCTCGATGAGCGGACGACTTGAACCAGGAAAGATCAGTGTTTGTTGGCTTCTTGAAGCCTTTATCTCGACATCACTGGGCCTTTATACACGTAGGTAATGTAAAGGTTGACCGCTTTCACTAGCGGGAAACAGATCTCAGCCGCACTGTCGCTAAGAAGAGGACCCTATGAAGATGGGTTCATTGGGTACGGCGCGATAGCTGTACGGCGACGTCAGCTGAGGTGGTGAGAAATGGTCGAAGCCAGAGCTAATGCTCTGGAGCACTTCAGCTATGCTTTGGAATATTGGAACAAGAGTAATGAAAACGTAGAACTTATTGTTATGCTAAAACTTTGATTAGCAAAGCAGACTCCGTTTGCAGTTGTAGAAAAAAATGGTTTCGTTGCGATGTTTTTCCCATGTTCTCTGGCACTTGAGAGGCGGGATGGGGCCCTTGGGGGTCTGGCTTCTCATTGCGCTGGACTGCAGCCACGATCATCCTTTGAGCTGAGGGTGACGCTCTAATGTGCGGAGAACGTCATTCTATTCTGACGGCTATTGGATTCCAGGAGTGGGCGGAGTGTCAGCTTGTCGTCTATAGGCAAACCCAAAGTCTGTGCTAGAAGGCTGAGCGCTGTTATACATTCCCTTGCCGCTCAGCCTTGTACAAAAGTGACAGTATCATGTCACACTGCGCGTTCCCAACTTCCGCGTGCAACGCTTCAATCATGACGGGCTGAGTATATTCTTCCCGTAAATTGCTAAAACTTAGTTCAGGAAGAGATCGGCGGAATGAGTAAAGACGTTGATCATCGGCACAGCTAGATCACGACGGAGACCTCAGCTGAGCTGCAGGCGGACGAACTAAACCCCACATCTACCGCGCCCACTGGGTCGTGAGTGGCGCAAGGCTGGATCCAGCCACGGCTGATTGGTGATACGTAATAACGCAGGCGAAGGCGGGTAGGGTAGGCCAAAGACACTGCGCACAAAGAAGGACGGCAAACCAAGACTTGCGTCGTCAGTATCATTGAAACTTAGCGTTCACGTGAGCTTAACGCTAGACAGTACTGCTCAAAAAGATTGCAGCGAGACAGAACCCGCTCACGATAGGCGCTTGCTAGGGGACACATCCCAGGCCAGTGGCATGGAGAGCCACAAATAATATCATATTTACCAAAATGATATATGCTGGCCGGCCGACTTTATCAATTGTCAGCTGCAGAGTCCATGTGTTCAGGGGGATGTAATTGAGTACTACTGCCGCGAACGAGACATACTGGCATTCCCCACATCGTCCAAAGTAGTAGCCCGCGGCAGAAGACGCGATCGACAAGGAGGATGGAGAGGACGGTAAAACTCCATTTGAACCCAGCAATAACTGTTCCAACAGTGATAGGGTCGGAAAAACCGATGATGTCGAAGGGTGTCGAATACCAGTACATGAACGTATCGAAGCCGCAAATTCGTTGGAACAGCATTATGGCGCAGGCTGTGATAGCGGAGCGCAGATTGGCTGTTTACAAGAAGAGGGCCTTAAGCGATCTGGTGACCGTCATCTTCCCTTCAAGTGGTTTAACAAGTACGACGTCCGTCTTCATAGAAAACATCTCATACATGACTTTCTCTTAGCAACGTCAGGATAAGCTTGACGGATGTCCTCGATTCATTGCTCCTTCTTATTGTGGTACTTCAGTCGACGAGGACTTTCTGGGTACGTGAAGAGAAAGGGCCCGAGCAGGGTGGATGGCCACGTACCCAAGCTCATCATGTATCTCCAGCCATGAAACTCGCCCTCCTTGCTGCGCTCCGAGTATTGCCACGAGTATCCAATAAGGAGGGGCGCCCGCGACTCATCCCCTTCACAATGTGCTCTCCAACAACCTGTGACTCGACCAATAACACAAGGCACGCGTTTTATGACCTTGTCAAGGATCAGGCGTTCTGTGCGATTGTTTCGTTCGATCTCGATGTACCGCTTGTCCCCGGCTGTGATGACAGTCGGGTCGAATCCAAGCTGTCCTTCGCTCAGCCATGGGAACCCGAGCACGGCGGAAACGTATTGCAGCCCCTCTTCATTGACGTCGAACGGCGAAGAGGCGATCTCCCCAAGTCGGATGAAGTTCTACAGCTGCATGCGCGATCCACACAGTGTAAAGCCGAGTACGAAGCGTCGACTGTCCTAAGGGGCGAGGACCTCACGGGCTCATCGTCTGAGGTCGAGCCATGCTTTAGAAGTTACATCAGCCAATAGGTTGCTCTTGAGTTTTCCCGGTACGAGAATCTGCTTCCAGTGGTATGTAGAGTCCGTGCTGGCGCACGGGTCATCCAAAAAATCGATATCTAACTTGCGGTCGGCCGTGGAGCTTTGCAAGGGCTGATTGGTGCTTCGCCGCCAGGTCGGAGAATTGGCCTGTTACTTCTGCGAACCATGCTGGGACATCTTGTTCCTTCGCTCCCTCGGGCCAGCCCTGTCAGCCGCTCTCCTCTTAGTAGAGCAGGTTATTTCCTGTCTTGCACCTTTCGAACACGGCATACGCTGCCGGCTGTAGATCTGTCACTTCCCTAAGAAAGCCTCGAAGAAACCAGGTATTCCCACGTGCATATACCCCAACTCCTCCTTCAGGACGCCGTCTACGTATTTGCGGCGTTTGATCGAGTTAGCAAAGCTGCCCATGCTGCGCAGCTACGGCGTTCGTAGAACAGAGGATGTAGAACGGGACGGAAGTGTCGATTTAGTGACGGTGATTTAAGCTTAATTCCAAATTATGTGGTCTAATTCGTTCTTCAAGACAGCATTCTACGATTGCCTTATTTGCTCAAGGTCGAAGTCGTCAAAGCTAACTGCTAAGTTAAGCTTTAAGAAATCGCTAAAGAGGTATCTGCCGCCACTCATAGAGGGTAGGGCACGGGCAGTCGGGAGGATGTGGAGAGCTAAGATAAGAATATCCAATAAATTTTGAACATCTCAGGGCATTGCTTCCAGTCTCCCTGACTTTGATATCGACGACGACGACGAAATGCGGGAAAAGTTCTCTAAGACTTGGCTGGATGCCTTCACGCTCAGCATAGGTGAAATGACAGGGCGATGCACCACTATATAATTGAACAACCTCAGTTTTCCAGAGGGAAGGTTCAGAAAGAAGCACCAGGGATGGTCAAGGAAGAAGAACCCGAGGGAAAGGAGATCCGATTTCGCGATGGGTTCCTGCCGGTCTTCATCTCCGGCGAACCCGATGAACCAGTTCGTCTAGGTATAGAGCAAGACACCACAGCATCGGTGTTATGAAGAATGTGGGGACTGATGCTGAAATAGGGTGTCGGTGGATCTGCCGAACAGACGTATGAGCGGGTAATTTCGTTTTCGCGACATTCGACCAACGCTTCTGACGACTTTATGTTAATAGATGGTTGTTATAGAACTTTCCGAGCTATTCGAAAAGGCTAGAGAGATTACATATGATGAATGATGACCTAACGTGTTTTATTACATGTTGAGATGACTGCCCAGCGATGCGGAGGGCACTAGCATGTGTGAGAAAGACATCACACGTTTGAGAAGATCTTCTCCTAGTCTGTCCGTAACCTTCTTCAACACTAAATCCAACGTTTTCTATGCCCTTCTATCATCTTGCAGATTGCCGCTCAATATTCGACAGGTATGTTGTGACTCCTGATTGTCACTTACAACGCTTACTGTGGGCGTGGATTCAAGAACACTGTTATCATCGCAGTCGTAATAGCGACTACGACTGAGTTAAGTATGCTCACAGCAGATAGCCTCAAATTTACAGTGAGATGGCCAGCCCAGAGTCTTGTTGGTGCTAACTAGTGGCGTGTCCCCAACTTTCATTTTCACTCTCAACCCACGGACATCCCCGGAGTACATCGATGAATCATTTGAGCGATCATTGCCTGCAACTATGCGCGATATATTGAGCCAGCTTTTGCGAAGTTCTTCGTGGCCAAGTATCGCCCACGGTTCTAGGTCGATCGTCCTCCAGTCTCCCATCTCATGCCACATTCCCACGCAGTGCCCCTCTACTCACTCCCTCCTTTTCAGCATCATCTCCATATGCGTAGTCTGCCACTTCGGATCATCTTCCACAAGAACAATCTCAAATCCTCGCTTCTGCCAAAACCTAATTGCACCGTCCAAAAACGGATGCGAATGCAGATAAAGACATTCGACATCCTCCTCGACAGCCTTCTCATAAAGTTTTAAGAACAATTCGGCTGCGAGTCCACAACGCCGATACTGGGGCTGCACGAACAATCGCACGATTTCGAGTGTCCGCACGGCGTGGTAGTCGAGTTGAGGATGCCGGTTGTCGTAGCGTACGTAGCCTATAACGGCTATCAAATTCTTGCCGTCCCGCGCTTCGAGAAAGCAGCTACCGTCACCGAGTAGGGATGTAGTGTCTGGTGGTAACGAACGACCCGAAAACATGACCTTGCGACCTTCGTTGATGAACTCAATAATTTCGTTGACTGCCTGAGGTGGGACTGGTTGGATCGTCCATGGCGGAGTTATTTGTCGGCTACCGGAGGGATGCGGCATGGTGTAAAGTAAAGTGTATGCATAGTGACACGTCGTTCGACCAACAAAATCTGGAGATTTGGCGAGGCTAGGCAGGAAATGGTAAGGCGTCATCTTAGTTGCTTGGCTTGGACTATGCGCATTATGTAGTTTACGGATTCGATCGAAATCGATTGCAGAGCGAATATCGAATCGCTGGGACAATGGCGTGTCATTCCGGTGGCTACTCATTCTCTTTGATGTCATTCTTCTTGGAAGCGCTCTTCACCACAGCAGTATCGAGACCACTCCACCGTCTGACGAATCGCGAGGGACGCCTGGGAACCATTTGAGGGGCTTGAACAAAATGTTGTAGAACGGCTCCAATTAGCTCCGATCAATGTCAAAACTCGGCTGTTGGGGACAGCGCTGACCCAACGACTCAATCAAAACCGTGAAAATTTTGGACACGAAGGCGACAAGGCTGCCGACGTATTCTAGTTCGGTCACGGTTATAGAGTGAACGGGACGGCCACTCCCGCCATCAGAATTCTGTCGGCGGAATTGCTGGTCATGGTTACGAACATAGCACCTTACCACGCGGCACAAGATCTCCGGGGAAAAGAAGTCGTTCTCGATCATCCGTACTCAATTGTATTCCACATTTGGGACGAATTACAGCGGGTTCTTGACGCATGTGAGAGTGAAAATCCGTCCATATCATTTATTGACTCCCAGACTGGTTGGCAGAGCAAAGTGCAATGCAACGGAGCAATTGGTGAATATCTATGGGTTTTACTGAATGCACCCCCAGTTCGGGCGTTCTATCTCAAATCGTTTCAATCCGAGGTCGAGACGCATGCGCAGAAGTGTGCAAGTTTTGACTACTTGTGGCTCCTGTTCCGACCTGGCACGATTGTGCTTAGGCAAGACGATCCCAAAGAAGGAGGACAATTTCCCGGGTATGTAGTAGGGCAAATGAACTATTTGCGTAATGGTAAGGCATCTTCGAGCTCTGATAGAGCGACCTCTGCGGACAAGTGGGAGTGGTCGTTGTGGAATCTCGGCTACAGCGACGGCAACTTGATCATATAAAGGCACCCCTTTTTCATCAAGAGTTATAAAGAAATGAGAGCGATCTCAGAATTACCTGTTGAACAGATACAGTTTGTGGACGATCCAAACAACGTCAGAGCAACCCTCATCGACCGTGGACGCCGTTATCATACTATGATGTGCAACGAGCATAGCCATTGGTATTGAAAAGGGAAGGTAAAAAGAAGGCCTACCAACGAGGCATCTTCCCTCGTATGACTTCGATCGTCCCTGATCCGCTGAGTACCACGCTGATGAAATCTAGTATGACAGCGTCTCAATTCATGTAAGTGGCTTGACATCTCTGGCTTACTCGATATCATGCTTGACTTATGTATTACGAAGGCGGGATCATCGTTGATCACGAACAGTACTTGAAATCAACAAAAGAGAGCTTGTTGACATCTCTCAAGCTGTCAGGAAAGGAGCCTGTCGACACTCGTGGAGAAACTCTGTTTTCGAAGTTCAATGACATGAAGTGTACTTCTTCATGTCAGCTGGACAACATCTAGTACCTACCGCTACCCAGTCGTGTGCTGGGCTTTGATCTTGGCAATAAAAAGCGGTGGGGTAAGGTCGAATAGTCCTTCCGGCACAGTCGCGAGATGCTAATGAGCTATAGGCATCTTTGATATGACCTATGTCGTTCCGGCGTCAAAGAACGACGATCCTATGGCGGAGCTAATCATAAATGATGATTACAAGAAGTTGCTGCTTGCGGCAGCAGGCCAGCCTCTTCGAGGAACAATTGTCGAACCATGGGTCACAGTATGGAACGCGGACTTCGTTGGTGGAAAAGATCGAGGCAGGGTGGTTCTACTCTATGGTAGGCGCTAACAACACGTGTTCAGTCTCATTGCACAGCACTTCGGCTGACACGCGATGTAGGAGCACCCGGAACTGGCAAGACGTTCACGGCTGAATGTATCTCAAGCAAGACCAATGGGCTTCTTCTCTCGATCACCACTGCTGAGCTGGGAACTGAAGAGGTACAGATCCAGAAGCGAACTGCCTACTATCTTGATCTAGCTTCCATGTCGAGTGCGATCGTACTATCTGACGAAGCTGAAGTGTACCTCTAGTAAAGGAAAGCTGGAGCTTTCGTCCAAAATGCTTTAATCTCAGGTATGTCAGCTGTCCTTCGTTGTTGCGCAAAATTAGTTGCTGAGCAAAATAGCGTTCTTGAGTACACTGGAGTACTTCCCTGGTCTGCTACTCGTGATGGGCATAGCAAACGTCGTAAAGATCAGACGAGAGGGCTGACATGATATGCAAACGCGCCGAGACATATGGAAAGCACTCTTCAAGAAATTAGAAGCAGACCAAGATAGGAGATATACCGTTGCTGATCCTGGAGGCGATGTCGTTATTGCGGACCTTATCGGTAGTGCAGGCCAAGCAGGTAAGCTTTTACAGCCTCAAACAGCGATTGAGGACGAGACAAAGCTTCGCTTCTCTGCCAGTCCGAGTGATGAGGACAATAAGCTTCGTTTGAATGGACGAAACATCAGAAACAGTAAGTGCTACCTGTAAAGTAATAGGATCATCTGAACTAACGCGCACACACAGCCCTGCTCAGCGCTATCAGCGTCGCAACAAAAGAGGCAACGACAGACGGTAGGGTGATCAAAGAGATCAAGCTTACGATTCACTATGTAGAGACGGTCCTAAGCAACGGGAGACGTCTCAGAGAGGATTTCAAGGCAGCCACAGAGTTCTATCCAGAGGAACTAGCTAGAGAGGGAGACGTGCGAGGTGTGGAGGTCTAAGAGACCACTTGCACATAGATTGTTTTCACTATAGCTTGGTAGTTATCTCCTTTTTTTCGTGATAACACACATGCCTCTTACGTGCACCATACATCCTTCTATGCAGATTTCGTCACTTGGAATGCAAGAGCAAAGTTATATCGTTTACTTCTACTCTAATATATATTACACGTAAAACATATACAGCTCTTAGTCTAGCTCCTCAAACCCAACGCTAACAGTTTTTAACCTTGGCTTGCAGCCGGAGTTGCTTAAGGGCCAAGTGATAGGAGTACCCTATTCTAAAGGCATAACAATCTGATATCGCCTACATACATCCTCATTTGGCGTATCTGACAACTTCAACAGCAAGTGAATAGAGCGGACTACGAATGGGGACTCCTAGGTGTCGAGCGTTCGTCGACTGTTCCACGATTCCGCCCTTCGCCTTGCGCTACTCTAGCCTCCATTGCCTGTTGCTGCATAGCTGCAAAGTTATTGCGAGTTGCAGTAGTATGTGGATGATGAGTACCAAGCTGTTGGGTGCGTCCATCGCAAGGTCGTTTGTAAAGCTCAGCAGCTTCTGGGTACCAGCGCAGCGTGTGTAACAGATAAGCGAGGTTGTTGACAAATGTTAGCGTTTCGGGGTGGTCCTGGCCCAGCTTCTCCCTTCCTTCTAGCGCCCGCCGGTTGAGCGTTTCTGCCTCACTGTACTTGCCTTGCCAGAGCAGCACTAAAGCGAGCATTTCTATGCTCTCTAGTGTCAGTTGGTCTTCTCGCCCTAGTGCTTTCTCTCTGGCGGCAATCGCCTTAGCTACTATCTGTTGCGCCACAGTATATCCTGCTCTCTCCCACAGATACCATGCTGCGTTGGTAAGCACCTGCGCCCATGCCTTCAACGCTCTTTCGCCGGCTGGCTGAGTGCTAAAGAGCGGTTCGACGTGTGGAAGCAACTGCTGGCACTTTGCCCAGTTCTCATGCTCCCCGTTGGGAAGCTCTTGCGCCATCAGCGCCACAAATCGCTGCTCCCACTGCTCTGCATCGCCACACGACGATAGCCAGACTCGCGTACAGAACTGGACCAGAGCATGCATTTCGAATGCTTCACCATCTGCTGTCGTCGACACTAGAGAGTACGCCTGTAGGGTGTCCAGGTCCTCGTCGAACGCGCTATCTGCGTCTTCATCATCCCCCAACTTTGCCGCTCTTGCAATTGCTCTAGTGTGTCCCTGCAACACCGACTCAGGTATGCCCTGCGGGTTGAAGAAGCTCATCAGCGACAGCAGCTCGGCTGCCGACCGCCGCTCACGCTGGATCTGCTCAAACGACATCTGCCACGTTGTCACCACCAAGTTGGACGCGCTCTCGTCGCGGCGCAGCTCGCCCGCATCCCGTTTGAGCAGTCTCTCGCGCTTTTTGCTGTCCTTCCGAAACTCGACCAGATAGCCAGCGATTGTCATGCGCCCGCTTCGGTTGATCTATGCGGCCGCCTGGACAACAGCAAGAGGTATGCAGTCGAGCGAGCACAGTAGGTCTATAGCGCTCTCTTCGACTAGCGGGTCCTGCAGCTTATTGCGAAGGAGCTGCAGGCCTTCTTCCTCGTCCATCGCAAGCACTCCCTTGGTCCGGTTGTATCCCCCCACTAGCCTGGTAGCTGCGTCTTGACTCCGTGACGTGACCAGTATCGCCCCATTGCGGCTCTGCGGAAGGTAGGTAGCTAGCGGTATCTGGGCGCTGGCGTCTGCCTCGTTTCCATGGCGCTGGCGTTTCCGCGACGGGAAGAAGGTCTCTACATCGTCCACGTTGTCGACGCCCATCACCCACCGTCCCTTCGCATCATCTCGCAGCCAGTTGTGCACCAGCCGCAACACGTTCGCCTTCGGATCGTCTCTCCCTGGAAGCTCCAGCCGGTTGGCGATGTCTTTGTAGGCTTCCTCGAATCGAGCCCAGGTGCTGGCGTGCACCCAGAACACAAACGTCTGCGGCGCAGCATCGCGGATGCTGTGCGCGTACTAGAGGGCGAGCTGCGACTTGCTGCCGTCTGTTAGTAAGGCCGTAGTGTGCGCAGAGTCGGTACAGCGACGTCGACCTACCCTACGCCGCCGAGACCCACCAGCGCTGCCCGCGCACCCGGTCCCGCGCACTTGTCGCGCACCCAGGCGGCGATCGCAGGCCGGTCGACAAGGTCAGGGTCCGGCGCAAATGGCACCATTAAGAACGGTTCTACTCTGCGCTTTTGCCCTGACGATCGTTAGCCTGGTGGTAGCATAGCGACGCGATCTTAAGGTAGTGTACCATCAGCTAGGCCAGGCCCAAAGTTGAAGTTCATCGTCCCGCCGGGCCCGCAATGTGGAGCGGGAATGGCGACATGGGCGTCGATGGCTCCATGGAACGTGCTGGTCATGAGGGTGCAAGTCGGTGTTTGCGCGAAACTTTGTGATCTCGAAGAGTTGAAATAACGACAATATAGATCGCGGAGAAGGTCTGCAGCTGCGCGTGCCTCAGCCTCAGCCTCAGCCTTGGACGTTTCACTTCCTGCCGTCTAGGAGCCACATCATCCTTATCATCGCCTGATGTTTTCGTTCCTTCCTCTCCGACTAAGAAAATACATCATCTAGAGCTGAACTTCTAGGGTCGCCTACGAACCATGCGTCTTCTGCAGCGCAAGGACGGCAGTCGATACAGCCTGACAGAGTTTGTGGGCAATGCCATCCCACGTTATGCCATCTTATCTCATACCTAGGGCCCAGACCAAGAAGAAGTCACACTAGTAGATCTAAAGCAAGATGCAGGTACGACTAAGGCGGGCTACCAGAAACTTCAGTTCTGCGCAGATCAGGCAGCTAAAGACGGTCTCTGCTACTTCTAGGTCGACACTTGTTGCATCGACAAGTCAAGCAGCGCAGAGCTAATTAAGGCCATCAACTCCATGTTTGCCTGGTATCGTGACGCTGCCCGATGCTACGTGTATCTATCCGACGTTTCGACCAGCAGCCTCACCAGTATCCTCACCAGCAGCACGCCTGCCCAACAACACTGGGACTGCGTGTTCCAGCAGAGCAGATGGTTCACACGAGGTTGGACGCTCCAGGAACTAATTGCCCCAATGTCAGTCGAGTTCTTTTCAGCCGAGGGCGAGCGGCTTGGCAATAAATACTCGTTGTTGCAGGAACTCCACGGCATCACCGGGCTCAGCGTTGAGGCTCTCCAGGGAAGCCGCCCGCTGGACCAACTTAGCGTCGACGAGCGCATGTCGTGGGTAGGGCAACGCAAGACAAAGCGCGAAGAAGACGCAGCATACTCACTGCTAGGGATCTTCGACGTGCATATGCCGCTTATATATAGAGAAGGTCGGAGGAAGGCATTTGCCCAGTTGCAAAGGGAGATTAACACAGCTTCTAGCAATATGCGGTCTACTTTACCTTGCAACGATAAGTTGCAAAGTTATGGCCATGCTACACATACCTACAATAGATCTGAATTTTACAGACCTATATTAGGTCGCTATGTAGTACCAGGAACTCACGTCACAGGAGGTACAGTCAACTTTGACTTTAGAGAAGGACGCGACGTTCGTTAGTAGAAGTGAGCAACAATACTGCAGCTTAAATTTGTGGCAGTCTAGCTTTTTAGAAATATAAGCGGGCGGCCTCTACGCAAGGGTAGGGAAGCATCTCGGTGCTAGCGTAGAGCGGCATAGGTATCTCTGACGTTATCGTCTCAATATGCAGGAAAGGTCGCTTTTCTTAATTCCTTCGCCTTCGCCTATCTAGCCTTTCTGAAAAGCCAATTACAACTACCAACACTTACTCATACGTACACACTTACACAAGCCACTCTCTATCTCCGTTTTCCCCGCCGCTATAGAAACTATTACAGAATTTCTCGACCACCTCTAAAAGTGGCCTAAAGATAGGATCGTAGGACCAGAAGAGGATCAAGAACAGTTCCTAGTGCATTAGGGCTACACGATTTACAGAACATATCATGACCCTAGGTCTAACGAACAGTAGTTAAAGCTGCTCAAAAATATCACCAACAGCGTGGGAAAAGGTCTCATCGAACTAGAGGAGGCGGACAAAGAGCCTGCTGCTGTTACGAAAGCACGGGATCAATTTCGACTCAATGCGCGTTTAGATCTCGCCACCTTAGACAGATTAACGCTGGAAGACGTCCGGCAAGTGTATCTGGAAGTAAGTAGGGGTCAGCCAATAAGGGGGACTCAGCGTCGCAACCGGGGTACTTTTATCTTCCTGTTAGCGGATGCTCAAGTGCTACAAGATCCTGACCTCCGCCTGCTAAAAGTTGCGGACGCGAGATACAACCCGGTTGCTGCCGTGCCTAGGAATACCTAGTCTAGTCCACAGCGGAACTTTAGATAGCTAACTATTCCAACGACAGCCGTTTTGGATTTTTACAACTAGATAGACAGGTTCACATAGGAGCAGATTGTCAATCAGGCATAGCCAGAGAAACTTTAGGATCCATATGAACATAAATAATCGACTACATCTTTGTGCCGGAGACAAGTACAAGAGGGGAATTAAAGTGTTAGTCCTTTCAACAGGGCAGTTGCAATGTTCATCAACTTTCATTTGTTGTAATTTAGTCATGGGATGAAGTGACATGTACATGACAATAGCTAGCATCGCACATTCTCAACTCCTCGTACGATAGTCCAATGCGATCAAAACTATAAAGATGTATCAATAGTCATCTCGCCCATCTGGCTCTCCAAGCTTATCAGAGCGTCAAGAATTTCCTGTGCACCAGCATCCGCACTGTTTGTCCATGTCTCGCGAACAAGATCGATTGCTTCCCGGCAAAAGTCCTTAGCATTCTTAGTAACAAAATTGATAAAGAAGTCTTTCACCCATTCAGACCAAAAATCGCTGATCGCCGTCTGATCATCGGGATGGTTAACGTTGTGAATTCGCTGGGAGAGCCTCCATTGCGCGCCAACGTCATTGATGATTGTGGTCAGAAAACTGTTAACCTTAGGCGTGCCTTTATAGCCTAGGTAGCGGATTGATGCGATTGTCGCCCTGATTCTTCCAAGTATGTACTGTGCATCGGCAAGTGTGCCAGTTTTGTTTTTGTCGTTGAGACTCTTGCGGGACATAGGCCTATTCCCAGCATAAGCTGTTGTAGGCACCAATATGTCAGCCTTCAAATCATATCGAATTTTGAATGCACGATTCAGAGATTGGAGCTTCTTACGTTGGTCTTCGTTTGGTGAACATGCTTAAGCAAAACCGCGAAGGAGGCGTAATTGTCTACGCTCCCAACACACTCCATACCGCGTGCATACACAAATTGTAGACTTGGGTCAACTGATGTACCTGCACCTCCGGGCAAGGGCGATGAGCCCAAAAGTATGGGCTCGGTCTGAGCGGTAATAAAGTAGGATACAGCTATTGGGCCTGTCCTGGCGATAGCGCCACTTCGGAGTCTGTCGTTCACAATAAGCATATGAGTACTTCTTCTGAGTGATGGAATACCTACCTCACCAATGCGGCATCTCGCATAAATTGATCAATGAGTTGACCATCGAATACATGTTCCACTAGAGACAGTATAAGCAGGTAAACGAAGCAGTGCAGGAGATATCGGTCGTACTCTCAAAGACTCTGCCGTCTGGGTCAGGATCATATGGCAGACTGTATTTTGATACACGCGCATTACCACAATCATCAATATCATCGTAGTCAATGATCTCATCCTTGATGTAATGGTCTGGGTACAGGTCGCTAAGGTTATTGTACTAGAGTTCGTTAGTCAATTGCAAGATAAGTCCGCATCCCAATACATACTTCTGGTAAAGTAACCGTGACGGTATGCTTCTGCCCATCAGCGCCCACCAATTCGACGTCATAGTCTCGCGATAGCGATACTCTCTTTTCAAGAACGGGAAGACCCGAGTCATTTCCTTTCATTGTCCTTCGCTGTATGTTGTGACGATGATGATGGTGACGACGTTGGTGTCCATGTATGAGTGGCTGAAACGATCGATCGCTCAGGGAGCGCCGCTCCGGCGATTCGACAATGCCGCAGTCTTCCTCATCGCAAGACTGATCGTAACAGACAAGGGTCTTGGCGGATGCTTCCTTCGAAGCGCGTGAGTTCCAGTAGTTGAGATTGCACATAATTTGCTGTGTCAACTCAATAGGCCCTCGCGTTTTCCACGTGTGAAGCTTTTGTGTAAAGTGGCGCATGCTTGAGAAATGAAGGTTGCTGAATCTGTCTCCCATGGCCGAGTTTCAAGCCTACTCCATCAAACTGATCATTGCAGATCCCCCACCAGTGACTGTGAGCAGCTCTAGCAAGATATGGCCGGTAACGTCGTAGGGGTACTTTTGTTCTGTCTTGACCAAGGGAAATGAGTCGCGCTTTGAGAAGGGCGCCGGAACCTCGCATCGAGAATTCTTAATGTATTCCGATAGTGCATCGCGATACTCGTCAAGTTTCGGGTTCTCGATCTGAATTGTATCGGACATGTTGGGCACACCGCACAGTGCTTTATTTGACCATTCGGCACAATCACCGCCGTAACTCAAGCCGACGCGAACGAGATGACTTGAACACCCGCTGAGACACCACCCGTCAGGAGCGCCGGAAGGTATGAAACCATGGTTGGTGTAAAATGTGCAGTCCTAAAATCTCCCCTTCTTGTCGCTGCTGTCGTAACAGTACTTTCGTTCCTCCGGAGGGTCTACAGCCTCAAGCTGACGCTCGTAATAAGCGTTGCAAACGGCTGCCCCCGACCCTCTCGACGCGCCTCCAATCATGTCGGTCTTCTTAGAATCTGAGACGAGGCATTTCGATGTAGCGTCGCATTTAGGGGCTTCACCCCATTCGCCCTTAGTATAGAGCTTCATGCTCTTAGTCTTGGTGGTACAGCAAGCCGCTTGGTAAGTCAAAACCTTCGTGCAATACTCGTTGTTGCCGCCGACTTCAACAGTACCGCTGGGGCACTTGGAATTGCACTTGCCGCTGTTGTGGGTATACCATCCGCATTCCGGGGGACTGTAGCTTGATGGGCAACACCAGCTGTGAAGTCCTCGTCCACCACAGCCGGTCTCATCGATCATGTATTCGTCATCCCTGGCTCCAAGATCACCACGCTTGACGTGCACCCATCCAAATGGGCAACCTATGTAGTTGTTAGTGCAGACTGGTCCGTGGAATAGAAGCAGGTACATACCCTCTCCGCAATTTGACCATTTGCACTGATCAATAGGAACCTATCCTAGAGGATGTCCTTGATTCTAGTAGGATCAAGCTATTTTGTTAGTAGCGATAAGAAAGCGATAAGAAAGCGATAAGAAACGAGGAGTAGGATCAAGGGAGTAGGATTAAGGCTAGCTATCTTCGCTGCAAAGCTAGGTATAGAAAATCGAAAGAAGCTATTTTGTGCAGATTTACGCCAAGATTTCAGATCTTTACTTAGTTTATCGATAACTGCTCTTGTTGTTAAGATATCCGCTTTTAAAGGTGTCACGGTAACCACCGTGGTTCCCTTGACACCAAACGCGCTACAGAATCTGGGTGCTCCGCCAAGCACCCGGATTCTGCTGATTGGCTAGCTAAGCTAAGCGCTACGCGCCCGGCCCCTCGTCAATAACTTTTCACCGCCTGTACATGCTAGTTCTGTTTCCTTACGCAACGTCTTGTATTACACTAGATATCGTACGTAGCTACAGTTAACGCTTCTCGTAAGCTCTTAAACCACGTGCTCGTAGCGTCTTATAACATTACGTTGCGTCACCTACTATAACTACCCACGAACAACCTAACGCGTTGCAGCTAATCTTGCATTAGCTAAACGCAATTCAAGCGGACTCTGCATCACTAAGAGCGGACTTAGCCGCGTTAAAGGCTAGCAATAAAGCACTCCTTGCTAACCTAGCCGAGCAAGAGAATCAACACGCGCAACAGATATTAGAGCTCTGTTAAGAGATAGAGACTATTAAGACTAGGTCTGCTCCTGTTACTACCCTAGCTCTTACCTGTACCGACACTAAAGCTGGGCAAGTTCGTTTCGCGGAGCTATCTAGAAGTAGCTCAAAGCCTGTGACGCCGCTAACTGCAAGCCTCAAGGACCTGCCCCGAACTAACTGTCTGCCTAACCCGCCTCTATTTAATAGCCGACGAAAGGACCTCCCCGCCTTTGTCCGCAAACTAAGATATAAGCTAGAGGGCAACGCTAACCAATACCCGAACGAGAGATCCTGCCTGCTATATGCCCACTCTCAACTAGAGAAGGACGCTGTAGCCCTTATTAACCCGCTTATAGACAAGGACATCTATACTGTAGACTAGCTTGTCACCTTCCTAGAAGCCACCTACGGAGACCCAAACAAAGAGCTGACAGCTCTTAGCCGACTAAGCGGATTACGTCAAGGGAAGCGCAGCTTTACTTCCTACTTCGCCGAGTTCCAACAGTTAGCCGCTGATACTAGATTGAATAAGATCAGTCTTATTGCGTCCCTCCGAAACTCCCTGTCTCATAAATTGCAGCGCGCAATAGTTAGAGAAGCTCTACCTAACGACCTAAACGACTACGCTAATCTTATATCTACTTACGACAACAACCTCCAATTCCTACCAGACCGCCTACGCCGTCTCCCTATAGCACACCCTAACGCAATAGATATAGACGTGATAAACTACGCTCCCGCTAGCTCTGCTAAACGCTAGAAGAGAATTAAGGAAGGCTGCTGCTTTAAATGTAACTAGAAAGGCTATATATCTAGCAACTGCAGTGTCCTCTTACCCGCTCAGCATATCTAATCGCATAGCGCGAACAACTAGATCTGTACTCGCTCCGCAGGATCCGATGCCTTAAGATCCTCCCGATCCTCAGGATCTCGAGGGAGACGCTCTCGCAACTAGTCCCGAAAGGGAAAAGCCTCGTCCCGTGGATAAGTCGCTCCCCGGGACCGCGCATACACCAAATCTCTGCTAAACTTTAGTCTAAATCCTAAACTAACACATAGAAACGCTGTATTATAATACTCTGCACAGTCTAACAAGGCAACACTAGAAGTAATCTTAAGGCCTTAGTTAATACTAGAGCTACTAGTATTAGATACATTTACAGAGACCTTGCGCGCAACCTAAACCTTTGTTAAACCCTGCTGCCCTACGTTATCTATCCTACTAGATTTACTAGAACTATACTCGACAGTGGAGAAGTGTCTCACACCGTCACCCTAAGACTACAACACGACAACTACGTAGAGACTATACAACTCTACATTACTAACACTAGCTAACACAAACTAATACTTAGCTAACTATAGATAAACAAGCATCGAGTAAACCTAGACTATACTAATAAGAAGCTAGTATTTACTGCCTAACAATGTACTAAACGATGCCTTAGAGCTAGTAGTATCTCTACTCCCCTTTAAGCACAGTAGGGCAACAACTACTCTAAGAAAACCTACTCTCAAACCCTAAAACCTAAACACGTCCTACAACAACAACACAACTATTAGCTGCTTAAGATAAAGCGCTAATTATATAAACGTACTTACGACTCTAACTTAGACTACACTTAGTTAACTAAGGATTAAGATAAGTCGTTAAAGTTACAGCTAAAACTTAATATCTACTGCATAAGCGCAGCCCTATTTATAAGCCTAGCACGTAAGAGAGGTTACAAGATTTGTGCTGTTAGTATTGCTAACATTAATAAAGCACTAGCTGTAAAGAAGCACACTAATCTACTCACAAAAGTCCCTTCTAAGTATTACAATCTAATAGACGTCTTCTTACAAGAGAACTCTAATAAACTGCTTATACAACAACTATACAACTACAAGATTAAACTAATAAAAGACAAGCAACACAGGTTTAGCCTGTTGTACAGCATATCCTAAGATAAACTAAAGGTACTGCGCAAGTACCTTAAAGACTACCTTTCTAAGGGGTTTATCTAAGCAAGCTCCTCTCTAGTTACATTACCTGTTATCTTTGTTAAGAAACTTAGAGGAGGACTACGCTTTTGCGTTAACTACTATGCTCTAAACGCAGTTACTGTTAAGAACTGTTACTTAATCCCGCTAATCTAAGAGACCCTAAGTTAACTAAGTAAGGCTAAATACTACACAAAGCTTAATATTATTGCTGCCTTTAACTAACTTCGAATCGCTAAAGGAGACGAATAGCTAACAGCCTTCTGTACCTAATATAGACTGTTCGAATATCTTATAATGCCCTTCAGACTAGCTAACGCGCTAAGTACGTTCTAACACTTTGTAAACGACGTATTGCGCTCGTTCTTAGACATATTCTGCACTACTTACCTTAACAATATCCTAATCTATAGCGAGACTCTCTACAAACACAAGGAGCATATTAGATCTGTCCTAAACGCCTTTAGAGAAGCTAGGCTCTAACTAGACGTTAATAAGTGCGAGTTCTACTAAGCAGAAGTCACTTACTTTAGCTACGTAGTTAGAGTAGACAGTATATAGATAAACCTAAAGAAGGTTTAGACTATTGTAGACTAAGAATACCTAAGTAACATTAAGGACGTTAGAGCCTTCCTTAGCTTTGCGAACTTTTATTAACAATTTATAGATAGTTTCTCCTATCTAGCTGCCTTGCTTGTAGCTCTAACTAAGAAGGACACAAAGTTCCTTTTTAATAAAGCCTATTAAAAGGCTTTTAACGCATTAAAGCGCGCCTTTACTACTGCGCTAATACTGCAGCATTTCGACTCTAACCTCCTAATTACTGTCGAAGCAGACGCATCTAACTACGTTACAGCTAGAGTACTCTCCTAGACAGTACCTAACAGTACTCTTCGTCCTATAGCCTATTACTTAAAAAGAATAAACCTTGCAGAGAACAACTACAAAATCTATAATAAAGAACTGCTTGCTATTGTCTGTTATTTTAAATAATAGAGACCTAAACTAAAAAGCGCTGCTTTCTCTATTACTGTGCTTAGCGATCACAAAAATCTGCAGTACTTCGCAACTACAAAACAGCTAAGCTACTGTTAAGCTTAGTAGTCTAAATACCTCTCCTAATTCTAATTCACAATTACGTATTAACTAGGCAAGCATAGCGAGAAGCTTAACGCTCTAACTTATTATTCTTAAAACTAGCTCGCACAAGAAGAAGCACAAGAAGCTTGTAAGCAAACGCTACTTCGCCTAGAACTATTTTAGAACCCTCCTATAATTAGACTAGTAGAGACTAATAGATCTATCTAAGAAATTATTAAAGATAGATATAAACTTATGCCTAATAGATACCCTAAAGACCTATTTATACAGGAAACCCTGCAGCTGCTGCATAACAGTAGACAACAGTCGAAGACTGTTACTTTAGGCGACTGCAAGAATCGCGACAATTATCTATACTACTAAAACAGGCTTGTTATTCTAGACAATAACGAATTAAAGATTAAGATCCTCTGCGCAGTCTATAATGCTCCTTCTAGTAGTTACCTAGGCTAAAAGAAGACACTCAAACTTATTTAACAAGAGTACTACTAGCCCTAACTATTCAAGACTATCTAACGCTACGTATCTTGCTGCTACACTTGCTGCTGTGCTAAAGCGTTGCAAGAAAAGTACTATAGGCTACTAAAGCTATTGCCTATTCTCGAACAACGTTAGGTAGATATCTCTGTTAACTTTGTTGTTAACCTACTAGAGTTAGAAGGATACAAGAACGTAATAGTAGTAGTAGACTATTTGTCTAAATACTGCTACCTAATACTATATAGTAAGATAGAGGCACTAGACGTAGCGCGTATGTTTCTTCGCTACGTCTAGTGCAACTACAGCCTTCCTAACACAATCGTCTCTAACAGAGGCAGATAGTTTGTCTCTACCTTCTATAACAAACTATGTAGCTAGCTAAAGATTAACCTACGCTTCTTAACTAGCTATTATCTTAAAACTAACAGGCAAACTAAGAACGCTAACGCTGCGATAGAACAAGTCCTACGCGCGTACACGAACTACTAGCAAGACAACTAGGTCTAATAGCTCTCTATCGCTTAATTCGAAGCTAACAATACTGTTTTAGAATCTACAAGAGTATCTCTAATAATAGCTTGCTACAGCTAGAACCCCTAAATAGGCTTTAAACTACCTACAAACAAGACACGTCTCGCCTACTAGGCTTTACAAGCCTAAAAGGTAAACACAATAATTAATAAGATGCATAACATTAC